ATACTCTCATACAGAACACCTTATAATTATAATTATGAACTAATAGCACGTATTTTTATTACAAACAGACATACTGTATTTAATAAAAGCGTGTGTGTTGTTTCCATATTTTATGTGTGCTGATTTGGAGAATCAGCATGGTGCTGATTTTTCAAATTCAGCACTCACTACAAAAAAATAGTATATTAGTAACGGAATTTCGTCTCTAAAGTTCACGTAGTTAAAGCAATTCCCTCTCTAATTCCGTCTCTAATATCATTAGTAATGGAAAAAGTGAATTTAAATATGAAAAAAAATATTGTTACAAAATTGATATTTTGTTGTTGTAATTAACCTTTCCCGTTATTTATATATTGATTGGGACAATAGGTAATCAGCACAACATGTTGGAACTTATCAGGAATTTAACCCTAGGCCCAGGATCTACCGTGTTGTCATAATTGAGATAAAAATAAAGCAAAATAAATCTAACCTTATTCCATTAGTATAGTCGAATACGAATATGCTAACAATTGAGGGTTTTGTGTTCTTCAAGTCTATGGCGCAACCCCTCCTGAGAAAAACCGCTAGGGTTTCTGCCGTTACTCCCACGATGAGATATGGAACGTAATGGTTGTTGCGTCTAGACCTGGGATCACAACCCTATTTATATCCTTTATTATTAATTGGCCTCATCACCCAATTAATAAGTTACCGGGTTTCTGTACATTGGAGGCCCGCACTTACTAAATACATTTAAGCCCAATAAATTAATAGATCACTTAATATAGGCTTAATCTGACTGATCGCCCAAATAGTTACATTTAACCCACAATTGGATTTTTAATCCAACAATCTCCCACTTGGGTAAATGTAAATGTACACTGAATAACCTTATGAGCTCATGAATGTTTTGCTATTAGATCCTTAATGTACATTACCAATCTTATCTATAAGTCATGTCAATGCAGATCAAAGCGGCCGTCACTGCATTTATCGCAATGGGACCGATCAGTGGTCACAACACTAATATAACCTATGATTCGATCAAGTGCGGATGCACAGCATGAAAATTTCATGTAACGTGATCTTAACATGCCTATTTCCAACTGATCCACCTTAACTTTAATTCAGAACAACTGAACACTGAATTAAAAAATCAATACTGAACAGTGCATACTGAATACTGCAGTACAAAATAAAGTAACCTTAGTGTATTTGAACATTACTAATTAGCTCCCACTAAACCGAAGTATCTTATATGGCTCCACTTTCATATGAGCAATATGCTCACTATAGAACTTATGTGGAAACCCTTTATTCATTAAGCGGATCCGTAATCGTGGAAGTTGTATGAATATGTTCAATAACTAATTCATGATATGAAGTCAGACTATTAATTAAATGGTGATTATTATTATCAAATGATGCACTAGTTGCAATTGATTTTGAATTCTGGAATAGACAAAACTTTATATTCGAATGAACAATAATAACTGAATTTGTTCAAAATAGAGATCGAAATTAAATTTTGACTGAAGATGGTACCATAAAAAATATCTCATCCAAATTGAAATAGTAACGAGTACTCAATAATGATCTAAAATTATCAATGACTTCAACTTGAACTTTCTTGTCGTCACCCATATAGATGTATCTTTCAACATCAATTGATTTCGACGATAAAATAATCTTACATAGACACACTGATGTGTGTTGTTACACCAAAATCCACCCCCAGGTGTGTCTATGAACTGAAATTAAATTAATTTCAAGAGCAAGACTAATAGGACAAACATGTCCTCCGAAATGTCTAACTTAAGTGCCCTCAATTTAGTAGCAATAGTAGACATGTTCATGATGTACTCCCTTATGTTCTGTTTGTCGTTATACTTTATGGTAATGAGAGGAGTACGCATTTCTGCCTTATCGCTTTTGGTAAAGCGTTTCTTAATTTCGACAAGGAATCCATATCATCATATATTGTACTCCTAAAAATTTATGGAGTGCTTTTCTTAATGATAATTAGACTTAGGCGTTGGACCTGTCCCACTTCTCAAATAATTACGCTCATGAGCAGTGTTTTTCGCCGTATGAGTGAGATGGTCTATTATTAATACCAAGTCATGATTCATGCAACCAAATGAATCATAATGAAGCTCAATAATAATGCATTCTCATCCCAAGACACTAAGTGCAACATCAATGATCAATCTTTGGATCAATAACATTGATTGCTAGCAGTCATCTTGTTGCAATAATGATATACGGACAATAAGTAATGTCAAACAGCAACCAATCTTTGGACTGATTTACCATTCACATAAGTTAAATCCATATAATCGTCCCATACATACTATCGCAGATGTATATTTCATTCTGTCAATTACCAACTGCCTTTGGGCCGAAGAATAATCACATGAATTAAAATACACATAAACACTTACGTTATCAAGAAAAAATCTTATATAAGAGAGGTTACTTTGGCAACGTCAAATACTTGATCTTCACCGTCAAAATGCAGCATGCATTATTAATGAATTTATAATTTTCTTAAACTAAATTATAATCAGAATCATGTTCAATATACACGGGTCTGATTCCATAAAAAAAAAATAAAATAAAGAATGCTTATTAGCAACTGAATGCACATGTCTATAAGCTACTGAATACTCCATATGTGAATTTATAAAATAAATTAGCAATGTTATCACAAGTTATCGAGCAACATCAGCAAATGTTGTTGGACAAATTACTGACTCACTAGTGATAAACTTGTTTTGACAATCGAATGTTGACATTACAGTAGTGTGTCAAACAACACCCTATCTTTGGACAGATCTATTATTCACACACAAACACCAAATTATCATCACCACATTCAATGTCACTAAATATGCATGTAACTACTTAATGGCTGAATTGCCTTTGGGTCAATCAGGAGCCTTGTAAGTCACAAACACAACTTTCTAATACATAAAATAAACTGATTTACATAGCAGAGGCTGCTTTGGCAATATGACTATTTCAACCAATTCAAAAAATATATTATATTACTTATTGCTAATTAAATTCACTTTAAATAAATCAAATATGTATGTTCAATACATATTATAACTATAACAACAATAATTAATTTCTGGACTCATTAAATAATCAAGCAGTCCAAGAAAGTGCCAAATGCAGCGGAATTACACAGGCAACCCAAAGAGACTATAAATTAATACACCAAATCATTATAGTCGAATTTGAATAAATGCATGGTGTCTAAAATGCATGCTATATCCCAAATTTAATTGGACTATCAAACGAATCGTAATGAATATTTGATTTTATAAAATTAGCACTAATGAATAATAAATTAATTATGCACATATCCAATTTAACTGCAGATATAGTAACATACACACATTAATTAATAAATTATGCAATTATCAAACCGGATGCATATATATACATTGAACGTCAATTTTGACTCAAACGATCAATTAAATAAATTAATTAATCTAATTATAATGTCAAAATCGGTACAAATATTAAGACATATTCATTGATTTCAGAATAAATGAATAAAAATAAGCAAACATCCAAATGCTATTTTATTTAAATTGCACATATACTTATACTGATTGCATCCATTAATTAATTGAACCAATAAAATAGAAAAGTAATCTTGAGTGTTAATCAAATAACTATGTATTAAACTTTAATTGATTGAACAAAATATCACATTCTAACTGCATATGCCAATTTTTTTTTAAATATACCAGCATTGCAAAATGGCATACCGATTCAATAAATTATTAAAATAATGATTATATAGGCAAACAAACTCATGTCATTCATACATGCATAAATTTATCTCTTATAAATATGACCAGAGTGCAAATTGTGTTTTCATTGATTATAATACCCAAATTAATAATCATAAATAAACAAATAAACGCACATATTGACATGATCCAAAGATTTGCATATGTTTACTTCATGATTGCACATATATTCACATATACATGAATATGTATGTAGGCACACAGATCGAGGCACATGCAAGTTTAATCCGATTAAACATTAAATAATAGATTTATGTATCTAATATATCAATGACAATACAGACGTACAAATAATTAAATAAATATGTACAGATTCATGTCTGATTCCAAAATTGGTTCAAATATAAAAGACAGAGATTGAGTCATATAGAAAGAAGAATGATAAATAAATAATCACACGTATGCAAAGATGAATTGACATCAATTTATTGGTTTCAATCAAACAACTACTTGATTTAATTGTTAGATCAAAGATACAACAAGCATCGAGATGGAATCCGACACCAATTGGATTTAAATTTCACCTTAAATTCACCCAATCTTGATTTCAATTAATTCTAGAAGAACGAAATAAAGATTTGTGTCGTGTGCGCATCGAGTCAAACATAATTGATCTGACCAAATATCTCAATAATTTAACACGTAAAAGGCTCTGATACCAATTGTTGGAACTTATCAGGAATTTAACCCTAAGCCCAGGATCTACCGTGTTGTCATAATTGAGATAAAAATAAAGCAAAATAAATCTAACCTTATTCCATTAGTATAGTCGAATACGAATATGCTAACAATTGAGGGTTTTGTGTTCTTCAAGTCTATGGCGCAACCCCTCCTGAGAAAAACCGCTAGGGTTTCTGCCGTTACTCCCACGATGAGATATGGAACGTAATGGTTGTTGCGTCTAGACCTGGGATCACAACCCTATTTATATCCTTTATTATTAATTGGCCTCATCACCCAATTAATAAGTTACCGGGTTTCTGTACATTGTAGACCCGCACTTACTAAATACATTTAAGCCCAATAAATTAATAGATCACTTAATATAGGCTTAATCTGACTGATAGCCCAAATAGTTACATTTAACCCACAATTGGATTTTTAATCCAACACAACAGACTCAGGTCAACTTGCAAACTCGTACATACATACAAGAAGCTAAGGGAAGATCCCTAAGAGCTCTATACAATGGATTTCGATCCCTCATTTTCCTTCATTGCTATCTTTTCCTTCTTCTTAGCAGTGTTTTTCAGATTAATCACTCGATGCGTACCTGTACCCGATCAGAATTCGAATCTTCCTCCGGGGCCGAGAAAGCTGCCGCTGATCGGGAACTTGTACCAGCTCATCGCCAGTTCGAAACTGCCACACCAATTGCTGACTGACTTAGCCGAAAAATATGGGCCGGTGATGCATCTGCAGCTCGGCGAAGTTAACATTGTTGTGATTTCATCGCCTGAGGCCGCGAAAGAAGTCATGAAAACACACGACGTAACGTTTTCTAACAGACCATCGCTCCTCGTAACGGATATAATACTTTACAAGAATTCAGACATAGCTTCTGCTCCGTACGGCGAATACTGGAGACAGCTGCGCAAGTTCTGTGCTATCGAGCTATTGAGTGTGAAAAGAGTCCAATCGTTTCGGGCGTTAAGAGAAGAGGAGTTTTTGAGTTTATGTGGATGTATAGCATCTAATGAAGGGTTGTCGATGAATTTGACAGAGAAGATCTGCTTGACTACTTGCAATGTTGTGATGCAGGCTTCGATTGGGAAAAAGGGTGACGAACTAACTGAAATCATATCAACATCGAAGGAGTCTGCCGAACTTGCTTCAGGATTCTATCTGGCAGATTTGTATCCTTCCATCAGTTTGTTTCGGCGAATCAGTGGCGCAGCACGCAAGACAGAGAGGGTGCACAAGAAGTCGGACCGGATAATTCAGAACATTATCGATCAACGGCGAGAAAGCGCGAATGGATCGAAACAACAAGAGGACTTTGCCGATGTTCTACTCAAGTCTAGGAATGAGTTACAGCTGACTAATGACAATATCAAAGCTGTGATACAGGTTTGTCACTGAACTCTTTAAGGTTAGAATCTGGTTAAGGATTTTAGAATAGTAAAATTTTAAATTGAAACAGTATTTTATACAATACGCTTTAGTTTGTATATTGACCGGCTTAAATCAGCAGATTCCATATATTTAACATATATGTAAAAGTAGTACATATATAAGTCCCAAATCTAAACCTATGTTTTGATTCTTGTCGATATAGGATATCTTCGGTGCTGGAATCGAAACATCATCGACAACTACGGATTGGGCTATGGCGGAAATGATAAGACATCCAAGGGTCCTTAAGAAGGCACAAGAGGAGGTAAGAGAGGTTTTCAAAGACAAGGGATTTGTCGAAGAGTCTCGTTTCGAAGAGCTAAAGTACCTAAAGTCAATCATCAAAGAGACTCTAAGGATGCATCCTCCCTTTCCACTTTTGCTCCCGAGAGAAAATTCGGAGCAATGCGAAATCTTTGGATACAAAGTACCTTCGAAAAGTAGGGTTATGGTTAATGCATGGGCCATTGGAAGAGATCCGAGATACTGGAAAGAACCTCATAGTTTTATCCCCGAGAGATTTCTTGATAATCCTGTTGATTACAAGGCAAACAACTTCGAACTCCTTCCCTTTGGCGGTGGAAGAAGGATTTGCGCCGGAATATCGTTTGGCCTCGCCAATGTCGAGCTTCCTTTGGCAATGTTTCTCTACCACTTTGATTGGGTTTTGCCTGATGGAATGAAGCCCGAAGATTTGGACATGTCCGAAACCTCGGGCATTACGGCAAGTAGGAAATATCCATTGTATGTTATTCCGAGAGTGAAGATAACTTTGCCTGTAAAACAAGATTGAAGCATCACTCTATGCTTCTTTCAATAAGGAATTTGTTGTCTCATTGCTTTGCTTTCTTCACTTTGCCATTCTCCTGGTTGTTACGATTTGAGTCTATCGAGTCTGTATGTCGTATATAAATTAGGTCCCTATCTTTATTATAAATAATAATGCAATTTTTGAGTCGTTTATAATTTATTTCTCACAGTGATTCCAATAATACATAACCGATCCAATGTCACATATATGATTGACAGGCATTGCTAATGTGTCTTATGTGACACTCTTGCTTTCAATGCCGGCAAAGGATTCACCACGACCGGAATAACATACAATGGATACTTCCTCGCGGCGGTGGCGCCGGAGGACTCTGTCATGTCCACAGCCTCAGACAACGCAAAATCGAAGTGATACAAAAGCGTAGCCAGCGAGCGCATGACGAGCGCAAAGCTCATCGATATTCCCGAGACAATGCAAAATCGAAGTGATACAAAAGCGTAGCCAGCAAGCGCATGACGAGCGCAAAGCTCATCGATATTCCCGGACAGATCCTCCGGCCAGCGCCGAAAGGGATGTACTCAAAATTAAGCCCCTTGTAATCGACCGCATTGTCGCGAAACCTCTCCGGTTTAAAAGGGTCGGGATCTTCCCAAATTTTAGGATCTCTCCCGATGGCCCATGCATTCACTATCCCCCATCCGTTCGCCAGTACCTTGTAGCCGTTAATCTCACATGCCTCAGAGTTTGCTCGGGGGAGCATCAACGGCAGCGGCGGGTGCATCCTTAGAGCCTCCTTGATGACCATTTTCAGGTAGTCGAGCTGATCGAAGCCGGCCTCGTCGATGCCATCCTTGTCCTTGAAAACACGGCGCACCTCGTCTTGAGCTTCTTTGAGGACTTCCGGGTATCGCATCATCTCCGCCATCGACCAATCCGCCGCCAATGCGGATGTGTCTATCCCGCCAAAAAGCATATCCTACATATACATTAATGTGAGATGAGGAGGCGTGTTGGAAGACTATATAATATATATGTAATTAATTATTCATTTTTCTGTGTCTCTAACTTTCAAATGAGACGGTCATTTTATACCATATAAACAAGCAGGCTAAAATTAAGCTCACTGTGATCACGGCTTTAACGTTTTCGATGGTGAGAAAGTTGACATTTCCGGGCTCGTTGTGCTTCAAGAGAACGTCGACCAAATCCTCCCTCCGTTCGCTTCCACGGCTATCCGTCATCCTGTGCTCGTCGATGATCTCATCTAATATCTCGTCCAACACCTTGTGCAGCTTCTCGACATCGGGTTTCATCAATCTACTTAACCGGCGGAACAGTTTGACGGAAGGGTAGATATTGGCGATGGCGAAGCTGCTCGAAAGCGCGAGCGTCTTTTTTATCATCGACACGAGGAGATCGAGCTTCCCGGTCTTGCTCCCGACCAAGCCTCAGCGAGAAAGTTTCCAATAGCCACGACGAGCCTCTCGCTCAAGTTTATCGAATTCCCCTGCCGAGAAGCTATCCATCGACACATTTCCGCAAACTCCTTCTTCCTCAACGGCTCGAATGACTCGACGCGGCACGCGCACAACAGCTCCGTCGAGCAGATCTTCCGGAGGTGGCGCCAGTACTCGCCATACGCCGTGTTTACGACGTCCGTGTTGTCGTAACTTAAGATATTCAAGCCGAAAACGTAAGGCCTGTTGGCGAAGTTGGCGCCGTGGTTCCTCAGTAGCTCTTTCGCAGCTTTGGCAGACGACACCACGATCATCAGCACCTCTCCAATCTGTAGGTGCATCAACGGCCCATACACCTCGGCCAGCTCGGCCAGAGTACGGTAGAATGGCTGAGACCTTGAGAATAGGTGCAAGTTGCCGATGATCGGGAGCTTTCTCGGCCCCGGGGGAATATTCCGGCGCCGGAATTGCGAATGAACTAGCAAAATGAAGAAACCGGAGAAGAAGGAAACCACGGATAGAATGGAAAAGAAGTGAGGATCTCCATGAGTAATGAAGATTTGTTTCAAAAGTGATCCGATCCATCCATATATGATATATAAATAAATAGCTTTGTTTATTTTGGTTTTTATTATTATACCATTCTGATTATTATCTTTTAAATGGGTAAATTAAAAATTGTATAAATAAAAGGATAAATATATTTAAAATTTTAATATAATAAATAATAATTAATTAATTAATTAATTAATTTTTTATTTAATAATTTTTTGAGATAAATTATTATTAAATTTTTTCAAAAAAATTATAAAAAAAATATATTAATCAATTGTTTATTTATTTTATTAAAAAAAATGTTTAAAATATTTTATCTTTCTTATTTAATACTCCTTCCGTCCAATTTCTATTGTCGCACGGTTTTTTAGGTGATTGTCTTTTTGTTATGAATTGACAAATTTGCGAGATGAAAAGTAATAAATGAATGAAAGGTAAAAATGTAAAATTTGTGTTTAAAAAATGAAATAAGACAATAGTTATTAGACGTTCCAGATAAAAAAATAGGACATTAGTTTGTCCACATTACTTTGTGGACAGAGGGAGTATATAAAACTTGCATCATTTAACTTCGTAAACCAAAACGTTAGTGATTTTAAGCATAAATAAAATAGAAAGTATTGTATATATTTTACTAAAATAAAAATAAGTGTTATAAAATATTTATATTTTATATCATAATTAATAATTATTTTAGTATAAAAATTATTAACATATAAATAAAATAATCAATTAAAACATATAGGAAATGGCACAGCTCAACACCAACCAGTGTAATCTTGGCTAGTCAACTCCATGTTTATGATGAGTATATAAAGGATCCACATTGGAAACACAACTTTTTATATGCTTATTTTTTAAAATAACTTCTTAATACTATTAAGTAGTAAAATACTATGATTTTAACAAAAATATATATTATATTCAATACTTTTTTTTTCATAAAATTAGTTGTCTTTTAGGAGAAAAATAAAAATAAAAATATTTTATAAATTATAAAAATATTTTTAAAATTAATTAAGTAGTACAATTATTAAAAAAAAAATTAAATGAACACAAATAAAAAAATAAATAATTTATTAAATAACGCAACAGAGTATATATGTTTATTATATATATATATATAGTTTTCAACTTTTTTTGTTCATGAATTTTGAATAACAAATTATTTAGCACATTAAATAGATTCAAATATAAACATTCTAGTCGGAAGACTAAGATAAAATCAAATTCAATTGAATAACTAAAATATCTCAAACAAGTACATATGCGTCTGACTACGACGTTGCTCCCGCTGCCGCCTCCGGCAAAGGATTTACGACGATCGGAATAACGTGCAGCGGATACTTCCTTGCTGAGGTGGCGCCGGAGGACTCCGTCATGTCCACAGCCTCAGACAACGCAAAATCGAAGTGATACAAAAGCGTAGCCAGCGAGCACATGACAAGCGCTAAGCTCATCGATATTCCAGGGCAGATCCTCCGGCCGGCGCCGAATGGGATGTACTCAAAATGAAGCCCCATGTAATCCACGGCATTGTCGCGAAACCTCTCCGGCTTAAAAGTGTCGGGATCTTCCCAAATTTTAGGATCTCTCCCGATGGCCCATGCATTCACTATCCCCCATCCGTTCGCAGGTACCTCGTAGCCGTTAATCTCGCACGCCTCGGAGTTTGCTCGGGGGAGCATCAATGGCAGCGGCGGATGCATCCTTAGAGCCTCCTTGATGACCATTTTCAGGTAGTCAAGCTGATCGAAGCCGGCCTCGTCGATGCCATCCTCGTCCTTGAAAACACGGCGCACCTCGTCTTGCGCTTCTTTGAGGACTTTCGGGTGTCGCATCATTTCCGCCATCGACCAATCCACCGCCGACATGGATGTCTCGATCCCGCCTGAAAACATATCCTACCGTACGTATACGATGTATTAGATCGAAAGCACGCATAATGTATATAAATGGATTGATCGGAGCTCACTGTGATCACGGCTTTAACGTTGTCAATGGTGAGAAAGTTGTCATTTCCGGGATCGTTGTGCTTCAAGAGAACATCGACCAAATCCTCCCTCCGTTCGCCTCTGCGGCTCTCCGTCGACCTGTGCTCGTCGATGATCTCGTCGAATATCTTGTCCAACTTCTTGTGCACTTTCTCGGTATCGGGTTTAAGAAATCTACCGAACCAGCGGAGCAGTTTGACGGAAGGGTAGACGTTGGCGATGGAAAATCCGGCGGAAATCGCGATCATTTCTTTTATTGTCGACATCAGGAGATCGAGCTTCCGGGTCTTGCTCCCGATGCAAGCCTCGGCGATAGAGTAGCCGATAGCCATGCCGATCCTCCGGCTCAAGTTGATCGATTTCCCCTGCCGCGAAGCTATCCATCGACACATTTCCGCGAACTCCTTCTTCCTCAACGGCTCGAATGACTCGACGCGGCGCGCGGACAACAGCTCCATCGAGCAGATCTTCCGGAGGTGTCGCCAGTACACGCCGTACGGCGCGTTTGCGATGTCCGTGCTGTTGTAACTTAAGATATTCATCCCGAGAAAGAACGGCCTGTTTGCAAAGTTGACGCCATTCTTCTTCAGCAGCTCTTTCGCAGCTTCAGCAGACGACGCCACGATTATCGGCACCTCTCCGATCTGTAGGTGCATCAACGGCCCATACGTCGAAGCCATATCGGCCAGAGTACGGTGGAGTGGCTGATCAAACCTCCTGAAGAGTAGGTGCATGCTGCCGATGATCGGGAGCTTTCTCGGCCCCGGGGGAATATTCCGGTGCCGGAATTGCGACCGGACCAGCAAAATGGCGAAACCGGAGAAGAAGAAAACGGTTGAGAGAAGGGAAAAGAAAGTGATCTCCATGAGCAATCAAGATTTCATTCCAATGTGATCCGATCCATCCGCATATGATATATAAATAAATAGCTTGGTTTACTTTTTTGTTTTTATTAGTATATACAATTCTGACTATTATTTTATATAAATATCATTTCGTGTTGCAATACATTATTACATCGCGGCTGTTACGATGCCGATAAAAATTAGTATATTAATTTATATACTTATTAAAGCTTTTTAACATAATTATATTTTCCGATGTTGAATCCATCCTACACCGTCAGATCATCTTTACTAAATGCATATTATATTAATTTAGTAATAGAAAAATGGAGATATTTTAAGTAATACAACCTTAAATAATAAACGAGGCAATTCAAAGATAACATAGAGAACATTAATATTTCATATAAAAAAAATACATCAAAATACCAGAACACCCGACTACAATCTTATTTCACTCCATCCTTCTCGACTAAAATCTACACTTCAAATTTTTTTCGCCGGCACCGGAATCTTAACCACCGGCATAACACTCAACGCATCCCTCCGGCGCGCCGTAATGCCGAAGCATTCGCTCATGTCCATGTCATCCGGTGTCATTCCGTCGGGCAAAGCCCAATCGAAGTGGTAGAGAAACATCGCCAACGGGAGCTCCACATTGGCAAGGCCAAACGCCAACCCGGGGCACATTCTTCTCCCGGCGCCAAATGGGATGAATTCGAAGTCTTTCCCTTTGAAATCCGCGGAAGTTTCAAGAAATCTTCCGGGCATAAATGTGTTTGGATCTTTCCAATATTTGGGGTCCCTCGCAATCGCCCACGCGTTCAACATGACCCTCGTCTTCGCCGGCAATTTGTAGCCATGGATCTCGAATGCCTCGGAGCTCTCCCTCGGAAGCAAGAGGGGCAACGGCGGATGCATCCGGAGGGTCTCTTTTATCACCATTTTTAAGTACTTGAGCTCGTCCAAATTGGCCTCGTCGACGAATCCCTTGCCCTCGAACACCCTTCTTACCTCGTCTTGCGCCTTCCGAAGAACTTCCGGGTTCTTCACCATTTCTGACATCGCCCAACCTATCGTTGTCGCCGATGTCTCCACTCCGGCGCTAAACATATCCTGATTCGATCAAATAACATAAATATGTTTTAATTTGAGTGTTTTTTTTGGATCTATCTTTTTACTTTTTACTACTATTTATATTCTATGTTTTAAAGTTTCACATTATTATTTAAATACAAATTTTATAGTCTTTCTTATAAGAAAATATTCATTTTTTTATTTTAGTCCGTCCCATAACAAAATATTTTTTTAGTAACTGTCAACCTAACATTACAAATACCTTTACAACTTACAATATATTACACAAATATCATTATCTTTATATCACACGTACTAATAATAAAATTATTTTAGGCTTTTCTAGTTTATTCCTACTGTATCATAATATAATACTAATTTTTTAAAATTATGTGAAAAAGTAAATGAATATTTAGTTCCGAGGGAACGGAGAGAGTATTAAGTCTTCATAAATTAAGGATATGTTTGTTTTAATTAAGTATTAAAATAATATTTAATTGAATATTTTATGAAAAAAAAAATGTATTTTTTTAAAAGATATATAATGTAAATAATAAAAAATTTTTAAAAAATTATATTTTTTTAAAGTATAATTATATATTTTAATAATATTTTATATTTTAAATATTTTTAATTTTTTTGAATTATAGTTAAATTATTTAGTTATCATAGTTTTAAAAATAGTTCATACAGAAAAGTTTTTAAAATGTGAAAAAGTAAAACATCGAACCAGTAGTACGGCTTTGATGTTTTGTGTGGATAAATGAAGCTCGTGTCCCTCCTCGTTGAACTTCAGCAAAACATCCACCAAATCTTCCCGTTCCTTTCCGCCGCCGCCCGCCGCCGCCGCCGCCCGGTGGTCGGCGATGATGCTTTCTATCATACCGTCGGTCGATTTGTGCAGCTTCAAAAGCTTGCTCCGGAGCCCGCTGAGGCGCTGGAAGAGCTTCACGGAGGGGAAGACGTCGGCGAGGGAGAATCCGGCGGCGAGCACCGTCGATTCGCGGACGCTGTCGATGAAAGCTTTATGCTGGTCGGCGCTGTTTCCGACGGTCGCCGTCATGAACGACTCGAAGGTCGCTTCCTCGATCAGATCGCCGAAATTGACGGCGGCGCCGGCGGCGGCGATTTTCCGGCAGAGATCGACGAAGCTCTCCTGGCGGAGGGGGCGGAAGGACTGCACGCGCCGCACGCTGAGCATCTCGAGCGTGCAGATCCGGCGGAGGCGCCGCCAGTAGTCGCCGTAGGGGGCGAAGGCGATGTCGGTGTTCCGGTAGAACATTGTCTCGGTGAAGATTAAAGAGGGGCGCGTGGCGAGCGTGACGTCGTGGTCTTTGAACACCGCCCTGGCGGCGTCGGCCGACGAGACGACGACGTTGGAGAGCTCGCCGAGCTGGAGGTGCATCACGGCGCCGTATTTAGCCGCCAGGTCGGCCAGAGTCCGGTGCGGCGGCCGGAATCTGGACATGAGGTGGAGGTTTCCGATGAGCGGCAGGCGCGGCGGCCCCGGCGGGAAATTGAAGCCGTTGGCGGCGGATTTTGATCGGAGCAGGCGGAGGAGGAAGAGGAGGAAGAGGAAGGAGGAGAAGAGGATGAAGGGGGAGAATTCGACGGCGACCGCCATTGTTGTTGGGAAATGGAAGCTTGGGGATTTGGTGAATTTTGCATTTAATTTATATTTGAAGTTTATAAGATTTGATGATGAATTATTGTCGATGGCTAAATTGTGTGGTCACGGAATCGCCCGTAACTTTTATCGTATGTATATGTATGTACATATATTTATACATACAGAGTGTATTAAAGAGGGAAGAGAGGCGCTGGGATCCCTTGTCGGTAGTGTCCTTATCTCATTTATGGCGGGTAAAATAAGCACGGTACACCTGGATAGTAATAACTACCCAAATATCGTACAACATTTGTGTTTGGTATAAAAATTTAGGTGAAAGTGTATTAAATATGATAATTTGAGATAATTTTAATATTAAGTTATGTGATTGAAGAGAGAAATAATTATTTAATTTTTTATTTGAGTGATGTGATGAGATAAAATGAAGTATATATTAATATATATATAAATATTATTAATTATTTTTGAATTTGGAAATCTTGCCACTGAATTTGTGACAAATAAAAAATAAAATGTTGCAGGGTGTTTGGGAACGGAGGGAGTATTATTTAATATTAAAAGTATTTTTATATTGGTATAATTTTTAATACAAATGTCTTTTTATTAGTCATTAAGACATTAATAGAAATATTTTTACAATTTTTTTTAATTTATATTATATTTTGATATAATAATTAATATTCAAATATTAATATGCAAAAAAATAAATAGAACATTTAGAGTCGCACGGAAGAGACAGTATTATTTTATATATAACACTTATCCGTCTCATTTGTATGGGTATTTTGAAGTAATTTTGTAGTAGATTATAAAATAATAGTATTTTATTAGTCAGCAAAATGTTATGTAAAAATTAATTGTATATGGGGTGACATATTTGTAATTTAAATAAAAATTATTAGTATTTTAATATTATTGTATAATTATTTTTACTAAAAAAAATAAAAGGCATACTTTTGAGTGGAACAAAGTAAAATTTATACTTTAAATTGGAGCCGAGAGAATAATGGAATGGAAAGATAAATAAATAAATAATTTTGTCTTTAAATTATTTTACTTTAAGACATTATTTATTATATTGTCTGAAATATAGTGATTTAAAAAAATAATAATAATAATAATAATAATAATAAATCCATTTACTTTTAAACAAAATAAATATATCAGAATGTGATAAAAATAGCAAAACAATTACACGTGATTCGAAGAAAATTATTTGAGCTTACAAATAATCCAAAAAGAATTTGGACCATACCAAACCTTGCATGGTTGAAAGTCCAAGTTGTATGTGGTCCAATATTTTTTATCAAATAAATTTTTAATTTAAATATATAAAGTTAAAAATGTGCTTGTTTTTTATTTTAAATATACATATATATATATTGTATTCAAATTTTCACTATTCTGATTATTAGTTAGATAAAAAATTATTTATAATAATAAAATATCATAGTATTAAAAGACTCTACCTCTAAAAAAGATCACATTTATTTTTTGTATTATTTTAGTAAAAATATTCTTATATTTATATATTTCTTTAAAAGATATCTTTTTGTTTGTATTATAAAACACTTATGAAAGTATTTTTGCTTTTCTTAATTTGTATTATGTTTTAATACAGTACTCCCCCCTCCCATGTACCGTGTCTGTTACACTGTAGATACGGTATTTTAGTACGGGTGTAATTAGTATATAATTAAAAATGTATTAGTGAAAATAATTATCCTATAATATAAATAATTATAAATTAAGATTAAGATAACTAATTAGTTTAATTAAAATTTTTAAAAAAAAATAAAATTAAAAAAAAAAGTTTAAAATGAGATCATTTTCCAAAAAACGAAAGTGATATAGTACGTGAGACGGACAAAAACGACAACGTGGACATGATATGTGGGACGAATGGATTAATTAATATTCAAATATCAACACGCAGAAGTAAATGAAATCCTAGAGCCGGACTTAGATAGTACTATTTAAATTAAATTTCAAACCGAAATATTAAAATCTAATCAAAACCAAACAAAACATTAGTGTTTATGTTCATAAGGTTTTGATTTTACTATTCTTAATCTTATTTTCCATTAAGAAAGAACATCAAATAAAACATGGTATTATTCATTTATTATACATCCTCCGTCCCATAATAAAGTATCTATTTTTCCATTTTAGTCTGTCTCATAACAAAGTATTTATTTATTTTTAATAACTGTACTATCTACTTAACATTACAAATACCCTTACAACTTACAATATATTACACAAATGTCATTACCTTTATATCTATATCACATATTTTAGTCATTTCTACTTTATTCCTACTATATCTCAATATAATACTAATATTTCTAAAATTACGTGCAAAAAAATAAATAAGTATTTACTTTTGGGACGAATGAAGCAATACATTTAATTTAATTTAAATTCAAAATATCATATCAATTTATATTTATATTAAATCAAACAAATATTCAAATTCAAATTTTTACTATTCCAAAAAATCAAAATCCCCCACAAACTAAAGTTTATTATTCTTTTAGCATCTCAAATCAAAATTAATATTATTCACTACTTTGATATTTCAATAAGAATATATTTTTATTTTTTTTTACAAAAATTCATATCAAAATATTATTTAAATAAACATTCAAATCAACACTCAATATTTAAATCAATTTTAAAAAATTATAAAAATCTTATAAATTGTGTTTGTTCGTGAGTTTCTAAATTTTTTTACTATTTATTAGTTCCTTCAAAATAAATATTTATTTTTATTATTTATCTCATCAAAAAATAATTTGTATTTAAATTGAATATATATATATATATTTATATCATATTAAATCATCATTCAAATTTTATCTTTTTGTAATTTAATGCATAAATTCAAAAGTCATCCTACCCATTCAATATTATTTTTTTTATTTACGTGAAACAATTTTTTCTTACAATTTTGTCGGTAGTGATAATGCAGCGATGTTTAATTAATCTTTAATAATTTTTTAAAGGTCGGGTCTAAAGGTAGACCCTATCCGACTTGTACTCTCGGACCAAGACTCAATTAATTAAATAATAAACTTTATAGTTTTTAACTTTTAGCTGATATATATTTTTATATCTGAATAAGGGTTAATTCTCCTAAAATCATCAATTTCTAAATTATTTTTTTCTATCGGTTCCTATTCATATAATTTTTCCATTTAACTCCCTATTTATTCCATTATTATACATTTTTACTCATTTTACTCTCTAAATAACTTTTTATTCATATTTTTATCCACCAAATATAATCCAAAACCTTTGGGTAAATAATATTTAATTATATTATTTGTTTATCTATGGAACAAATTTATTTATTTTATATAAATAAATTTTTGTATATAGAATCTATTTACTTATGACTCAATAATTTTTGCAGGACTTGTTACAATATATTAGTTTTTATAATAGAAAAATATTTTTTTTCAAATCAAAATTCATTATTTTCAACTTGTTTATTATATTACTTGTACTTATATTTTATTGAAATCAATATTTTTCTTATAAATATTTTATATAATTATAATGAAAGAGTTATGAGTACTTTTGTGTTATATATTTTATTATTATTATTTCTTGTCAATTATTATTTTTGTTGTTGTAATCTTTTGTTTTATATTTAAATTAATAAAAAGTAGAAATAAATTATAAAAATTACAGCATAGTTGAAAAAAAAAAAGAAAAAAAAAATGAGGGTACTATAGGTTTTTATATGAATAGGGAGTGAAAAAGAATAAATTTGTAAAAATAGGGAGTAGAAAAGATAAAATTAATGTATAGGGAGTAAATAAGAATATAAATATAAAATTAGGAAAATATGTAAAAATTGCCCTTATTATTATTGTTTTTCAATTTTTTTTTGCTAAATTAGCCGAAGCTATTGGCATAAATGGTTGGTTATGGGTGCCCAATTTATTTTTTGAAATAAATAGATATGTCGGTGTCCGTATTCGAGTAAAGTTTGTGTTGAAATTTTTTGAATCTAATAGTTTTAATAGGTAAATGCGGGTAAGATTTGGGTACATTCAAGTTTGAGTACATTCATGTCCGAATAAAGTTTTGATTTCAGTAATATATATTCGGATAGGGTCACAGATTCAACTATATACTACTCTTACTTTACCCATTATCATCCTTGTAATTAAGCGTTATCTTTAAATATTAATTATTATATGAAAACGTAATACAAAATTAAAAAAATGATAAAAATATTTATATTAGTATCTTATAATACTATATTTATGAAAAAAATATATATAAATATAATAATATTTTTAATATTAAGAACAATAATGCAAACAATAAATGAAATTCTTAGAGCCAAGCAGATGGAATATAATTTTTTCAAAAATATTAATACCTTACACATATTTATTATTTTTATATTACATACACAATTTATTTATATGTCGCATAAAAAAAATTCCTTCAACCAAAATACAAAATAAACACACCCATAATTTTTTTTGAAAAATATTATATTATTTTATTTTTAAAAAATAATATGTAATTTTAGTTTTTAAAACGTAATGCTGTAATTTTATTTTTTTAGTATCTACTATAAATTTTATATTTTTCTTGTAGTATTATAAAATATATTTACTGTGCTAAATCAATAATATGTTATGTACTAAAAAATTTTATAGTTTTATTGTGCTATTTAAAATTTATTTGATTTTAGACACTAGACAAAATAAACACCGATAATCTTAGAAAGTTTCAAATAAAAATGCAATATTCTTTTTACAAACAATATTATTTATGTCTAAACGTGGCACACTAAAAATACTTTATTCTTCTATTTGCAAGAGTTACATTAAATTTTTTGTCGTTAATATTTGAATATTAATTATTATATTAAAATACAGTATAAATCAAAATAAAGTATAAATGTAATGACATTTTTGTCCTTTTTGTTTTTTGGTATAAAAGTAATAATGTGATGTAAAGTAGAGATATTTGTGAAAAAATAGAATATTTAATAAAATTATTACTTTGTAATTGGATGTCCCAGAATTGAAATACGTATACTTTTTAACTGGACGGAGGAAATACGATACTAAAATATTGACATTTGTATAAAAAATTTATATAAATCTTAAAATATTTTTAATATTAAATATAATAATAAAAAATATAAATATAACTAACAAAAGAAGTATATAACAAAACAAAACAAATGTAATAATAATAATAATAATAATAAGTGGAACTCACATTTTTTAAAAAAGAAAATAATAATAATAATAATAATAATAATAAGTGGACCTCACATTTTTTCAAAAAGAAAAAATAATAATAATAACATTTAAAAAAAAAAGAAAAAAGAAAATCAGTTCATTATAACTACTACAATAAATGAGTGTTTGAATACAGTGGGATGGCATCCAATGCTTTTATATAAAAAACTCAAAAACTGTGAAGAACTCTTCGGAAAAATTTAGACCACTGATCTATTATAGTTACTCCGTCACAATATAATAGTCTTATTTATTATTTTTGTCCGTCTCAAAATAATAGTCTTATTTTCATAAATAACTATATCACTATATAATTACCCTTATTATTTCATTATTATTATTACGCAATTGTCACTATCTTTTACACTAATACACCCGTAAGGGCAAAAATATTTTTTACCTTTACTTTTTATCCAAATCTCGTGCCTAACACAATCAAGACTATATCTGGAATGAAAGGAGCATAATATATATATATAGAGAGAGATTAATATTATGCTAAAATTAATTATAATATATATTATATGCATTTTATCATGTACTAATAAGAATTTATTAATCTTCATCAGTATTCTTGAGTTATATATATATATATATACCCTTAAATTAATTTTGAACCCTTTTCGTAAAATATTTGTATACTTTTAACTACACATATTTCTTAACATTGAAGCACAAAAATAAAATAAAAAATGATGCTCAAAACGAAATCCAACCTCATCTAATTTTTGTGGACAATAGATATAGGAAGATAAAATAATCGAATTTTATATCTTTTACCCAAATATATAAACAATACATATTATATTTGTGGATGAAAAATAAATAAATAAATAAAAATTAAAATTGTGGTGTAGAAGTTTGAACAAAGATATGTTATTTATTTATTATTTTAAGCTTCACTAGACTCGTGGATAATATAAAAGAACACGTGATAAGAAAGCCTATTGAAGTTTGTCTAGATAGGAGTTTTTGGAAGTTTTTGAAAATTTGGAATTTTAAAAGAAATAAAAAATTAATATTTGATTTGATATTTTGTGAAAAAAAAATATATATTTAATGTGATATTTTTTTTAAAAAAAATGAATAGTGCTAGTGAAAGTATTTTTTTGTAAACATAGCGTAAGTTTGTTTTCAGATTATATGTGAAATCAAAATCATTCGTTGTTCAATTGGTATAATTTTTAATAAAATATATTAATTATTTTTTAAAAATATTAAAGCAACATATTAATTAAACCAAAACTTAAATCTAACATTTTAATTTAAAACAAAAAATCAAACAAATCGTAATTAGTTTATTCAAATATGAGTGTGTGGTTGTTTTTGTATCAAGTATGATAAACTTGCAAGTGATATTTTTATATATAAATAGAATATATTTCATTAGTTCAAATTCAAAATCGATTTTATTATTTTAATCCGTCATTCATTTATTTTTTAAGTAAAAATAATTATTCAGAGTTTGTTTGTTTAGCAAAATAATTTGCATAGATATTTTTATGTGTATATTTCCTCCGTCCTTTGAGGAACACATTCAATCATACTTAACATTAATATTTGTATAATTTTTTGTACAGTCATTCTATTAATATTAGAAAATCTTAATAAAAATATTTTTGCAATTTTCTTTTTATTTTGTACGATGTTTCTGATATAATAATTAATATTCAAATATTAATACGCAAAAAGTATATAAAACATTTGGAGCAGAAGTACTATTAATTTTCTTTTTTTTTTTTTTTGAAAATGTATTTTTGGAAAATGTGATTATCACATAGCTGTTAAACGAATTGAGTAACTAACGAACCAAGCTCGATTCGGCTCGCGAGTAGTTTAATTGAGCTCGTTAGTGATAATATATTTATATTATTTATATATTAAAATAATATATAGTATAATTTTTTATATCAAAATTTACATATTATAAAAAATTATGAATAAAATTAAATATATTTAATTTATATATTAAAAAATATATAAAATATGTATAAAATTCAAACTAAGCTTGAGCTCGAGTTTGTATTTGAGCCTAACGAGCCGAACTGAGCTTGTACCGTTAACAAGTTCGAGTCGACCTCCAACAACCGATACTCGAACTCGCTCCACTGATTTAACAGGTCTACCACAAAAAGAACACACATTCACTGATATCCAGATATCCAAAGAAAAAAAAAAAAAATCATCAATGAAAAAACGCTTGATTTTCAAATAATCTACCAATAATATCAATATTTCCATCAAATTCTTCTTCCATTGTTACTATATCCGTAAACCTGTGTAGATTGAGCAAGTAATATGAATTCCTCAATGAACCAAATTGCACGCATCTCAAACTGTGACAAGAACCACAACATAAACACAAACTATTACATACATATATATATATATATATTCTTAAAACCGAACACTATTGAATCCCAGAAACTAGAACACAGATAAATGGGGGGTGGGGGTGGGGAATCCTACAAAATTTGAGGTTAAAATAAAAAACAAGAGCAAGGCAATGCATTTAAAGAAGAAAACTAACCCGAGAGTAATTCTTCAATGCGCGCTAGCAACGAGAGAGATCAGGTGGCAGGTATACAGTACGAAGAGCTGAGGGTGGGGGGCATGATGCATACCAGATGAGGCCCGGGTGGATTACAACTTATGTTTGCATCTCCGACATTTGGCAAGCCTAGTTGAGGGGGACGGACATATCCAGCGACCAGAGGCAAGCATAGAATGGAGATCACTATCCTCGACCCTGTTAGAAATTTAAAAACATTGGATTTTGGAATAATGGAGAATCGATAAAGAAGACAACATAACCAGCTTATAAGAGTGGGAAAAGGTAATGGCTGACGGCGATGAATGTACCTTGCTTTTTGGAGAGTGAAACATATCCTCTTTTCCTTCCAGCAATCATCCAGTTCTCGGAATTGACTTTAATTTCGTATAGCACCTCATCCTGTCCAAAAAAAAAACCACGATAACTTAGATTTTGTGTAGTAGCAACTCAGTATTGAAATTCCAACTGATGTACAAAATATCAGATCAAATTACTATTTTTTATATTATGATTCAAAATTTAACATCCCAGTAAAACACAGCAGTTTTTTTTTTGAACGGCGACAAACAAACAATAAAGTATGCGGCTTGAAATATCGACTTTCTTAAATTAAAGCAGAAGCAGTAATGATGACTTACAAGGTAGTCGGAAGGCTCATTCTCCTCGGAGTCTTTCAATCTTTCGACTCTCCATTTCATGGTCACGAACTGGCCGACTCGGAGACCAGTCGATGGGAGAGAAAGGAATCCCACTGCAAGGAAAGGATCGAGGACTGGTCTTTTTAAAGCAAGAACACTCCTAAAGGTCAAACATGCCGTCTTATTATCATTGGACGCTGTAAGTTCCTCGGCTATAGGGCCATGAGCTCCAAGTTTTCTACTGCCCGAAATTGAATATCTTATATGCAATATATTATCTGGATGCAACTCTGATGCTTCGCCTGCAGAAATGAAATAGACTAAATAAAAGATGCACATCTGCAGCGCTACTAGCCCTCTAGAGAATAGGCTATATTCATGTCACAGTCACAGATAAGATTATTCAGCTGCATGATGTGGATATTTTGTACACAAAAACATCCTCTACAAGAACATGACAGCATTTAAGTGGTCAGAAAAATGTAAAACAGAAAACAGTGGCTACCTGTCGTAGGCACTTCTGATAAACAGATGCTAAACAAAATTCCAGCTCTTGATTTAGGAGAGACGGTTAGCGGAAAGAAATTAGAGGCTGGCCTCCCATCACCTTTTCCAGCATGAGATAAGCCGTCTTGAAGATCCAGCCAAGCATCATGGATGACTAGTGAAGCTTTCACTTGTGATTGCAGAATTACCTATGAAATAGATGAGAGAAAAAAAAAACAGAAGCTGAGTATTAGAAGTATACTCGACAATTTAATGAAAGTTCTTGGATTGAACAAGCACAGATTTAGAAAACTCAGTTGTAAGAAACGGCAAAATCTGATTAATAGACCCTTCAATTAGCATCATTAATCAGTACAAGTGGTAAAAGTCATGATCGACAATAGCACAAGATTTTTTATTTTAGTTTTTCCTTAGAAGGTTGACCACAGAGCCTGTCGTAATAAATAAGGAATTGGACAAGTAACCAAAGAATGAAGGACGATAATTATGAACTATCATTATATAACCAAAAAAAAAAGAGTTTGGGTGTTTTGTATCGCAGAAGCAAAATGTAACATAAATACCTGCAAAAGCAAGTTACCGTCACTGCATTTGTCTGCAAGACTTGTACTCACATGCAAAGGATCAGTAAAATGCACAGCAATTGTCCTGAGGTGCATAACTCTCAGTAAATTTAGGCTTAATTCCCAGAAAAAGAAAAAAAAGAAAAAAAATGAGAACGTCAGAGAAAAAAAAGCAATTAGTACTTTTCAAATGTCTGATTATGAGAAACTCCAAAATCAAGTTTCAGAGCAATAGTCCTCAAACCATCGACGATATTCTGCCTCTGAGAAACAGCGGTACCTGAAGAGCAGGAAAGAGTAATCACACTTTCCAAATACAGAAGGGCATCATTTAATAATGTGAAGAAACAAACTACGATAATACCAACCTGCAGGAGTCCCTTTTGGTAGCCCATCACTGGCAGCCCGTAACGGTATCCATAAAACAGAAGTAATATTGCTTGTCCAGTCAGGTAACTTGATCTTACTATCTTCAAGACTCAATTGCTTAATTTCATCACCCAATGCAGAACCATCGTTCGGTTGATTATCAAAACTGGCCTTGCTTTGTGGCTCAACCTCATGCTTCTCAATTTCAATCCCATGTGTGCTCTCAATACTCAAGCCAGGGCCAGTATCAACGTGCAGTACAGCCCCTTTAAGAGAGTAGTCAATTGGTCTAACAATTACTCCAACCCACTGCGATTCATTCATTAGCAATCCAGATGAAACAGCAGCAGCAAGATCAACCAGTGGCCTTGGTTCTGCTACCTATTAAAGAATAAGATCGGCACTTTTTATTTGCACAACACCCATTCAAATGTATATGGGAAGGCGAACAGATGTCATCTACTACCGTATAATTTTAAAATCTTCAGTTCTGTGAGAGGTGCTATCATTAACTAATGGTCAAATTAAATGTTAATACCTTCAAAATAAGGCTTGTAGTCAAATTAAATATCAATACCTTCAAAATAGGGCGTGTAGGTTTTTCATAACTCATGAAATCATCAGTATCAGCAGGGCCACCTTTCGAAAAACTGTGAGATCTAAATCTCAACTGACCAATTTGTCCTGTGAGGACCCCTAAAACATAGGAGCCTGGTTTTTGTGGAGGCAAAGAAAGGGCGATATTATTCCTTCCAGGACTTAGTACAACAGGTTCTGACCTCTTTATTGCCTGATGAAATTAAAATTGAGTTAGTCCCAATGTGAAAGATGGATTATCAGAGAACAAGGTAAGTCAGATAATAAAAGGAACATATTTACCTTAGCACCTTCATCAGTATTATTTGTGGCGGTCAGCGTAACACTAAGAGATTCGAGCGTTATATCATCTGGAAACCCACTCCATAGAGTAACAGAAAGTGTGCCAGGGTCCCCATCGCAAAGCTCTAGGGGAGGTCCCTGACTGCCAGAAAATGTTATTAAGGATGATACATCTAGGGGCACAGGATGCTCCATTTCACTATGAGCAAGACGGACAACTTCAGATTGAAATGCTTGTCGTTCCTTGGTTAGGAACAATGATTTGTCTAACGACAATAATCTCACACAGGAAGATAGATAGCCGGCTTGGTCACTGAGAATCTTCTGACATTCTGCTAAATTTGGAAGAACTTCAGCCAGTAGGTGCTCCCATCCCTCACCCGCATAAAGAGCACAAACTTTCTCATACAAATTAGCAGCTACATCATAATTTTCATGCTTGTGATAAACAGAAGCAATTTCACCATCAAGGACAACTCCATGCCTCTTCCACCAAGAACGGTGGTAGTTGTTTGCAGCACCCTTTGATAGATCTAGATATCGCTTCTGCATTGTACACATATTGTCAAGTTAGCCGCAAGAAGTGGTAACCGAATGCATAGAACAACAAACACAAAATGTTGATACGCATGCCCTCTTATAATCAGGCAACATAAAATTGAATTTGTTCTTAGAAAAGTCAGTTTCTTGAGATAGAGTTATGTCTACAATAGATGTAGAGGTCATTTGGTTAACTTATAATAGGGGAAAAAAAAAAGTAATAAAACACGAGCATATAAGACACTAGATCCTATGTTCGGTATATAAAAGATAACTACAAGAGATGATTGAGATTTGGAGAAATTACTAGAATTGTCTTCTACATCGAAATACATGAACGGAAAACATTGCATATTTTAAGTTAGCATTTACTCTTCTTAAGGGTGTGTTTGTTTGGGGGTTTTGATTTTGAGTTGGAATTTGAATAGTAAAAATTTTGAATTTGAATAGTTGTATGATGTGATATAAATAGGTGTTGATGCGATGTTTTGAATGTAAAATTGATTTTTAGTATAATATAAAAAATGAAAAATAGGTGTTTGATTTGATGTTTTTGGGGGGAAATGGGATGAATAGTATATTTAAAATCCAATCCCCCAAACAAACACACCCTTAGAAGAACTTACAAGATAGAACACTCATTTTCACAACCTATGATCTTGAAGATTTACTAAGAAATTATAATATATCACGCGCACCACTACAACATACTAATAAATTTAATTAAAAATAAATCCCTCTTATCTTAAATATTAGATTGAAACAGAAAAGACTATTTAGCAAGATCTCCCTTACAAGCCCAAAGTTGATGTTGAAACTGCAGTATGAGAGCTTGAAGCTTAAAAGTCAACTTGAAGATAGAATAAGAATACAAATTAACCCTGAATAGTAATTTTAAACAAAACTTGAAATGATTATGCACCAGCAAAACAAGTACCTCGAATTCCTCAACAGACGACAAAGAGTTCCACAATGTAGCATCAGAAACTGAAGCCTTTAAAGCATGCTCAGCAGCAACATAAATTTCTGCTAGTCTCATAGGACGATCAATTGAACCCTCAAAATTCCCAGGTGAAGAGAACGTCCTTGACATGGATAATGTACTAGCTTTAGGCATTGAAGATTGTGGTCCTGAACTGTCAATAAAACTATTTGATAAGAACCTAAACCCTAAACCCCAAAGTTACAACCAAAGAAAACCAAGTATTCACATGAGCATTTCCTTTGGAACTACAAAACAGGATAATCCTTACAGAGAGAAGAGCATTCCAGCTATTTATATTTCCTTTGGAACTAGAAAACAGGATAATCCTTACAGAGAGAAGAGCATTCCAGCTATTTATATTAAACATATCAATTACGTATAACAAATTGTACATTGAAGATTTTTCTTGAGGTTAATAACTTTTTGCATAATCCCGCAGAATGCAGGGCCACTTCTATAGTATACAGCCATTTATATAACTTTCTTCAATTCATTCTTGTTATCTGCCTTCATCTAGCAATGTGGCAATGTAAGTCCAGGATGACGTAGAGAATAAATGCTTTTGGCACATGTAAGAGAAACAACAAGGTTATGTTACAAAAAACTTTAATGTTTGGTTTTTATTTTTTTATAACCTGTTTATGCATTCAGAAAATAATCAGAAATAATACATAGAGTCGGGTAATGCTAATAATTTAGATACCTATCATTGGAATTAGGACGGCCTTCAATCAATTCAAACATATTTCCAGCTGACAGAGAAGCTCGACGGCGATTAGCCTCACGCAACAGAACAGAGGGTTCAAGAGGCAGCGGCTTCCTCTGGATGCCAAAATGCTTAGGCCGTGGAGATTCTTGGAGAATCATCTGCAAAACCCATTCAGCTAGGAATATAGTTAAGATTACTGGAGGAAATTTTGGAAAACAGGATTAAAAATACATTAATGTAGAACATGCGTACAGAAGCTTCAACCACAACCTCAAAATAAATAAATAAATAAATAAAAATCAAAGTGGAAAGAAACAAAGGAAAAAAGAAACAAAAACGATGGGGAGGACATCCATGATAGAAGTCTGAGAATCCAATGCAGCAAAGTAGTTCCCCTTATGAATAATTTTAATCTTGGAAAGAGTTACATAGCATCAACTAATTTATTTCTACTACAAAATAATCAATACACAAAACAAATTTCCACATCTAAGAAATTTGCAGATGTAGTGACTTGCAAAATACTAATGAGAGAATGAGACAAGCATTTCACGAAGAAAATTCAGTTTGATCAATCTACATTGGTAAGTTCAACCACATGCAGAAGAAACAGAAGGCTTCCATCTTAAAAATTCATTAGCAGGGCCATTTCAATTACAAAGCTATAGAATGAATAAAGCATTTAGATCATTAGAACCTGTAGATAATATCCACAGAAATGTTAAAAAAAAAAAAAAACATCTTAACTACGGGAAGTCACTGTAAATGTTAATAATGTTGTTATAGTGCATGAATACTAATATCCAAAATCCAGATTGAAATAAAGTCAGCCATAATATCTCCAGTGAGTCAGTGACAGTGGAAGCATCCATTGCCACATTAATTTCAGAATTCTAAAGGCATGAGAAGACAGAATATTCATAAAGCACCCCACAATTTCCAATTATGCCACAAGAGGGAGAACGTAGTCTATCTTTAGCAAAGATCAAAGTAAAAGAGATAGCAAGCAGGAAATTCTATTGATATTATAAATAATTCTTCTGATTCATCCTTCACAATACTATCCAATTAAATCAGCTTTTCTTGTGCAATATTATAAATCATTCCAGTATGCTAAATTCTTTCAACGCATCATTCACAATACTATCCAGTTAAAAATCACCTTTTCTTTTGCAAGCACCTCAGATGAAGCATCGGGTGGAAGTGATGGCCAAACTGCTGGCTTAGGCCACGGCAGCATGCTGAGTGAAGCACTGGATAAAATGCAAAAGTTACAATATTGTCATAAAAGACGAAACTACGTATATTATATACAACAGATTTAGATTGGTCCTCAGCGTCTTCATGATAATACAATTGTGGCGAACATTTAACAGAACAGAAACATTAAATCTCAAGGTATGTTTCCTTGTGAGGATAAAGAACTGCATACGCAGAATTGCAATGGAAATAATAAGTACCTGTTGACAGGACTCCTTTCTATATCTGATCCATAGCCAATCAAGTACCCCAGCCGCATAAACTGTTACAACCATGAATGTATGTAATATTTAAAAGCTGACTTGAAAAAGCTAAAGAAAATATGCTCCATAATCACATTCAAAACTCTGAAACTACAATGAGAAATTGTCATGTGTGTCTACCTTAGTCCGGCATAAGGCATACAGCTCGCCTTGAACACGGAAAAATTCCTTTTCAACATCAAGTGGTGCTAATCCATCTTCATAGTGAGAAGCAGATGCACTTGCTAGTGCAGAGCAGGCTGTTATAACCCAGATTTCACGCATACAAAATGGCAATATACTCTGCAAGAACCAGATATAGAAGAATTCTCATAAGGACCTACTACATCAAGATCTCATGGCATATTTCCAAGATCATAGAAAAACAGAATCACCTCATGCTGTGCTAGTGCCTTGGAGAAGCTAATTATGAATGAATAACCCCTTGATGCAACTTCATATGGACGGTTGAGTTTGAAGAGAAGCTGCATTTGAGTATGTTAATATCCTTGTGGACAACGTCTCAATTAGACTAATTTCATCAATAAGATGAGGGAGTAAGACGCCATAGGAGTGATAACTATGAAAAATCAAAGATAAAGAGAAACATATTTAAAGCTAATCATCGACATATAAAAATGTAATAAATTACTGCTCAAACGCATGGTAGTGGACTCAATCAGAGAAGGAAATTATTACACAACCAAATCAGATCAAAAAGAAAGTATCATACAATAGAAATTCAACCTAAGGAACTCACAATATTATCCACACCTTTGCTTGGCAGGCAAATAGATATTGCCTAAATTCAAACTCCCTAAATGAATCATCTTGAACAATCTGAGTCAATGCTTTTCTCCCAGTGTCAAGCAGCATAGCCTGATCATCCCCTCGCTCCAGTCCACCAAAGTCCCTTTGTCTTCCTATCATATTAACTGCAATAGATAGACAAAGCAAAGAAAAATTACAAATCTAACAAAAAATATTTTTATTATGTTAGTTTCAAACTATATGAAAGACAAAGAAGAATCATTCAATACATCGATCTCCAAAAAATAATCAAGAGGAGATTAAGTACCTGTTTCCAAATAACAGAGTTCAAGCTCATCATATTCACGCAAAGCATCTTCATGGAGATGAGCAATCTCAAACATGAAGGCCAAACTTTCCTGACAAATGAGAGAGAAAAAGATCCTAACTTGCCGAGAATTATAGCTCTTGATCAACAAAGAAGCATTGTAAACTAAAATAAAACACAGGCACTTAATGATCAACCTTTCAGAATCTAAGAAACAATTATGATATTGAGGTACTTTACAATACAAGAATGAAGTAACCAAGATGTAAAAGAAGCGAAATTACTATACAGTTCATTCAAACAATAACAAACGATATCAAATTATATCTGGTATGTTGAGTCATTTACGATTAGAACATATTGAGTCTTTCTATATTTAATGATTATGTGCCATATGGGAATTAAACATGAATACTTCTCCCATATAGTATAAGATAGGTTATGCTATTAAATAACATACCAAAAAGATTGAAAATCTGACCAAAAACACCCTTATTTATTATCCAAACTTCCCCAAAATGCTTCATATCAACACCAGGGTTATAGTTCCTCCCACCCACTTCCCTCATTCTCATCTCTACAGTCTGTTTCCATATCTTTCCAATCAAATATATCATTAGATGTTCATCACTTCATCTTTGCTATCTAAGAATTTTTTTCAACCCTAAAGAAAAGAAAACTCCACCAAAAAGCAATCCATCATTAAGTCAGCCAAAGCATAAGACAGCCATTTTTTCACATTTTATTGTAACAAATTACTGCAATATCTCAAATATGTTATCAGGAAACTCCATTGCATAACCTTGTGGGTAGCATTTCTGCCTAATAACCAATGTAGCAAATGCACCCCTTTGCAACTATTAGCTGGGGATGAATGAGTTCTACTGCCTCACAGAAGTTTAATGAGGCATTTTATACCAAACTTACAAAAACAAAAGAATCCGATTTTAAAAAGTACCTTTAGGATGAAAAAATTGCAGAAGTTCCAAATTGGCATGAATCTCTGTTCACTGAGCTTGCGAATTTCCTCTTCATAAAACTGAATGCGCCGGTCAAGTGTATTTCTAATGCACTCCATAATTTTTCCCTCCAAATCTTCCCAAAAATGTGATTCGGGTCCATACAAATCAAATTTGCAGCACCTAAATGAAACATCAATCTTAAAATAAGTCTTCAGGCCTAAAACAGAAATGTATGATTTCTCATGCTGTATTCAGTCCTCCCTATTGCTATCTTGAATAATTCAGATCAGGTTGATTTTGAGAACATAAAAAATAAATAGAAAAAAGCACTGATTGTCACTTTCCACCAGTTTATTAAATATATATATATATATATTCTTGTAATTCAGCAGCACAAAATTAAATTACCTTTCCCTCTTCTTAGTGTTAAAATCAACCTCGAGTTTCGCATATACTTTTTTCGCCATCTTAGTAGCCTGATCACTGTGCGCCGGTGCTTTAGACACAAAAACAATAAACCATTCCTTTTCATCATTTTGAACTATGTGCTTGAGGCGTGGCTTCAGAATGTTCTTGAACTCATCAAGATCCTGTACAGAAAAGAATTGCAAGCAAAAGAAAATACAAAAAAGATTTCCAGGTTAGAGTAGAAACCTCAGCCACACAGATGATAAAGTGAATTAACTTGAGAATAGCACGAAGGTTACCTCACAGGTAACAAGCACAATGGTTGCATATGGCTCTCTAAACCAAAATAATGATTGCTCTTGAGGGAACCGACTACGAAGTCGGGAATCTGTTGTCAGTATATACTCGGCAGGTAATTCATTCACAAGCACAGAGTTGTGGGTCTTGTTGTTTAGGAAAACCCTTTTGAATGGAAGCCTCTCTTGAAACTCCTTCTTCACAGTGGGCCACAGATCGCTCACATCTTCCACTATAGCATCAGAAAATAACAGTTATAAAAGCTGAAAACATCTTCACAATCAGAAGACAAAATAATTTCAAAAAGAAAAATCTCCCAATTTCTCCAATAAGAAATATAATTTTAAATGCTCTGCAAGCAATGGTTGTATATGCACAAATGATAATTACAAAAAAAAGTTAAAAATTCAAAATATAACTTTTACTAATGATTTCTTCCGTATGAATAGATTTTCACATATCTATACACAAAAATTTTTGCTCATCAACAAAAATTTGCAAATCAAGATTGTGGCGTTGGGTATAAATTAAAGTAATCCCCAAATCATACTGTGTAATTATTCAATTGACTTATCTAAATGCTTAATTCATGATTTTAATTCCAATTCTAACAGCTTAGTAGATGAATCACCGAAATGACTAAAGCACACAACGAACAAGTGCCTAAAAAGGAACGAAGCAGGAAAATTAAAAATTAGCAAAATTAACAAAAGCACAGTCACTGAAAGCCCTAAGAATACAATCCGAATCAAAAGGAGAATGCAGGCTCCGCACCAGCAAGAACGACGTGATCGAAGGCCGTCTTGATGCTCTGAAACTGAGGCAGAAAAGTCGCCATTTTCCCCGATCTATGGAGACCCTAAGTCCATTAATGGAGAGTGAGATTGACGAATCCACAATGCAATAGTAGCTCAAGTAACTTGCAACTGATCAAGAAGAGTCATCACTATTCACTGCTCGCCATCTGCTCCAACTTCGAAGAGGAATTCCGCGATGGATCGACCGATTGATGGATTTGAAGACACTATGGAAAAAAATAATAATAATAAAATAAAATAAAATAAAATAAATTTTTTACAAAGTTACAATTAATTTTCGGGTTGGTCTATGTTTGTAAACCCATTATTAAAGCCCATATCCATTACATAATGGGCCTGAATGTTTGGATTTGCTTTGTCTTTTTTTAATTTTATCCTTTTACTTTTAGTCTAAATAATATTTTAATAATATAATATTTTAAAAGAAAAAAATTGTATAAATGACAGTTTGAGGATGTGTTTCTTTGAAATTGGTATTAAAATAATATTTGATACGATATTTTGTGAGAGTAAAAAATATTTTTTCCGAACACAAAGTTCAAATAGTAAAACATCGTAGATTTGGGAGTTTTTTTTTTTTTTTTTTGTTTAAGAATTTTTACTATTTACTTTCTTTGTCCCAAATCAAAACCCTTTCAAATTTTATAATAGATTAAAAAATAATACTCGCTCCGCCTCAAACGTAGTGCATTTTCTGTACGATAATTTAGGGTATTTTGGTTTTGTAAGATTGTTGGAAAGAAAAATAAAATTATACGAGGTATACGGAACTGTGTAGGGAATATAAAATTAATGAATGTGTGTACTGTATTAATATTTTTAGAAAAATGTGTGAAAATAAAGATAGAAAGAACAAAGCCTTAGGTGGATAGTAATAAATATGATAATTTGAGAAGTAAATAATGTGATAAAAATGAAATGTATATATTTATTTAAATAATGTGATAAGATAAAATTTTGGGTATGATTAAATATATTTAGTTATTTCCTATAATATTATATTAAGAAAAATAATATATATATAATATATTATATTCAATTAAAAATGTGGTACCTTTTTTGTTGTGAAATATTTTTGACTGAGGCCTCTAATTAGTGATATTACTGATATTATTTTTCTTATTTATATTGATTTGTTGACAATGATACATTTTATTGGACCATGTCTCAATTGAATATGACATAAATCATAGTAGGATAATTTTATCTAGAAATATACATAATGATTGAATTTTGTATTTGCTGCCTATTGGGGGTTAAATATTGAAATACTTTATGGCTAGTATTGATACCCTAAGCATATAATTTATGAGATTTAAGTTGATAAGTTGTTAGGCTATGATATTTCAGAGTTTGGCCGTTATTCGGTAAATTCTTGTGTGTAAATGAACCAGTATTAGATCATTCGAAATTAATTAGAGTTTAAATGGATTGAATAGATTACTTTAAAGTTAAGTGTGTTTGTCACGTTGGTAGGACTCGTGTTGATCTGTAGGATCAGTCTACGATCCGACACGTCCGGCTTTGCATGACTTGTGGGCCAGTTTATATTCTCTGTCTCAACCCTAAAAAATTTGTTGTCTTGCAGGCTAAAGTCGGGATGGATTACGAATCGTCTTATGGCAAGGTTCACCCAAATGATACTATCTTGAAACTCCAAAGAACGACGCCTTACTACAAGAGAAATCGAGCACATGTTTGCAGTTTCTATGTTCGAGGTCGATGTACAAAAGGGCCAGAGTGTCCTTACAGGCATGAGATGCCCGAGGAGGTGAATTGTCTAGACATAATATTAAAAATCGTTACTATGGATACGTCCGATGTTTATCCAATTCAAACATTTTCCCGCTTATGTGATCTATTTACAATTACGGGTATTCTTAGTATTCTAATTGTTACATGAAATAAATGATTGTCTGATCTAAAAATTTAAACTGTTAGGATACGTATTATTTATTTATTTATTTACAAACGAGAGTCAATCAACGCTAATTAATGTCCTTCACAATGATTGTGTTGCGAGCCTAGCGAAGAACTCACCAACAAGTTAGTCATCAATGGCTTGCTTTGTGGTATTGCTATTCTATATGTTTAAGAATACATATGTGAATTGTGTTGTGTTCATCTTTCATGGTTACGTGTAAAAACTAAGGATGTAAACGGGGGCGAGTTCGAGACATAATGGGCTTTGTAGGCCTTTGAACCTGTCCACCGGAAAATTATAGGCTCCAAAACCTGCCTTGACCCCAATCCAAAACTGATCTTGTCTTGAACTTGTTGGATTGGGGCCTTATTTTTATAAAGTATTATATATATTTTTTCATTTTAGGGTTATATAATAATAAAAAAATATTAGGTGTTAAAAGATTTAATATTTTAAATTTTAAAAAATTCAATTACTTGAGCTATAATACATTTTCAATTGCAGTGGTGGAAGAAAGGGATTTTGATCTGATTTTTTACTTTGTAATTTGTCCCATTTGATTGGATTTAAAATCATAAAATTGATAATCCGTCTCATCTCATATATAAAAAAGTTAAATTTATATCGTATACAACTATTCAAATTCAAAATTTTTACTATTCAAATCTCAATTCAAAACTCAAATCTTCAACTGAGCGAAATCGTCGCGACTTATTAAAATTGTAGGATTTCTTTAGCGCCGGGATCGAGACATCCTCGGCGACGATAGATTGGGCTATGGCGGAAATGCTAAGGAACCCGATAGTCCTTAACAAGGCACAAGATGAGGTGAGACGCGTATTCGACAAAAAGGGATTTGTCGACGAGTCAGACTTCGATCAACTAACGCACCTAGGAATGGTAATCAAAGAGACGCTACAAATACATCCCCTGGCGCCGCTATTGCTTCTGCGACAAAGCCGCGAGCGTTGCGAAATCAACGGCTACGATATACCCGTAAAAAGTCGAGTTATTGTGAATGCGTGGGTGATGGGAAGAGACCCGAAGAGTTGGAAAGATCCCGACATTTTTAGCCCCGAGAGATACCTTGGCAACCCCGTCAATTACAAGGGGAAGAACTTCGAACTCTTACCGTTTGGCGGCGGCCAGAGAATCTGCCCGAGAATGACGTTCGGGCTGGCGAACGTCGAGCTCCTGTTGGCGATGTTTCTCTATCACTTTGATTGGATTCTGCCCAACGGAATTAAGCCAGAAAATGTCGACATGGTCGAGACATTTGGGATTACCGCGAGAAGAAAGAACCCATTACGTGTGATTCCTACCGTTAAGAATCCTTTGCCTAAACTAGTGTAAGACTGAAACATAAAATGGTTTGTTTGTAATAAAGAAATGTGTTTATTTTTTATTTAAAATTTTGTTATATCAATACCTATTTTATCTTAAAAAATAATAATAATTGAAATATTCAAAACACCCAAATATTTGTATATTCATCTTTTTTAAAGAAAAAAAAAAAGAAATTGTGTATATTTTTCAGTTAATATTATTAAAAATATATAATATGTGTATGTAAAATATAATATTTTCTCAGTTAAATACAATACTCCTTTTGTCCGCTTCTAAAAGTTTGTATAATATTTTATACAAATCTCTTTCTATTAGTATTATCAGGTGAAAGTATTTTTGTAATTTTTTTTTATTTTGTACTATATTTTGATATAATAATTAATATTTCAATATCAACACGTAACCATTTAACCGAACAGAGATAGTATATTATAAGGGCATCTTACCTTGATAAAGTTATTTGAAATATTTTTAGCCCAAATCCCTCCAACATTATGGAATTTAATTAATTGAAAATATATTGTGATTTGATTATCTTAATAATTTAGAATCATGCATACCTATGTATGTATATATATATGATTGAATGTACGTTTTAAATGTAATTATTATCCAAATATTTTCCAAAACGTTACACACTTATTTTCGTAAGGCCAATAAATTTCCAACCAAAATAAATAAAATAATGTCATAGCAATTAGCAATATTTCATTTTGTACCAAACTTTAAATGTATATATCCCTACGATTTATAATTAGATTTAATGAAATTTACTCACAAAATATATCCCAAAGACATCTATATAATTTCAATAATCATATAAATCCAATTTTCTAAATATAAAAAATGATTCCATTTAGTCAAGCATTCATACAAATGATTTTCCTCCCTTTAATGTCAAATAAATTTTGTTATATATATATATATATATATATTCAGATAGTTTTGTCACATCAATTTTGAAGAGAATATTTGGCAATGAAGTTTTTGGGATTTTTCTTGTTCATTTTCTTCGTATTACTCGAAGCAACAGCTAGTTTCGATCAGGTTGATTGAAATTTAAATATAAATTTACTTTTTTAGTTGATCAACGAATTTTTTACATTTATTTTTTTTTAAAATAATACTAACTTTAATGTTCATTAATTTATTATCATTACTGTAGGAGTATTTTATTTATACCCATACTTTTTCCGAAAAATATATCTATATATTATTCACTAGAAAATATTTTTTATAAAATATTATATTAAATATACTTGCATTTAAATTATTACATCAAAACATCTCTTTTATTTAAAATACTATATTGTTACACACTTTTTCTTTACTTTCGAAATAATCCAAAACTACGTAAAACATACAAAATGTCTAAACGAAATCTTATTTATTTGTTATATTTGGACATAATTTCAATTAGGTACATATAAAATGGGACGACTTGACGATAAATGGCAAGGAAGACCATAATAATTTGATTGTGGTCGACAAAAATGGGGGCGGAAACTCTACCACAGTACAAGGCGCCATTGATAAGGTGCCAAATAATAATCAACGGCGGGTAAAAATTTACATTCGTCCCGGAGTTTATAGGTAAATTAGTTATATAAATATACATACGAAGTTTAATATTTTTCTTTATTTGTTGGTTAGGTAAATATTTAAATTATATTTTAGTTCAAAAATTTTAATCAGCGTGTAGAAGATAATATGTGATTTTTTTCTTATGCATAATATAAGACAAGTAATTATATTCATCTAATTAGTTTTTATAATAATAATAATAATAATAATAATAATAAGGACAATAACCGGTGGTCGAATTGTAACAGAGTTCAAGTTATAATAAGGTCATTTCAAACTCATTACTCCATTTTTTAAGTATGTAGTTTGATCTAGAGTAATTTTACTATAATCATAAACTTCAAGTTTTAGTAAGTATATTTTTTATATATTCCTCTTTTATTAGTATTTTCTATAACTTTTTATATTTATAAATTACACCATAATTTTAATTTGTTTTTACATTGTTGCTCAATTATATATAATTTTTTTTAAAAAAAAAATTTATACACCACATTTAAAAAATAAAATTATATATTACTTTTCAAAAAATAAAATTATATGTTACTTAAAAAATAAGATTATACACTATTTTTTTTAAAAAAAAAAAAATTACATATTCTTTCAAAAAATAAAAATGTATATCATTTTTTTTTTTAAATATCACTTTACAAAATAAAATTATATTTTACTTTTTAAAATATAAAATTATATATTCCCTCCGTCCCTTAACAATCTATCCATTTTTCCATTTTGATCCGTCTCATAACAAAGTATCCGTTTTTTTTTTAGTAATTGTACTATCTACCTAACATTACAAATACTCTTCTAATTTACAATATATTACACAAATGTCATTATCTTTATATCATACAATACTAATAGGATTAATTTAGTCTTTTTACCTTTATTTCTACTTTATTTCTAAAACTCTGTGCAAAAAGTAAATGAATATATATAGATACGAGAGAGAGTATCATTTATTTAAAAATAAAACTAAATAATACATCACAAAAAAAATAATAAAAATACACCAAACACGGCCAAACAGTTTGCATTGGGTGCTTATTATTTTGCTTTATTTATAAAAAGCACCCAAAAAAATATGGAAATATATATTGTTTATATAAAATAATATTAGTAAAAAAGTAAAAATAAAATAGTAAAAGTATCGAATTTATCCTAATCCAACATGGTAAACTCTAGAAGGCAAGTCAAGGCTGTTTGATTATATCGTTTGAGACTTTGATATAATTAAAAATAATAAAATTTTAAATTAAAATAATTACTCCCTCCGTCCCTATGGGTTTTAGACACGAGAATTTAAGTAAAGTATAATTAGGGTGTGTTTGTTTGAGGGTTTGGATTTTGAGTTGGGATTTGAATAGTAAAAATTTTGAATTTGAATAGTTGTATGATGTGATATAAATAGGTGATGATGTGATGTTTTGAATGTAAAATTGATTTTTAGTATAATATAAAAAATAAAAAATAGGTGTTTGATTTGATGTTTTTGGAGGGAAAATTTTGGATGAATAGTGAGATTTGGACCAAATCTCTCAACCGAACACACCCTTAGTAAATAATTAAGAAGTGTATTAGTAAAAATAATAATTATTTAATAAAAATAATTATAAATTAAGATTAAGATAAGTAAAAAGTTTGATTAAAATTAAATAAATTATAAAATTTAAAATTTAAAATGCGATTAAAGTGCATAATTATATTTTCAAAAATAGAAAAGACAAATTACTTGGGACGAACAAAAATAAAAAATATGGACAAATTATATGATTTTTTAAAACATTCCTTCTATCTCAAATCAACAAATACGTTTTCCAATCTGTTATTATTTTTTTTTTTTATTAATATTATATAAAATCTATTTTTTAAAATAGAAATTAAGTATATATATTTTTTTAATCCTCCGAGTCCTACCGTTGACCAGCCATTGAGGCGGGTCCACATCGAATTTTAAATTATACTCTACTCATTGTTATTCATATATACTCTCTCATTTCCCACTTAATTGAACTATTTAATTAAAGATACGGTAGTTAAGTTAAGATATTTAATTTATTAATAATAATTAGTTATATATTATCCTATCATTTTTTTATATAATTAATAATATTTATAATTTTAAAATAAATTTAATATATGATTAAAAAAATTAAAAAATATGTTTAAATATTCAAAAATTATATAGCTATTAAAAAATATATGCAATTAAAAAATATTTATAATTAACATAAATCAATTTTATAAACTATATATAATTTTAAGTATAAATAAAAATATTTATTTTTTTCAAAAGAGAGAAAAATAAAAAGTTTTGAGTGGATTTAATTAAGTTGATTTATATTTATTAAATATATTTTGATTTAATAATTTTTTTAAAAAAAATAAAAAGTATCAATTGTTATGAAAAAGATAAAAATAAAAATAGTATCAATTGTTGTGGAACTGAGCGAGTCAGTATATTAAGCCCGCTTAGATGTTTTTGCAAAAACTGTGTAGAGAAAAGGTCGTCATCGGCCGTAACAAGCCATACATTTCGTTCATCGGAGACGGAAACCGTCCGGGGTCGACGATCATAACGTGGTACAACAAAGCCTCGGACAAAGGCAACAAAGGACAGATGCTCGGGACGATCGGTTCAGCATCCGTCACCATAGAATCCGACTACTTTTGCGCCTCCGGGATCACATTTCAGGCAAAAATCTACAACTACACTCCCTTTACTATCGCAAACCAAATCCGATAAAAAAAAAAACAGAAATTCCTCAACTCGTTCAAAAACAATAAAAAAATTGCGCACATTTCTTACCAGAACACGGCGGGGCCTCCGGCAGCCGGCGCTCAAAACTCCCAAGCAGTGGCATTGCGGATAAAGGGCGACAAATGCGTGTTCTACAAGACGAGGTTCGAGGGCGCACAGGACACCCTCATGGATCAGCTCGGAACACACTACTTTTACCAGTCGTACATCGAAGGCTTGGTCGATTTCATTTTCGGATACGCAAAATCTCTTTATCAGGTATGGCGATGACCACACCTACTCCCTCGACGAATCAATCTTCATTCAACAATATAAACATCAGAAAATTTATCACGGCAGGAATGCACGATAAAGTTAGTGAATAATGCATACGCCGTAGCAGCTCATGGAAGAGAGTCGCCTAATGTTGACACGGGTTTCTCATTTGTAAACTGTACGTTAAACGGGAAGGGGCCTATCTACTTAGGCAGGGCATGGAAACCTTATTCTAGAGTCGTGTATTCGTACTGTGAGTTCAATGTAGCCGTCTACCCTCGAGGATGGGACGACAAGGGAGATTCATCGACCCACAGGTATACTTCTTGAAAACTACATGTAAAGAAAAATATATTCAGAACCTAAAACTGTGTTCTTCGTGCGCAGGACAGTGCAATTCGGAGAATTTAAAAACCGGGGGAGGGGAGCAGATAGAACGGGGAGGGTACCGTGGTCTAAAGAGCTAGATTACAGTGAAGCAATTAAATATCTGGATAAGACATTCATACAAGGGCAGAATTGGCTAATGCTCTAAGTACAGCATTCATTTTTCGTGTCGTTTAGCACATGGTGACATATACATTCTCGTCTGACTTTGCCATATTACGGAACAGCTGTCCATGTAATGCCTGTCTATTTGCAAACATTTGTCGGTTTTTCTTTAGGAAAAACTTCAAATACTATCTCAAGACCATGTATTCGAAAATATTGCATCTAACAATAAAACTCGGTGAATGGATAAGCAAAGTCCAAATGTTTTATTTTTTTGTAACTTATATTGATGTCGCAGTTTCGAATTACAACCAGAATATTTCCAATGTGTTGAAAACAAAATATCAGATTTTCACTGAAAAATCCACCAAAACGGTGAGAAATGAACGATCATCAGAAAATGAGAATCATAACAGAGTGATCGATTAATTATATTATGAAGGCAAAAAGCATGAGCTGTTGCTGATACCTCAAGTACCACGATTGGGTGCCGAAGAAGCTAAAGGGGGACCATATGAATACCTCCAAGATCCGCATACAGCACATTTATCGATCTTCCTGTCATTTTCCAATGTACAGAATCTGCAGGACCAGGTTCCGGTTTTCAGGTTATTCTCCTTGGGACGTTCACTTCTACAGAGATCGCAGATTGGGGCTAACGGCTGCAATAATTAGAAAAGAGTCACAGCCACAACCGATGACAGCAAAAATACAAGATAACCAATTTTAGTACGGATAGAAGTCGGTGACAACAGCTAAACTAACCTAGGATGGATATTTAATATGCTCTTATGTTCAAGTAATTTAGAGAGATTTAACGACAAAAAAAAATTGAGAAAGAATGGAAACAAGCAGTACACTCACCGGATTCAACAAAGTGCACACAGTACATTCCCATTGGCTGCAGTGATCATTACAGGTTGGATCGTGAGAAGATTTGGAAGAGGAAGATGAAGCTTCCCCCGGTAACTTATTTTTATTATTCTGAGAGAGTGATTCTTTGTTTGAACGGTTGAAAGACGATGAATTGGGAACAGTTTCAGTAAGATCTACGAAAGTGGATTGGCGCAGTGAAACATCATCCACTTCTCGGCCTCTTTTCCTCGATTTTTGCTTAGTATTATCTTCATCAAGGGAAGTGCTGGCAGTTGTAGATAAGTCGACCTTATCTAAGGATTCATCTTCCTCGGATAAATTGTAGAACTCCGACCCACACCAGATTTCATCCTGTAATCTTCTTTCAGCTGCCATTGCAGCAGCTTGCACAGGACTAAGAGCAGCCATAATAGAACTATCTCCTCCGATTTTCTTAGGTCCTGAAGGCATTAAAGATCCTAAACGGGCTCTATTTTCCGCAGCCTTCGATGCAGCTTGGCGTAGAGAAGAAAGTGGCTTTCGAGAGGCTCCACCCAAACGTCTTCCAGGAATATCAAATCCTTCGCCTGACCCACTTATCCCTCTGTTAATGAGATCTTCACATTCCTATAAAAAAATTGCAAATGACAAAGTACTTGTAAATTATATAGAACACTTTAGGTGACCTTTTTCGACAAATATTAATGAGAACAGCGCTCTACACAACTTCTGAAGCATATAAATATGTCAGTAAAGTAATTATGTTGCCCCAGAACTATTATACATGTGAATTATGCATTCATATCTTAGCATAAGCAAAACACTTCTAAGAGGCATACGCGCCAAATCCAAATCCTATTGAAATAGACATTGCAGAAGAAATTCCAACGATCTCTATCCAAAACCGAAAAAATGAATTTCCTAATACAAATTGACTGACAAATACACTATCCTCAATTCAAACTTCATCACAAATAACAAAATGCACCAGCACAAATTACTTGAACAACGATTTACCTTTCGAATTTCATCCCAGAGTTTGTAAAAAACGGCATTATGAGGGCCATGAGCATTGTGGCATAGCTCATGGAGCATTGTATCAAGAACTTGATGAAAAGGGATAAATTCATCATCTCTGTTTGCCCTCCTTAGCCTTAATTTTACATGTATACCACGCCCCACATTCAAGCCCAAAAGAGCCGGATTTTTCGGACTGCGACATTCAGATTAAACAGATAAATCCACATAATTAAGAGCAAGTAATGAGAAAAAAAGCTCACTGCAAAAATCGAAAATACCACAAATGATTCATGTCTGAAACATCAAATTCCAGCCTAATATCGATAAAAAATTATCAAACAACTGAATATTTAGCTCTGAAGGTATTCCTGGTGCGAATTTAGAATAAACATGGCGAAAATTTGTTAAGCGATTGTACCAGAATTCCGAAAGAACTTTGACCCTCCAATTGTGCTTCCGCATGATTGGCTGAACCTGCTTCGCAATTCTTTCCAAAATCTTTCTGGCCTCTTCTTCATTAGGTTTCCTCTTCAGCGATTTGATTTCCCAAACTTTGTTGAGATCGCCCAAATTCATCGGTTTCAACTCCTAATCCAAAACCCTAACCGAGCAATTCGATAATCAAAACTACGTTACTCTTGGCCAAAAAAACAGAGAGTACCAACCGATCCACGCATTCGTTGAGCTGCCGGAATTTGTTTCCCGCCGACAAGCCTCGTCCGATCGTCGCCTCCTGTGAATCTGGAAATGGCGGGATTTCAAAATTACGGCCGGATACGTTACATACTCTTAAGGCCGGGTAATTGGACCGTTCCCGCCCGGATCCGGATCGGATCCTGTATACTTTTTCGTATTCGGATCCTAATATGGATAACGGGTCGTATCCAAATCCGAATTCATTTTATATGTATCCGATGGAACTGAAACCGCCTTCACACTGTTTTGGGTAATTATATAATACTACTTTATTTTAGTAAAATTAAAATACTTTACATTTTATTTATTACGTAAAATATTTTGTATTAAATTAAAATATATATAAAATATTATTTTTATTCAAAATTAGTGTTTGATTATAAATACATAAATTTTATACAAATAAATAATATCTTAAATAGTATTTTCTGAATTAAATAAATAATTTAAAAATTAATTTTTATAGTTTTTCAGGGTATCAAAGTCTCCATACCTCCAGATTTTATAATTTATTTATTTTGTCGGATCTCGTTGAAAAACTATTAGGTTTGACTGATAATTTACTCAAAATGCACTAAAATATAATCACACGCTAATACAAAAAATATTTTTTAATATTTTCATAAATTATGAACATACTATTACATATATATATATATATATATTAAATAAAATGAAAAAATTATAAAAATTATTTTATTCAAGCTCCACTTATTGATAAATCTAAGCATGCATAATATATAAAAGAAAGATATAGTATATATATATATATATATTGGGTGGGTGAACGATGAACATACATGTAAGAAAAGGACAAGAGAAAATATGTGTAGTGTAATAAGGTAGGCAGCAGGCTGGGAGAGTCCCCCACTGCCCCCTCCACACGGCACCCATTACACCCCCACACGTACCTCCCACCCCCCTATCCCACTCTTCTGGTCACCATTTTCCTTTCACTATCAAACTGAATCTCCCCTCCATCACCATGCAAATCCATGTCTGAAATTTTTCTATATAAACCACCCACCCCTTATAGCACATCACACACCCCTCTCTCTCTCTCTCCTCCCTCTCTCACTCTATATGACTTTGTATGTACGTATGCATTCTTGCATAATTAACAATGAACACCATGCACATTATTACACATCTCCTATTCTCTCTATCCCTTATCTCCTTCCTCTTCTCTTCCTACACTTTGTACTCGTCGCCGTTTTCGGCGCGTCCGATGTTGTCTTCCCGGCAATGGATCGAGTTCTTGTGCTCGAAGCTCGAATTGTTTCCGTCGTCATGGCTCTTTACTGCTGCCATGAACAAGAATTTCTGGTTCTTGATTTTCAACGGGCTTCTAGTGATTCTTGCCAAGATCTCGGGATTTACTATCCCCGTGGGGCCCCCTACGGCCCCCGCCGACGATTTAGGGTTTAGGGTTGAGGCGATCCCTATGGGGCCCAATGAAGATTTAGGGTTTAGAGTCCATGCAAATGATGCGGGCCCGGCCCAAAGTTTAGGGTTCAAAGTTCGAGCGAATGATGTGGGGCCCATGCATAGTTTAAGGTTTGGGGTTGAAGATATCGATATGGAAGTAGTTTTGGAGGTATCTGAATCGGGACCCACTTTTGAAAAAGGTCCCGCCGCCGCCGCGGCTGCGGAGGCGGTGGTGGAGGAGAGGGAGGTGATTTTGGGGCGGGAGGGTCCCGAAATCGGGGATGGATTGACGATAGAGTGTGATGTTGAAGAAGTGGTAGGCGATGATCGCGATTTTGATGGCGATCACGATCAAGATCACGACGATGATGGGATCGGTGAAGAGAGCGGCGACGAGGCCGAGATGATGAGTACGGAGGAATTGAACAAAAAGTTCGAAGAATTTATTAAGAGAATGAAGGAGGAAATTAGAGTCGATGAAATTCAACAATATTATCAGCAACAATTAGTGGTCGTAAAATAAATTATTGTAATATTTAATAGTAGTATATATATTTTTATTGGGTAGAATATAAGTCTATATATACTTTTAGAGTGTTTTATTTCATACTTTGTGTCTTTTTGAGGGATTACTAGCTATGCTTGTAGATCAAATAATGAGTGTCATTTATAAATAAATTTTTACCTATTTTATTTTTAGTCATAGTCGCATAGGGTGTGGATACGTGTCGAAAATAAATAAATAAATAGATGTAATTTAAATATGGATGACCACTTTTATTATATGTAATTTGATTGGGTTTAATAATTCAATAAATTTTATATGTGATTCAAACAAAATTTTATATAGTTGACTAGTATTTGATGATTTTATAGGTAATCTTTCCACCTAAAAATAAAAAATTAATAAACTCATTATTCTTTAGAAGATTTTTTATATTGTTCACACTAATATAACTTTAGATTATACTTATTTAGTTATTGTTAAAATTTACAAGATCAATTAATATACTCATTATTTAGTTATGTACTTTCTATTCGTGTCTTTGTTTTGTGGAATAATTTGAAAGTGAATTTTTTTAAGTGATGTACAGAGAAAATTGTGTAGAAAATATAAAAATAATAAATGTGTAATATATTAATATTTTTTGAAAAACTTATATATATTTTTTTGTTAAAAGAACACACTATATGTTCTTTGTTAAAGTATTTATTTACTTTTAATTGGAGTTAAAAGAATATTACTCCCTCCGTTTGGTGACAAAATATATATTTACTTTTGTCGAAAAATTTAAAAAATAATAGTATTTTAATTGTAGTCCATAATTAAAAGTAAAGTAAAGACAATTTTATCATTGCTTTTTGTGTAAAAATAATTATTTGATGGTAAAGTAGTGATATTTGTAGAAAATAATAGGGTATTTAATGAAAGAATTATTTTGCGATTGAACAATCCAAAATAGAAACATATATACTTTCTTGCTGAACGAAGTGAATATATTTTACTATTTTTCCGTCTCAATTAAAATATTTTTTTATCATTTTCGTATGTCTCACTCAAAAATATTTTTTTTTCATATTATAGTTATTGGTGCACAATTTGCCAGAAATCTTGATGTAAAAGGCCAACTCCTCCGATTTTTTTTTACAGCAAAACTATGCAACCATAATAACTAAACACGACTATTAAATGATTATCATACAATTATAACATTGATGCTTGTAGTGAGCACAGGCCAAAATAAAATATTAAATGTGTATTTTTGACTTTTTTTTCAACAATAGTAAAAGTAACCATACTAATGCCAAAATATTTTAAATTTTACATAAATTATAAATATATTATTACGTATACCATTAATTTATACATAAAATAAAATTGACAAAAATATCAACATTATTTTACATATTTTCACTAATTAATAAAATAGTATTTCCTCCGTCAACTTACAATGTTTACATATTTCTATTTTGGGACGTCCAATTACAAAGTTAATATTTCGTTAAATACCTTATTTTTTCCACAAATACCCTTACTTTACATCACATCATTACTTTTACACAAAAAAAAAAAGTAAGGACAAAAATGTAATTACACTATTTTTAACTACTCACTATAATTAAAATACTATTATTTCTTATACGCGGCGCCAAAAGTAAATATAAACCTTGTAAATAGACGGAGGGAGTATTATTTTTTAAATTAAAAAAAAAAATTGACTCATAAAATTATAAGTATTTAAAAAACAAAAAAAACTATTCTTACTAACTCATTTTTTTATATATAATTTTTTTTATGATTCTTATAATATTATGTCGAATGTAAAGATTTATTTATTTATTTTGTTAAAATTGAGACCGCTATTCAAATATAAAAAGCATCAAACTAGAACACACTCGTTACTTTGCTCATTTATTCATCAACTAACTTGTTCTTGTTCTAAAATGTTCGTGAAACTTCTTCACAATGTATTTGTTTTTTTACATAAATCTTTAGAAAAAGACATTTAAATTAATATGTGTGAACTTATATAGTAGCTATTATTAGTGCAATTTGGGTAAATTTATGACCTAATCTAATAACTTGCAAACTTCAGTCACAGTTGAATCATATGTAAAAGACAAAACTATTATATTGACATCAAATATTTGAACACATTATTTCACAGTCATATACTACTAGATAATTTACGAAATTATTTAAAATTTATAATATTGTCCCCATATATATATAGGGAATGTTTAGTCCGTTATTTATCTAAATAAAATTGTGTTTATATTGTCCGATTTAAAGAAAATAATAAATAATTTATTTTTCAATGTAGTTTATTGATGTTGAGTGAAAACTAACTAGATTTGGACTTTTTTTTGGATAATGTACTTTGATTGGATTTTTTTGTTTTTTGGATGGTGTAAGAACCGCAGCCGCTACCTGAAAGTGTGCACTGGGTAAACCTCCGGCCGAATTTAATACCCTGCAAATCAGGTCCGACGGAAAAGTCATACTAAGCGAACCATACGTGGCAGGTGACCTGAGGCGTCGGGGGTTTGAATATGCCATGTCAAAAAATAATTATTGAATATGCCATGTCAAAATATATACTACTGTCCTATTGCCTATTAATACTGTTGAGATATTTTAGATATTCAATTTTAAATTTAGTAGATTTATATCTAGATTTGATCTTATTCATATATTAGATTACTTAGATTTGAGTTTATCGAGTCTGTTTTGTATTGCCTATATATATGCTCCTTATTTTATTTTATGATAAAAAGACAATCTCATTATTTTCCCCTAAAATTTCTAACAAATACAATTGTAGTTATATTTAATCAGCACCGTAACCACATTCTATTATTATTACCTAGTCATTAATTTATATAATTAAGATCATTGTTCTTATTTAAGTCGATTACTTATTACACTAATTTAATTAGGAGAATGTTAGTGGATATTAATTATGGTTTGACATGTATGGCTAAAGGAAGCTATAATTGCACTAATTAATTAGTGATTAACAATTATTCTAATAATTAATAAGTTAATATTTTTAAAAAATGTAGTTGTTAGTGGAATGTGACATTTAATTTATTTAGTCACAATAATAACAATGGCAAATGTTATATAGTGTTGATTCATATCAAATGACAACACATGTTACTGATTAATTTCAATATAAGTCACATATTTAATGTAATATAAATATATGATATGTTGGGACTCTCATTTGCGAATAAATAATTAATGGTTGTGTGATCTTAATAGTTCGAATTTTTAAGTGAAACGGTCATTTTGCGCCCGACATGGTATCAGAGTTTATTTTTTTCTGCAGTAGATATAGTCTACTAACTCACGTTTCTCGGGATATATTCTAGGAGGTCTCCTAATTTTAAGACTTTTTGGTCTTCCAATTTTGAGATTTTTCTATAGTTTCTATTCATTTCTTATTTTGATTTTATTTTTAGTCCTGATTTTGTCGCATTTGTCCGTAATCGGTTGCGTTTCTTCATACCATATTTCTAACTGCATTGAGAGTCTCCAACAATCTCTATCTCAGATTTTATCTCATTATATCAGTCAAATAAAGATATATTTTTCGCTCTTATCATATAACTTAATTTTCAAATTATTCTATTTAATATTATCCACCTAAATTTTCGTACCGAAAACAAATGTTGCATCATATTTGTGACGGAGAAAATGTTTTATATTTTTTAAATAATTTTTTATACAACACACCAAAAATCATTTCATGGAGCTAATACTTGTAAAATATGTCAATTTCGGTGATGTCGTTGTATAAAAAGTTCTCGGAGAATTAAGACAGTAATGTTAAAGTAATTACAAAACTAATTTATAACATGATTCAAATAAAGGGCATAACTATTCAATAAATGACAATTTTTTCCTAATGAAAACTTGGTGAACTTAATTTCAATAATTTTAATATAATACTTTAAATAAAAGTATATGTTAAATGTGGTATTTTGAATAAAAATTAAGGCTATGTACACTCAAAAATCTTTTTTTTTTTTTTTTTTTTTTTTTTTTTTTTTTACTATTCCTCAAGAAAGTCATTTAAAAAAAAAAATCACAACAATTTGTTTTATTATTACTCAAAAATTTTTAAAACCCGAAAAATTATATATGAATGGAGGTTGAATTTTATATGTAATATTTTAAATAAAAAAATTGATAAATCGAAATTTTTTTTAGCATAATTTTAGGAAAAAAAAAAGTCGAAAATCCGAAACAAACACACCCTTAAGTATTATCCATAAGTATACCTACTTATTTAATAATGGGTGTTAACTTGTGGTTGAGCATAATTTTCTAGAAGTTCAACAAATTTATGTGATATATATATAAATATTTATTGGAATTTGTATAACTACCTCAAATAAATTTAATTATTCCATATACATATATATATATATATATATATTGCAATTTAGATAGAGCTCAATGATATATACATCAAACTTGTCCACAAGATATTCACTAAATTTAGTCAATCCCATAATAAAGAACCACAAACAAAATCAATAATTGTATGATTGAAATCTAGAATGTCCTAAAAGATTGTCCCTAATTCATGTCACAAAAGTCAAGAAATTTCATTTATTGTTTGTGTATGTGATATATATGTATTGCAACCAAATCTTCCTAAAAGATTTCGAAACCATGCATGCAATGCATGGATTTTCACAACAAATAATCTCAAAATATCGACACCAAAGTACCTTATTCATTAAATAAAAAGTTGGCTTCTTGTAATTTAAATTTGGCACGTTAATCATATTAGTCGGTGAAGTTAAAGTTATAATAGACTTGGGTAGTTAAAATTTTTAGGTCGACTTATCTCTTTATCATTTTGGTCTTTAAATTAAAATTTATTTAGAATTAGTCATCATCTATACATATATATATATATAACTCGTAGACGCTAAAAATATCATTTGATACTAAAATATTGTCATGTGTATTGATATGCCGAAAATGACATGGTCAGCCATGTGCAGTTTTTGGTAGTCAATATTGATGTAAATTTAATTTTTTAAATAAATATACAATATCTTTATCTTTTTTATAAATATAAAAAATTAAACTCAATATTTGGGACTAAAAATTTTAACGTGGCTAACCCGTATTAGCTTAAGTAGCATCATTTCAAGATAAATATTTCGATACATGAGGATATTTTTTACGACTATGATTTAAATATAATACTACTATTTTAATACATGCTTCACTTAAATAACCAAAATTATAAGAGACTTATAAAAATAACATTAATCTCTAACTAAAAGAATCAATTTATCTTGAATCTTAAAAATATTTTAATAAATTTTAAATAAATTTTTTTGCATTCACTATAATAATCAATCAAAGTTCAAGTTTGTAAAAATCTCGGGTAATATTTAACTTGAAAACTTATTGTTTATTAATTTTTAAGCCGGAAATTTTATTATTTATTATTTAAAAAAAATCAAATCATACTTATTTTTTATATTATTTTTTAAAAAATTACGTTTAAAATATCAAATTAAATAGTTATTTCAACTCAATATATTATTATTTCAAACCTTAAACTCAACTCCTAAACCCACAAGTTTTAATATGCTTCAATTTTGTTTTATTTTAAATTTTTTCAAATATCTTAAATTAATTTACATATATTGAACCAACATTTGAGTGTGCCAAAAAATATTGTTACTTATCCCGTAAGGGATGGCCTGGTGGTGTAGGGGTTGGACTTGTGACCATAGTCATGGGTTCAAACCCCCGACGCCGCCTAGCCTAATGTATATTTCCTGTTGGACCTGATTTATAGGGTATTAAATCCTACGACTAGAAATAAGTCTAAAAGATTTTTGGGTACGACCAACCACATAATTGAAAAATCAAGCCATGGTTGGGCTTGTTCATACTATCAACTGGCTGCTAATTTTTAAAAATGAGCATCCAATCCACCCCTTAAAAATAATTATATGATTAATATTTAAATTCTTAATTATCAATAAAAATATTATTATATAATAGTTATGTTTATTTAAATTAATATAATTTACTTTTTAATAAAAAACTATGCAAGATATAATTAACATTCTGAGTTTTTTTTCTTTTTGTTTAGGTCGAGATTTTTGAAAATTTGAAAATGATAAAAAATTAATATTTAATGTGATGTTTTTAAAAAATAAATAATATTAAATGAGTAAAAGTGTATTTTGTAAGCAAAACTTTTATATGTCTATCCGGTCACATTTTCTCTTTGAAGAGAGAAAATATTCAGTAGTTCATTAAACTTTTTTTATTAGATAAATTGATTTTTTTGTGTGTGATATTAAGAATTGTGTCGGTAATATAAAAAATAATATTTTGTGTTAAATAATTAATTTTTAATAAATAAATAATATATACATTATATTAATTTGTGTGTAACAAAATAATTTGTACAGCTATTGATTTATTATTTTTTTTTAAAAAAAAAAAATACATTTATAAAATAAAAAATTTACTCACAAATATTTCGATTATCACGTTGATTGGTAAAAGTGCTATGCTGAGAAAAGGTAAATTCACGACGTGTCAATTACAGGCTTTTCTCCCCAAAGACCGCCGCGGCACATCACTATGTGGAAACTTTCTTCCGTTCGCAGTGCGGAATCAATAACCGAAATTTGAGCATCGAGGCTATTTTCAATCAGAATCGGAGCTTAATTGCGGTGAGTGGAATTTCTCGGACTCCAATCTGTTTTAGGTTTTGCATTTTGCTATTTTCTTCGTCGAATTATGGGAATCCTTTCTGTAACCCGCGAAATGTAATTCGGTGTTAAAATTGCCTAATCAGCGTTCTTGGTGTGGATGATTGTTTTCAATCTTCAATAAATCGTGAGGCAATGTGTTTTCCTGATATTAATATACATTGGATGTTGTTTATTGTAATCCTGCATCATTTGGGTCGTTGCATAATCCGTTGGGTAATTGGGAAATTGTTCCGAATTGGATACCTCATCAGATTTGGATTTGATAAATCGTGCTTTTGGACATTTTGATAAGTTTTTTAGTTTGGCATACGTGTTTGGAGATTGATTTGTTGCTTTGTATCAGCCTAATGGATCTCGTTGTATTTTGTGAATAGTTTCGTGCTTTTTGAACCTCAGTGATATAACTCTTTATAATCAGCATAATTGACATCGAAGTGATCTTTGGATTTGGTGTTATTTCTTGTTTCTGGGACTTCTTTCATTTGCCCTTTATTATTTTAGATTTTTTTCACTAAAATAGTCTTCCGACAAGTCACTGACATGTCAGCAGCATTAGCTCCCCGTCACCAATAGAGGGCAGCGTGGCTAGCGAAAATTTTTTACTTCCACAACTATTTTCAGACAAAGTCCATTTAACAGTTTACCCATGATCTATGAATTCATATATTGCCTTTTGAACTCTTTGATTGTTTCTTTATAGTTGATTTGGAATTCATCTATGGACACTTTTATTAATTTCTTTGCTTTATGGACCTCTTTGATCATTTTGTTCTGATAAGCATAATCGGTAATGAATTGATCTATGGATTCTTTATTAGTTTTTAGAACCTATTTGATCAGTTCTATATACTCGGCATAATTAATGAGGAATTGGTCTATGGATTTCTCATGAGTACTTTCTTTCTTTATGGACCTCTTTAGTCCTCTATGTATGATAAGAATAGTGGATCACTAACTAATCCATAGATTTCTTGATTAAATTCATGTTTTTGGAACCTGTCTTATCAGTTCTTTATAATGGGAATACCCGACCATGAATTGATATTTGGATTTCATGATTAATTTCTTGTATTGTTGGACCTCTTTGATCAGATTTTGTGTAACTTGTATGTTGGTCTGGAATTGATCAATGAATTTTTTGATTGATTTTTTTCTTTTTGGACCACTTTGATTGGCTATTTATAATCTGAATAATTGATCTCAAACCAACCTATCGATTTCCTTATTCATTTCTTGTTTTGTGAAGCTCTATGATCAGTTCTTTATAATTTGTATAATCGATCCCGAATTGATAGAGTTCATTATTAACTTCTTAGTTTTTGGAGGTCTTTGATCTGCTGTTTATAATCGGCATAATCAATGCCAATTTGATATGTGGATTTCGCTAATAATTTCTAACATCGTGGACCTTTTTGATCGAACCTTTATAATTGGCATAATTGATCCTGAGTTGATAGATTTTGTTATTAGTTTCCTTTTTTGACCTCTTTGATCCATTCTTTATACTCGACATAAATGATCTCGAGCTGATCTATGACTTTCAAGATGAATTTCTTGCTTTTTGGACTTCTTTGATTTGTTCTTTATGATTGACATAATTGATCTCGAATTGATGGATTTCCTTATTAATTTCTTATTTTTAGGACATCTTTAGTCAGCTCTTTATAACCAGCATAAATCAATCCTAATTTAATCTATAGATTTTGTTATTAATTTCTTACCTTTTGGACCTCTTTCAGAAGATATTTATGATCGGCATAATCATTCTCGAATCGATGGATTTCATTATTAATTTCCTACTTTTTGGGAGGCCTTTGAGCTAGATCTTTATAATCAGCATAATCAATCATCTTTTGAATTTGTTATTAGTTTTGTACTTTTTGGACCTCTTTATCAGTTATTTATGATCGGCATATTGATCCTATGACAGAACTGTAAATTTATTAATTTATTCTTGTGTGTCCAGGATTGCCCTTCATCAGTGTTGGAACCGTAAATTACTGAAATGGAGAACGACGGCGATAAATCGTTATTAACTGAACTGTTGAGTCCTAACCCTCAAGTGAATCTTAAAAAAAGAAGGTTCCGTAGATGTAAAAGCGCGCCAATGAATGAAATTGGTGCGGGGGAAATCGACAACTCAAATGATTCCCAGCCTCCGCCTCGCTCGAATTCCTTTATTGATAATATCCACCCAAGCTTCAGAAGGGTAGCGCTTTACTTAATTTTCTACTTAGTTATTGGTACCGTTTGTTTTTATTTTGTGATGGATCAGATCAAAGGGGAGAAAGTAGACGGCGTGCTTGACTCTGTCTACTTTTGCATAGTGACAATGACAACGGTTGGGTATGGAGATTTAGTTCCTAACAGCACAGCATCGAAACTTCTTGCTTGTGCATTTGTCTTCTCAGGAATGGCTCTCATTGGTTTGACGATTAGTAAAGGGGCAGACTATCTCGTCGAAAAGCAGGAAGTATTGCTCGTTAAGGCGTTGCATATGCGCCAGAATCTCGGCCCCAGTGAAATATTGAAAGAGTTGGAAAACAACAAAGTTGAGTACAAGTGTTTTGTGTCGATGGGCATTCTCGCCGTGCTGTTTCTTGTTGGAATGTTTGTTCTAGTACAGATTGAGGGGTTAGGCGTCGTCGACGCAATCTACTGTGTCTGCTCGACTATCACGACTTTAGGATATGGAGATAAGAGCTTCTCCACAAAGGGCGGGAGAGCTTTTGCCATTCTCTGGATTCTGACTAGCACGATTTGTCTGGCTCAGCTTCTGTGCTATATCGCCGAGCTCAACACCGAGAGGCGACAGAAAGCCGTGGTCCAATACGTTCTCACCAAGAAAATGACGAACATCGATTTGGAAGCTGCTGATGTCGATGCAGATGGGAATGTCGAGTGAGTTTCTTTTTCTTCACTATTTCTTGCTTTTCTAACATTTGATAATCAAGCGCAGGGGTGAGAAAAAATGTCAAAAATACGGTATACTATACCGTCTATATCGTATTGGAAAAATACCGAAAATATTGTATTTTCGGTATACCATTATTTTTTGTGCTGTATGATACCGCACTGATGATATTCAGTATGGTAACACTATAATTTTGCATATCGAGCTATACCGTTATTATGTCGAAATTCAGTCTATATCAGGATACCGATATATACCAACATTTGGTATATAAAATATTGCGGTATATTCTAGAATACCAAATAAAATAAAATGATTAAATATTAAAATTAAATAAAATTAAATAAAAAGTTTACTATATTTATATTGTTATTTTTAATATTTCTAGTTTTTTTTTTTTTTTTTTTTTTTTTTTGGCATAGCGGTTTATCTTTAATTTTGATATATTAATTTTTTTTATAATATATGGTATATATTTATACTGTAATTCTCAGTATACCAAATAGTTTGGTATGATATTGGTATGACATTTTCTCATACTAATATTTACGATACGGTATGATGTGAAATTTCCGATATACTGTACTATGTCGTCCCAAACCAAACGGATCCTAAAAAGCTCAAGAACACATTCAATCGCTATATAGTTTTTTTCTTTATTATATAGTTCGATAATCTGTTTGTTACGTGCCTTCTAACAGGGCTGCTGAATACATACTATATAAGCTGAAAGAGATGGGAAAGATCTGCCAAGAAGACATCTCACTTTTGCTCCAGGAATTCGGAAATCTTGATGTCGATCAATCTGGAACTTTGTCGACCACCGATTTGAAGCTTGCCCAATCATCATATGCAACAACAACACACGTGTCATAGTCCGTATGTTTACTAAGTTGGATCATGTGAGATCATTTAATCTTCGCGCGTTTTGAATCATCGCTCAATGATTAGATAATCTCACATTATCGAATTTAGTAATCATGGCCCAGGTGTTCCTAACTAGGTAAGTTTTAAATGCTTCTATACATACCTTTTTTGTGCGCGTATATACATGTGTGTACACAAGCGCGTGTATATATATGTGCACGCGTTTGCGTACAGGCGCTTGAGTGCATATTTGGTGCCGCCGATGTACCATTTTTCGGCACATCTTAATATGTTCTTTTGTTTAGTTGAATTTTTGTTGAAATGTGTGTTGTTTTCATAATATAGGCATATGATGTTCCTATGTGAATTGTGTTCTTCTAGTATATAAAAAATTTCGAGGTTTTTTTAGTTAGTGAAAATTGTGAAATTGTTATTATAATATTTTTTTATTAATAAAATAATATGTATTTATTCGAAATAGTATCAAAACATTTTGCGTAAGTGAATAGACCAAAAGTTGATATAACTAATTTTTATTCCCGATTCATTAGTTATAAAATGTTGAGCAGGCATATGTGAAATGTTGGTTTATGGTGTGTGTATTTTGCGAGAGAAAAATAATACTCTCTCCCCGTCCCATAACAAAGTATCTATTTTTCCATTTTAATCCGTTCTATAACAAAGTATCAATTTTCTTTTTTTAGTAACTGTACTATTAACTTAACATTACAAATACCCTTACAATTTACAATATATTACACAAATGTCATTACCTGTATATCATACATACTAAGAAGGTTATTTTAGTCATTTCAACTTTATTCCTACTATATCCTAATATAATGCTAATATAATACTTCTTTATGGGACGGAGGGAGTATGTTTATTGAAAACCGTACGAAGTAAATAGTGGTGATATTGGTTTGAAATCGCAATTACACATCCTTAATTGTTGAATAATGTTGTATAAATCTGTGTATTGTTTTCTTTAATTTGATCTGTTATGTGTTGTTTCATGTATGAGTAACAGATTGTGGAGAGTATATAGTAAACGAATTGCAAAAAACAAAAAAAAAAAAAAAAGAATGAACCTTCAACAAGAACTGTTTATTCCATTTGAGAGACCTTTCTTTTTTCCCTTTGATTTTCATTGTGATTTGTTTTTTGTTTGGCTCAAATTAATTTGAAATTGATTGTTTAATTGAATTTTATTTTTTTTAAAAAAAAATAGTATTGAAAATTATATTGGATAAATAGTACTCCATTAATTTAGGTTTGATAATACAACCTAACACATACTAAGTTTCTATTGCTGTCTATTATAACTTGTGGTAACAAATAGATTGAGCAATGAATGTATGAGAATTGCTATAGTTTTGATTAAATTTGTGTTTATAATTATTTGATTAGTCTATTATTTGGCGCTTAGAAATGAGGAACTATATGTGCGGCAATTCGGCATGCTTAGAAATGAGGAACTATATGTGCGGCAATTCGGCATAAATTGATACCATTATTGTTGTATAGTGACGAAATTTTAAAATATGTATGTATTCAATTGATTTAATAGTCCTTCCATCCGATACATTTATGCAAGTTTGTTTGGACAAAACTATATAGTTTATAATATTAAAAAATAATTGGATAAATAGGAAAAATATTGGCAAATTAATTATAATTTGTTAAGATATAAGGAATAAAACTATAGGCTAAAATTGTTTATTATAAATAAAAATAGATATAAGTTTAATGAAATAGAAAATACAAAAAAAAAAAAAAAAAAAAAGTAACATTATTTTGGCATTGAGTAATTATTTAATGTGTTAAGTTTTATGATTTTATTTATAATCCTATTTTATTTTAAATAAAATCAAATTATTCTTTCATTGCTATTTTAAAGTTAAATATATAATGAATATTAGTTTACTTGTGTTTATTGTGGCGTTATGTTCTCTATATTTTTTTTAAAAATATTTTATCAAATGGGATCCTGTTTGTGTTTTTTGAATTTCAATTTAAATTTAAATAGTTATTCCATGAAATATGTTATAAGATAAAATTTTATGTTTTTATAAAATAATAATGACCTAATAGTTTGAAATTGTTTTTTACGGCTGATAAGTGATAAGATTAATAATAATAATAATAATAAATAAATAAATAAATAAATTCTGTGCCTTTTCAGTGAGATCAGTGCGAAAATTTGTTGTTTACCAGAAAGGAAAAAACGAGAAACGAAAGAGTCATGGATTTGAAAGAATCTATATATATATATATAGCAAGCAGATTTAGATTTCGGATTTCAGAATGTTGAAGAAATCACAATGACGAAATTGTTATGAGACCAGAGGAATTCTCAAAGATGATTGATTTGATTTGATTTGATTGGATTGGATTGGAATGGCGTTACCGCGAAACTCGATTCACTTTCTGCGTGAAAGCCTTTTTTTCATCTGAATCTCATCGATAATTCAAAGCGAACAGCAAAAAAAGTTGAGCAAAAGGCGGTGCAGTGCAGAAACGATAAGAGGATAAAAAATCAATTTCAGGAACCAATCAATCGCGTTATTGTTCATAGATAAGATTCCAGATTTGCCAGTTAGTTCAGAAATCAAATCCAAAAAGAGAAAAAACAAAGCCTCGGACAGAAACAGACGTTCACGAAAGCTTTCCTTCGCTCTCCGCACTCTGTTCCTGCTCCTGCTCCTGTTCCAGTTCCGGAACATGAACATCCTCTAATACCGGCGCCGGAGCAACGATCGGAGCCTCGCCGGCGACGTAATCCAGCAGACCTTCCCCAGCCTTCTCCGCCTCCAAATCGGCGGACGCCGGGGAAATCCGGTCGAAAATGACGACCGCGACTAGGAACAGCGCGGTGGAAACGAGGAGCGGCCAAAAATAGCGCACGACGTCTAGAAAACTCGGTGCTGCGTAGAAGAAAAACACGATGAGCAGCGCCGCCGCCGCCGCCGCGAGGAGATGGAACCTGAACTGGTGGAGCTTCTCTCGGATTTCCATGGCGGAGTGATTTGAAGAGAGAGAGAGTGTGAGTGAGGAGCAGAGGCAGAGCGAATATTGTGATTTTGGCAGTGAGTCGGTGTAGGTGGCGTTCGCTTTTTATACATGGTCTGTGATTTAATTAATTAATTAATTATTAATTAGGGAAATATATTCCGTGCGTCAAATTACCTAAATACCCCTCCGCTTTTTTATTACGATAATATAAAAGTAGATTTTGGATATTATTCTTATTAATGTAATTAAATATTAGATAGGATTTGTTTGGTTGCGTTTTTATTTGTTTGTTGCGTTTTTAAGTGTTTGGTGAGACACTTGAATTTTTAGAAAGTTAGCGTTTGATGTGATTTTTTGTAATATAAAATAAATGTTTTGATGTAATTTTTTAAAAAAATGTAAATAGTCTCAAAAATTTTAAAAAATATTTGTGTAAATAAATCTTGGATTTTGGATTTAAATTTTTAATAATAAAATTTTGAATTAAAATAATGGTTTAATGTGATAATTTAAATGTAAAATTAAAATTTATCTAATACAAGAAATAAAAAATAGTAAAAAATGCTACAAAATTCAACCAAATGCATGTTTTTTCTTCTTTTTTTTCACTAGTAAAATGTTTGAATGAATATTTATTTGATTTAATATTTTTAATAAAAAAAATTGTATTATATTATAAATAATAAATAAATCGATAATATAATTTTATTTGGAGAAATATTATTATAGATATATGGTGAAAATAAATTGAAAATTCAACCAAATAAACTCAATTTATTAATTAAAAAATAAATGGCAAGCCTAATATTTTTAGGATAATTTATTATTATTATTATTATTATTATTATTATTATTATTATTATTATTATTATTTTTCTATTCAATATCTCAATTTTTTAAATATTTAGTATACAAGATTAAAGACGTTGAGCTTTGAACCCATGATATATTTTATTGATTTAATATAACCACAACTATAGATTTGCATCAAATAAATTTTTTTTAATATAATTTTACTAAATTTTTTCTCTCACGATTATCTTTTAAAAAATTAGTATTAATTTTAATATAATAGTGTATCAAATCACTATATATTATACAAATACTATTACTATTTTTGTTATAAAATAATTTTCTTACGATTATTTAATTTATATAAAATATAATGATGTATTCACTCAAATATGGTGTGTTTGTTAACATTTATAATTTAATATATATATTTTTTTGAATTATGAAATATAATGTATGTATCAATAATATAAAAAATATTAATATTTTGTACTAAATTATTGTATTTTTTTAATGAATATATTGGTTTGTTCTAAAAATTCAATATATACATAATGATACAATATATATAATAATCATATTTTATTCATTTAAAAATATACAGTATTTATTTTATGTTTTAGTTAAAAAAAATAAAAAATGCTACAACTTGGGAAGTAATAAAAAAATAATTAATATATATAATATATTAATAATTTAAAAAATATATATAAATAAATTCTTACAAAAGAAACAAACGACCTCTCACTATTCTACAACCTTTTTCCTCTCAAAATTATCAAATAGAGAAACACACAATATTTCACTTTCATCATCACATTCAACACAAGATTATTGCCTTTGTTTGTTTTGCCCTCACCATTCAATTTTTTATCATTCAAATTTCATATTTATCTTTTATATCAAAATACTATTTAAATAAAAATCTATATCCCAAACATTAGCATCAAAATCGACCCAAAAACAATCGGCAAAGTCTCAAAGAACAGAATTATTACCGGCTCCACACAACAACTCCGGTTATATCTTTTTCAAGTTTTCCCTCCTTTATGTAAACACAGACTCAATTAGAAATTCAAAACAAAAACAAAAGGGCGAAGCAAACCTGAGGCCATTAGTCGGGGGCTACGGCTACCAATACAGCATCAACTCTCAATGCAGGCGCTTCCTATCGAATTCAGACTCATGACAATGTGAGTCGAGCCATTCCTTAGAAGAACTTCTCGGCGCAGCTGCCGGGATTCTCGCCCCACCGACGAGCTCCCTTAAATTATCCACCTTATTCTCTCGCCCCACTCCACTGTATCGCCTGTCTGCTTCTTTAAGTTTCTGCTTGAACCTCTGCTTGCGGTTAGATGAGTTTTGCTCGACCGGCTGCTTTCCTTGGGATGGAGGAGCTCCGTGAGGGCCGAGGTATATCTTGTCTTCTTTTCCAGCCTGTCAAAAACACGACGTGGAGTGTGTATTTGAGATGTGTAAAAAATGAATGGTGTTAGGGGTTTCGGGATTACTTGAACCTCAGACGGTTTGGAATCTTCTGCTTTGGAAGAAATGGCTTGATTTTGGTCGGTTTCTTCGATGCCCAAGCTTGGGATTACGAATCCCTCACTGTCTAGCAAAATATAGAAAACGAAGAAAGGAGAATGGAATGTCAGTAGATAGACAATCGTGCATTTGTTAGTGGAAAAAGAAATCTATGCGATACGATGAAAAGTACATGTGGATTGATCATAGCCAACACCATTAGACCCTTGTTCATTAAAAGAAAAAGCCAAACAATACGACAAAATAGATATGGATTGATTAGATCATCCAATGTCGGTAGATTTAGTTCGTTAAAAGAAAATTCAAAACAATACGACAAAATAGATATGGATTGATTAGATCATCCAATGTCGGTAGATTTAGTTCGTTAAAAGAAAATTCCAAACAATACGACAAAATAGATACGGATTGATTAGATCATCCAATGTCGGTAGATTTAGTTCGTTAAAAGAAAATTCCAAACAATACGACAAAATAGATGTGGATTGAGTAGATCATCCAATGCCATTAGATTTTGTTCATTAAAGGAAAATTCCAAACAATACGACAAAATGGATGTGGATCGATTAGATCATCCAATGTCGTTAGATTTAGATCATGAAAGGAAAATTCCAAACAATACGACAAAATAGATGTGGATTGATTAGATCTTCCAATGTCGTTAGATTTAGATCATGAAAGGAAAATTCCAAACAATACGACAAAATAGATGTGGATTGATTAGATCTTCCAATGTCGTTAGATTTAGTTCATTAAAAGAAAATTCCAAACAATACGACAAAATAGATGTGGATATATTAGATCTTTCAATGTCATTAGATTTAGTTCATTAAAAGAAAATTCCAAATAATACGACAAAATAGATATGGATGGATTAGATCAACCAACGTTGTTAGATTTAGTTCGTTAAAAGAAAATCCCAAACAATACGACAAAATAGATGTGGATTGCTTAGATCGACAAACATCTTAAAACGGTTAGATTTAATTTGTTAAAAGAGAAATCAGACGACAAAATAGATGCAAATTGATCTGATTGACCAACATATTTTAGAGGATTGCTCAAATCAACTAACATCTATTGAACGATCACATTTAATTCATCAAAGAAAACTGAAATGAAAAGATAGATGTGCAAATTCAAATCAACCAACATCTTTTGAATTTTAAGATATAGTTCGTTAAAAGAAAAAATAGACGTCAAGATAGATGTGGATTGATCAAATCAACTAGCATCATTTGAACGATAAGACTTGGTTCGTTAAAAGAAATATTAGATGACAAGATAGATGGGATCGATCCAACTATATGGTGCGCACAAAAAAAAAAAAGAAAAAGAAAACATGTGATAAATCAATTCCAAATTCTTGCAAACATATCATAATTTAACCTTCTAGTTCACATATCAAAACTGTGCTATCAGTATCAAATTTCCTGATTTCAGATATGCAACTCTGAGTTTTAGACACTGTGTAAGATCCCAAATTCTTCCAATTTGAATCTATCTATTGGCCATATTCAATTTGTGCATGGGTGGTGTTTAGTTTACAAATCAGATAATTGAACACCAAGCAGTACTTTACTGGAAGATCAAAACCTCCTCTTCACCCAAGAAAAACCCTAGGTATTGTTGTCCACGACATTTTACATTTTCAATCCAATAACCTTAAGAATGACGTTTTCCACAGAATCATTACATACACATCTTCAATCACAACCTTCACCATCCAAGTACAAAACATCAATCAATTAAGAGGGTTAACTCATACCACGGTACCGAGGCCAAAAACAGAGAACGATAGTTTCAATTTTCCATCATATACCATAAATTGATTTTGCAAATCTTCATTAACAAATCAATAACAGCAAATCACGCCAATAAAAGCAATACACACAAGCAGAAGCAGCAGCAGACAAATCAACTTCCCCAAAACTCAAACCAAAATAAGTATGTATATATATAGAGAGAGAGTACCCCACTCATCCTCCTCAATGGAAGGCGCAGCCGTTTGCGGTGGCGAAGAATCCATCTCCGATGACCATCGATCGATCACTCTTCGCAAACCGGCCGCGATTCGCACCGCAGCACCGCCTCAGATTACCGAATTGAGGCCAAGTTAGAAGCGTCGATGCGATGATATTTATGAAGATGGTTCAGACGAATCTTTAATATTCAAAATATTTATCAAATAAATAATTAAAAAAACAAAAAAGCAAAAGCAAAACCCTAGAAAAATCAATTCTTTATTCTGCCATCTGTACGGTTAAAAATGTGGCGACTCAAAAGCGCTTTCTAAATCAACAACGCGATTTTATTAATGGGCCGAAATTAATCGGCCCAATATATTATGGGCCGGCCTTTTAAGGCTAACGATAGATATGGTTCAAACTTCAAATCAAAGCTCGAGCAATGTCAGCTGTGGATTTAAATACGCTCCTGAAGTATTCGATCGTGGCCGTCCAATTAGTTCCCGTTTCGGAATCCAGACATGTGCCTCCGACATGGCATTAAACTGGATTTAAAATCCGGGTTTGACGTCCGCACTATAAATAGGAGAGACCCAGGCTGGTTTGGGGACGGGTTCGAAGCGTGAGTGAGCACAAACCTGGGAATTCGGGCAGGAGGAATTCAAATCAGCTGTGGAGGGAGCTAAGGAATGAACTATTGAATTGAGGTACTTATTAATTTTGATAAATTCTTCTAGGATTTGTGTGCTGCTGTCGTCTTCAATTTGTTAATTTTGTTTGTTTGTTTGTGTTCCGGAAGTTGGATTTAATTTGATGGTTTTTTTGTTTGCTGTTGCTTTCGTGGTTGAAGTTTCTGCCGCTTCGAGTTAGGGTTTTTGTATTGTTGAAGAATTCTGCTGCTTCTTGCGTGTTGTTATGCGCCTTTTGTTTTCCGTGGAAGGTCGTTCCTTTGTGTGTTTTGATGTGACGGATGTCGAGCGGTGTGGTGGTTTAGATCTTCGGAAGGGGTGTGGTACCAATTTTGATCAGGCGTGCATTTTTTTCTGATAATATGTACTTTGGTTGGTGGAAGTCATCTGCAGGATTTTATCGTATTATTTTGTGTGGTGTATTTTGTTATTCTTATTGTATCGATGATAACCTAGTTTTCCGCATAGCTTTTCTTCTTCTTCTTCTTTTTTTAAGGGGAAAAAAGGGACAGTCTTTTTCTTTTAAGTAATTATATACTGAATTAATCTGTTCCTTTTTCTTTTTTTTTTTTTTCGGGAAGTGGACTTTGTGTCAGGAAACAGGTTTGGCTGTAGTCAGGACATATCAGTTTTAGCTGTTATGGGTGAGGAAGATGCTTCCAAAACGTGTGAGCCAGTGGCAAATGGAGGCTCAGAAGTGGAGAAAAAGATTGAGGGTGCCATGGATGTGAAAGAAAACCTGAAAGATGGTGTGACGGAAATGGAAGAAGATAAAAAGGATGATGGAAAAGCTGAGGCTCAGGCAATGGATGTGGACGAACAGGACGCTGCGGTCGAAAAAGAAGATGAAAGAAAGGTGGAAGCTGAGGGTGGCAAAGAAGATGGAGGAAAGACAGAGGCCAAGGATGGAAAAGAAGATGAGGGAGAGATAGAGACTGAGGACGGTAAGGAGGTTGAGGGAAAGACACAGGCTGAGGATGGAAAAAAAGATGAAGGAGATGTGGTCGTTGACGGTGGAAAAGACAATGAAGGAAAGACGGTGGCTGACGATGGAAAAGAAGATAAAGAAAAAACGGTGACTGATGATGGAAAACAAGATGAAGGAAAGACAGTCGCTGACGAAGGAAAAGCGGTGGCTGACGATGGAAAAGAAGATGAAGGGAAGACTGTGGCTGATGATGGAAAAGAAGATGAAGGAAAGACGGATGCTGACGATGGAAAAGAAGAGGATAGAAAAGAAGCTGAAGTAGAAAATTCCTGTAATAAAGAAGAGAAGGAGAATGAAGTGAAGAAAGGAAAACAAGAAGGCACAAGGAAGGTTGGTGGAGTAAAAGAGAAACCCAAGAGTGATGTAATGGAGGAAGAGTCGCATGTGAAAATCAAGGAGCAGGCTGAGGATACGGTTGAAGAGGATGTCAGTGGAGCAAAAAAAGAGGAAGAAACTCTGAATAAGGATGAAGAGGATGGTGAAGGGGGGGAAGTGGATGAAGAAAAGCCAGAACAGCCTAAAGGCTCCAAAAAACGTCCTAGATCAAAAAGTAGCTCTGGGAAAAGGAACAGAAGTAAGAAGCAGCAACCTGAAGAGGAAGAACGGGAACAGGACACACCCCTTGAGAAAAAAACAAAAGAACCCAAGACATCTGTAGAGAAAAAGGAAAAAGAACAGAAAACCCCCGCTGCTCCAACAATCGATCGTCCGGTACGCGAGCGGAAATCTGTGGAGAGGCTGGTTGCCACAATTGAGAGGGAATACGCTAGGGATTTTTATGTCGAAAAGGTTTGTCTTGCTTTAGTTTTCACTTGTTATTCCCACCCCTTTGTTGGTAAATTCTTCAATATGTAGCCTAAAATCTTATGACCAGTACTTGAACATTTACGCTATGTCTGCAGGGCCGAGGAACAGCGCTGAAAGATATTCCAAATGGTATTTAATTTGTTTGTCCTTATGTGCCTTGGTTTTGTTTTTCTATTCGTAATGGAGACTGCACTTTGTTGTTGTGTATATGTTTTCTTCTAAATGTTCTGTGAGAAAGTTAAAAGTTTAGGTCCCTTTTCGGCTTTCTTTACTAGTTAATATTAAAGTGTTTGGCAATCAAGAACAAACTATCTTTTGTGCGGCACTTTCAATTTAAAAGTTCTACATATAGGTACTGCATTAACATTTTTTCGATGTATTTATTTGACTTTGAGAAATCTGTGTTGCTAAACACTACCTTGATAGTGACTATTCATTGGTTTATGTAGGTACTAATTACGAGTTTTAAACATCTTATATATTTAGCTGCTATAGAAAACCTTGTGGCTGTTTCATGTAATGGTGTTCATAAATCTGTGTCCATCTTATCCATTGTGGATATTCTTGATGGATTCTTGCAATTCTCCATCCTATGTTTTGCTTAGAAGTTTGTTAGATTAGCTTTCGGAAATATCTTATTTGGATTATTATTGTCGTTATCTCTTTTTAGGTATATGAATTAATGTGCTAGTGTTTCTAAATCATTTTTATTTCAGTGGCATATAAGCTATCCAGAAAGAAGACTGAAGATACTTTCAAATTGTTGCATACTATACTGTTTGGAAGGAGGGGAAAGGTAAAGTTTTAGAGTTCTTATACTAAGATGTCTTCTTCAAACAATAACATATTTCATATCTAAACCATATGTAAATTCTGATATTCCTTCATTGCAGTAGATTTAAATATACGTATACCTATGCACATTGGGTATTCAAAACTATTGCGTCTGTCAAGAATTACGGTAGCATCTCATTCTTATATTCAATGTGTTTAGGCTGCACAAGTGAAGAGCAACATTTCAAGATTCTCTGGATTTCCTTGGAAGGAGGATGAGGTAGGGAAAAACTCAATAGTAAATCGTACGATGTTGAATGGTACATAATTTATTTCAACATTTGAAATGAGCTTGTTAACAGGAAAAGCAAATGATCAAAGTCAAAGACAAACTTGACAAAATCGTTAAGGAGAAACTGGTAGAGTTCTGTGATGTTCTTGACATACCAATTTCCAGGGCTAATTCGAGAAAGGTATGTTCGATTCTCATTTTCAAATTGATATTTATCACGTAGAATTATATATACTCAGCTGTATTCGCAGATAAAATAGACATTGGAGAGTATTCCAGTCTGTCTTGATCAGGGAAGCTTATCTACGTTCTATTCTATTTTCAGGAAGATATAATTGCAAAGTTGATAGACTTTATGCTGGAACCTCATGCAACTACTTCGGAGTTGCTTTCTGATAAAGATCAGGTTTGATGTTGAGCTAATTTTCGAAATATTTGTTGTGTAACATCTTTACCTACTTGGTTGACATCTCTATCATGTATGCTTACTTTGTCAAAAAGGGAAAAAAGAGAAAGAGGGTGAGCAAACCAGCATCTGCAAGTAGCAGCACCCCATCGAAAAGCTCTACAAAGGTATTATGTTCCTGAGACATTGTCTATCCATTGAATGTGTTAAAATAATACATTCCGAGTTATTTTGATCTATAAAACATTACTATTTGTGCCATTTAACGAATGGTTTGATAAAGAATGTTGGGGATGCTATTGCTTTGCTCCTTTCAGAACCTTTTTGAAACTGCAGTATGTATACATGGCTTTATGTATCCAGACTGCATCACATTCCTAAAAGACTACAATAAATGAATCAATGAATGCTCTAGGGGAGAAATCGTCCATGTTGCTGTTGATTGCGTTATCGATGAATAAACGTGTGTGTGTGTGTGTATATATATATATATATTCTCATTTTGGTATATCATATTATCCAGAATCGAAAGAAATCTAGGAGTGCATCTAAAAAGGGTGGAGAAACTAAGAGCAGACCATCAGAATCAGAAGATGAGTCAGATGATGAGAAAGAGAAAGATACGAATGGTGTTCGTGAGGAACCCGATGAGGAAATGTCCGAACAAGCTGAAAGTATGGGGAAAGAGAGTGAAACTGAAGAAGAGACAGAGGAGGTAAAAACAAACAAGACTCCACGATCAGGAAAGTCCTCCGACAAGAAGGGATCTAAGAAAGCCATAACCAAGAAATCAACATCCTCTAAAAAGATCAGTCCCGCCCCCAAGAAAACCCCGGAACAATCACCACCCAATCACTCAAAAAGCAAAAGCAACACAAGTGCAAAGAAATCATCTGGCCAGAAGGAAGGCAGCGAATCAATCAAGAAGTCGTCTGCACCAAATAACTCGCCATCGAAGGAGAGCACTGGTTAGATTTGCAGCTGTTCTCTTATCGGTTTTCTACTGACATATCCTTTGGAATTAAAATATCTGTCTGCACTCAAGGTAATCGTTTTTTGGGAATCAAGAACAATGTTTCTCTTTTGTTCGCGTGCAGGAAAGAAAATTCTGAAAGTGAAAGAGAAGCTCAATGAGGCATCAAAACCGAGTGATGCTGACCTGAAGAATGTTGTTTGTGAAATCTTGAAAGAAGTCGACTTCAATGCGGTTAGCCTCTAACTTCCTCTTTATAATTTATATAATCAGTTTGGATAGATCATTGGGAAGACCCTATGCTTGTACAGTCCTTAATCCCTTTGAACTTCAAAGTCTTTCTACGATAACTTGGAATCGAGCCAATTGGTTAGAAGGCGTATATTCATTTAATCTTAGGCCTTATTTGGTTCGATGGATTTCGAGCCGTATTTAAAATATTTCATAACTAAAATCTACCATTTAACTATCGCAAGTATTAAGAGTGATGGATTTCAAATCCATAATCTACTTATGAAGATTTGAAATTCACATCATTTCAAATGAAACTAATGGATTTAATGGAGTCATTTAACATACTTTATAAGCCAAATCCCTTCAACCAAATTGAGGCTTCGAATGGTTTAAAATTTTCCATTATTTTGTTATCCCTCTGGTCTTTTACTTGAACATGTCTGTGTTCCGCAGGTCACCTTCACCGACATTCTGAAGCTACTTGGTAAGCTTTCTTGACCCTTCTATCATTGACCTCGATCGTCTATCACATCTACCTATCGTGATATTAGCATTATCCAACATAGTACTTTTTCCTAACTTTTCAATGACAAAACTTCATTATTTCAGGTAAGAAGTTCAACATGGATCTGACGCCAAGAAAATCATCGATAAAGACCATCATTCAGGACGAGCTCACTCGAATAGCCGAGGCTGAAGAGGCAGACGAAGAAGAGGATGAAGTAGACGACGCAGAGGACAAGAAAAAGGCGGATAGTGTCAGCGTCAAGGGCTAACTCCCACCCACCCAGCAACATCAAGACAACCAACCGGTGTACACTAAAACCGTAGAAATACAGTCTTACAAGTTACTACTCATCATCGTTAAAAACCAGGTGTAATTTATGACTGTTAGGTATTGTCGTAACTAGTAAAGAACCCCTGTTACTAGATTTAATAGTTGCAACCACATAGATTCGATGTAGATTTACTTTTATGTATTTTATTTTTTTTCATCTGCAATTTAGTGTGTACTAATAACCTTTGAATCGGAAGAACTCTTCTTCCAGGTACCTAATGTTATATTGTCTGGTGGAAGATCAGATTCAATCCGATCCGTCCTCTTAAGGTATGTTATTATTATTATTATCAAAATTTGGTTGGTTGTGGATGTAGTTTTCTTGATCTCTTTTTCTAGATTCTTCGTCTTGCCTGAGCTATTGCATTTCCTTTTGTTGCTAATGCTATGTATGTATGAGTGCGTGATCTAGCTTGAGTTTCGGTCTAGTTCATGTTCAAATAATCATTATATCAAATATTATTTTTGTTGAATCTTATGTTCATTTGAATGAGTTGAATACGGATTTTAAGAAAAATAAATAAATAAAATAAAATAATTTATTTTGTAGGATTGAAAAAAATGGGCGATGATAATAAAAAAAAATGAGAATAAATTTGAATAACATAAGGAGTATATAATGTAATACTAATAGAAATTATATGTATTTTATATCAAATTAAAAAAATCAATAATTTTATATAAAACAGTACTCCCTCTTTATGATATTAATTTATTATTTTTTATATAAATAATATTATTAGTATTTTAAAAAAAATTAAAATTATATTTCAAAAAAATATATGCAAGTTTAAGAATGATAAAAGTTACAAAAAAATAAAAAGGGTAATCCGTAAAAAATAAAAATACAGTGATATTTATGAAATAATAATAAAAAAAAGAATTATTTTATGGTAATATAATTATATATAAAATGAGAACTAAATTAAATCAAAGGAATATATTTTTAAATATAGCATTTGAACAAAATATTTATGCAACAGTCACTATTCTCAAATTCAAAATACAATCACGGATCAATTTTCATTTAATTTATAAATATCCACAATTAGTTTCAAATGTAATTTTGGAAAATTATAGTTAATCAGCCAACTGTAAAATCAAAATCACATTATATTAAAATTAGAAACTAATTAATTAATAAATTGGTTTCATTTTCTTATTTTAAATTAGTACATTTTATTAAACTTACTATATTAAAAAAGATACCACGAATTATTTAATATAAATTATGAGTCTAATTGGGCTAGTAAAATTGTACTAACCTCAATTCCGAAAGTCCCGGACCTCCGTTACAATGCTGCTCCACCGGACCGCCGCCGCGGCTGCGGTGGCGACGCACCTTCTTCTCCTCCTTCAATCCGCCGCCGGCGGTGACCACAACATCACAGCAATTCTCGCCAAGTTTCCTGAATTTTCCACCTTCAACGACTACTTGACGCAGACGCGGCTCGCGGCGGAGATCAACCGGCGGCAGACGATTACCGTCTGCGCCGTCGACGACGCCGGAATGGAAGATCTACTCACCAAAAACTACTCGATCAACGTCGTAAAAAACGTGCTTTCTCTCCACGTTCTCCTCGATTACTTCGATCGGAAAAAGCTCCGCAACCTCACCGGCGGCTCCGATCTCACCGCCACCGTATTCCAGGCCAGCGGGGAAGGACCAGGAACCGCCGGAATTGTTAATATAACCGACCTCAGCGGCGGAAAAGTCATTTTTGCCCCTGAGGATAACGACGTCGTTTCAGCCACATTTGTCAAATCTCTACTCGAAATACCGTACAACCTCTCTGTTATTCAGATCTCCAATACTCTGCCTCCTCCGGCGACCCTAGCGCCGCCGTCTCCGACGCCATCGCCGCTGCCTCCACCGCCGCCGTTGCCTAGCCAGTGGAATTTCACCGCTTTTATGTCGGACGGAATTTGCAAGGTCTTCGCCAGAGTACTATTGGCTAATACTCCAGCTCAGGATTCTTTCGCCGGCAGCGTCGCCGGCGGATTGACGATATTCTGCCCTGACGATGACGCGATGAAGAGTTTCATTCCTAAGTACATGGATTTGAGCGGCAACGACAAGCGATCGTTGCTTCAGTATCACGCGACGCCGGTTTATCTATCGGTAAAAGCTTTACAGTCGGTGAGCTCCCCTGTGAAAACCTTGGCCACCGCCGGCGACGGTAAGTACGGATTCACTGTGGAGAGCAGCGGAATTGACGTGACGATCGAAACGGGGATTGTGAAGGCGAAGATCGTCAAAGTAGTGAAGGATGAGAAGCCTCTGGCGATCTACGCTTTGGACAAGGCTCTATTGCCGCGTGAGTTGTCCTCGCCGGCGCCTCCAGTTGCAGAAGCGCCGGAGGATTCTCCGCCGGACTCTCAGGCCGATCCTCCTGAAGATGGCACCGTAGACCACACTAATAACGGTAACGGCGCCGTTAACTATAACGGCCATAACATTGACGCCGTGATTTTCGTTCTTTGCGTTACGATTTTACTACTTGTGTGAAATTATTTTCTTTTTTACTATTGGTTTTATTTTAAATCTCTTGCCGCAAAATTGTTTCATTGAATTATAATAAATATTCACAAAAAATTTATATTTTAACTAGTTTTCAAGTTACACAAGTGTATATATGTCCGATTACATACAGAGTTTTTGAAGTTTTATAAAATTTGCAAAAATAAAAAATTAATATTTTTAATTAATATTTTTATAAAATTCGAAAAATATATTACTGTAATTAGTGGCAAAATATTTAATTATGTATATATCAGTTTTTTACTCCATCAGTCAAAATTATACAAATTTCTTTTGTACCGAAAGAGAATCATGTTTTTACTATATTGCTTTGTGCAATATTTGATTTCGTTAAGCACAATTTATATGAACAGTACTCCTTCCGTCCCCGTTTTATATTTCATGTTATTTTTATTTTTTGAAAAATAATTATATATTTTAATTTTATTTTAAATTTTTTAATTTATTTTTTAAATTTTAATTAAACTAATTAGTTATCTTAACTTTAATATATAATTATTTATATTATAGAATAATTATTTTCATTAATATATTCTTAATTATCTACTGATTATACATATCCTAAATTCTCGTATCTAAAGTGACCAGACATCCAATATGGGAATGAGGAAGTATTAAATAAAGTAATTTGATATAATTTAAATATTTATTTTTGCATATATATATAAATATAATTAATAATAATAAATTATGAAGTCGCATGCAAAAGAATGAGTGGGAAGCTGACATGGATGGTAAGAATTTTCTACTATTATTTTGGTACTAAATGGTGGAATTCTTTCCTTAATTATTTTATGCACGCAACGGTTCAATTTCTTTTAATTTCCATATATAATAATAATAATAATAATAATAATAATAATAATAATTGAGCACACTTTACGAACGCCAAGATCATTGATTTCAGTGTCTTTGATTTAGTCTCTATTCAATTGTATATAAAAAATTAAGGCAAATTATGGGTGTTTTTACTAGTAGGATTTGATCTCTTATTTTATTATTATTATTTTTAAAACAAAATATCAAATAAATATTTATTTATTTTATTGTATTAAAATTTAATTTTACATTTAAACCATCATATTAATTTATATATTTATATCACATCAAACAATTATTTTAACTTAAAATTTTATTATTCAGAATCAAAATTAAAAATCATAATCTTACCAGTAAACACAACGGCACCATATCTAATTTCAAATAATATGGAGACTTATCTGCGAAATTGACTGATGACCCTTCATTTCGTTTCATTGTACTCTCTATAACGGCTTCATTTGAATTTTTCTGCAGTTTCGGACCCACTAACAATGTCACGTTTCCATTATTTAAATTAAAATAAATAAATATCAATCATCAATCAATTGATTATAATTAATTAATTATTAGACACTCCTACAGACTCATAATTGATCAATAAATGAACCAACTATTATGAATTACCCGCCAATAAATATATTTGGTTACTGTCTCCACATCTTTTTCGATTTTATTTTTTATTATTATTTTTCGTAATACTTTTTCCGTCTCGTAACAAAATATTTATTTTTTTATTTTAGTCAATTGCATAACAAAGTATCCATTCTTTTTAGTAATTGTATTATCTACTTTAACATTACAAATATTCTTACAACTTACAATATATTACACAAATGTCATTACCTTTATATCACACATACTAAAATGATTATTTTAGTCATTTCTATTATATTCATATTATATCCCAATATAATCCTAATATTTCTAAAACTACTTGCAAAAAGCAAATGGATACTTACTTTTGGGATGGAACGAGTATATTTTAACAAATAATACTCCCCTTCATCCGTAATTGATTTATCCATTTTTCTTTTCATTTTTTTTGTCTGAATATCTCGGATTTTCTTTTTAAATAATTTTAATTTTCATATAACTTTTAAAAAAATCATTATTATTTATATATTATTACAAAATAAACTAGTAATGAATTAAGACCGCATGCACTATAAATAATAATAATAATAATAGATTAAGTTCGAACGAAAATTTAATTAGACAGATTTATAATAATAGCTGGTTCTCATTTATACATAATATACCATACAGAGCATATATAAACTGTAAAACAAATATTCTGTTCTCTAGAATTAGAGTATTTATGTCTACTGCGAAAATAAAAATATATATATATATTTTATTAGAAAAATAATAGAAGTAAAAAGTTAGTTTAGGTTATTTTTAAAATTTAATCATAAATAAGAAAGAATGAATGAATGTAATAAATGTAATGACTATGTCTTGAATTGAAAATAATATTAAGTTTTGATTCATTTTATTTAATATCAAAATTATTTTTGTAATTGTATAATTTTTTATACAAATATTATTATATTTATATTACAAAAAATTAATAAAATAATTTTTATCTTCTTTTGTTAAATTGTAACTATATCTTAATCTAATAATTAATATTTAAAAATTGTAAAAAAAGGAATATAAACTTTGAAGATGGCGAAGGTACAATTTATAACTTTAAGTTCTAAACATATAAATAAATAAATAATACTTTTATATCAAACCTTAATTTCATAACATGTGGATTTACTAGAAAAAATTAAAAATAAATAAATAAAATAATAATAAATCACAAACACCCACACAACATGAGACGGCGTCGTTTTCCCAGCTTCCTAAAACCTAATATTAGCCTCGTGCCCTATATTACCGTTATAATGTAAAAGCAAATCATTCTCATTATTTTATTATTTATTTATTTATTTACTTTATTAATAACATATTATCATCGTCATCTTCATCTTCCTCGCTGCACCTTCTTCCACGACGCTCCACTTAACCGTTTAAACCCCACCAAACCCTGAAAACCCTAATTCTCCCTCCAATGAATCCCCAATTCAATTTCTCCTTCCCCCCATCGCCGCCATGAATAAGACCTTCCTCTTCACCTTCCTCATTCCATTCTCAATCTCAATTGCATTCTCGCAGGACGATTCCGATCTCAATCTCGATTTCCCCAATTTCTCCATCAGAAATTTCACCCTCCTCGGCGACTCCTACCTCCGCAGCGGCGTCGCCGGCCTCACTCGCGACGTCCAGGTGCCGTCCTCCAGCGCCGGCTCCGTCATCTACAACCGTCCGATCAGATTCTCCGATACGGCGTCGTTTTCCACCAGGTTCGCCTTCTCTATTGAAAATATCAATCCTTCCTCGCCCGGCGACGGCCTCACCTTCTTCATCTCCGGCGACAACCAGACGCTCGGCAGTCCTGGAGCCTTCCTCGGGCTCGTCAACGCCTCCGCCGTCCGACCGCCGGAAAACAACAGCAGCTTCATCGCCGTCGAGTTCGACACCAGACTCGACCCGCACTTCCACGATCCCGACGACAACCACGTCGGATTCGACATTGACTCCCTAATCTCATTCAAATCCGCCAATTCGATGCTCGCCGGCGTCGATTTGAAGAGCGGCAACACCATAACCGCCTGGATCGACTACTCCGGCGAGAACCATAACCTCCAGGTATTCCTCAGCTACACCAATTCCAAACCTCCTAATCCTCTCTTAACCGTCGACGTCAATCTCTCCGATCACCTCAACCACTCCATGTTCGCCGGATTCACCGCCTCCACCGAAGGCAGTACGGAGCGCCATTGCATCACCAATTGGAGCTTCTCAACACACAGTTTCCGGCCCCGGCGAAGTCCTAACAATGTATCCGAAACCTCTGTTCCAAACCCGCCGGAAAAGTCAATTCCGGTAACGGATTCCGGCAGCAGACTTCACCGGAGGATTGGATTCGGCCTCGGAATCGGCTTCCCGGCGTTCTTCTGCGCCGTTCTCATCGTTTTTGGATTCTTTTCAATCAAGAAATGGAGAGGATTCAAGAAGGAGAAGAACTTGAAAGCCGAGGTAATGGCAGGGCCAAGAGAGTTCAGCTACAAAGAAATCAACGCCGCCACCGCCGGATTCGACAAAGCTCGGATCTTAGGCCACGGCGCATTCGGCACCGTCTACAAGGCGTTCTTCGCCGACGGCATGATCTCCGCCGTAAAAAGATCGAAGCATCCCCGCGAAGGGAAAGTCGAGTTCTTATCCGAATTATCGATCATCGCATGTCTCCGGCACAAGAATTTGGTTCAACTCCAAGGATGGTGCGTCCGAAAGGACGATCTTTTGCTCGTCTACGAATTCATGCCGCACGGAAGCCTCGACAAGGCTCTACACCACGACGAATCCGGTAACGGTGAGGCCGCAACGACAACGATACTAAAATGGCCACAACGGTACAACATTGCGGTCGGGCTCGCGTCGGCGCTAACGTACTTGCATCAAGAATGCGAGCAACAAGTGATCCACCGCGACATCAAGTCGAGCAACATAATGCTCGACGGGAACTACAACGCTCGGCTCGGGGACTTCGGGTTGGCGAGACTAATGGACCACGGTGACAAGAGCCCCGTCTCGACACTAACGGCAGGAACAATGGGATACCTTGCGCCTGAATACCTACAATACGGAAAGGCAACCGATAAAACCGACGTGTTCAGCTACGGCGTCGTAATACTCGAGCTCGCGTGCGGGAGAAGGCCGATCGAGCGGGAGGGCGAGGGGCAAAGGATGGTGAACCTCGTCGATTGGGTGTGGAAGTTGCACTCGGAAGGCCGTATAGTTTCGGCAGCCGATGGTCGGATGAAGGGAGAGTTCGACCAACAGGAGATGAAGCGATTGTTGCTCGTCGGGCTTAGCTGCGCTAATCCCGACGGCGCGGCGAGGCCGTCGATGAGGAGAGTTTTTCAAATACTTAGCGACGAGGCGGAGCCGGTGGTGGTGCCGAAGGTGAAGCCTAGTCTAACTTTTTTGAATAGTTTGCCGTTGAGTATCGATGAGATCGTCGAGGAATGTGATCGAGAGGACCGAGAGCCGTCGCCGCCGTTTCCGGAGACGGGGGCTGGAAAAATTGGGTGAATTGTTTTTTTTTAAAGGAGGATGATTCTTTGATTTGTTGGATTTTTGTTTTGTAGATGGACGTTGGAGTGTTGATTTTTAAAGTTAGTTACGTTTGATTGTCTGTTTGTTTTATAATTGTGTTGTGTAGAAAGAACTAATGAATGAATGAAATATATGCAAGATTTTATATTGAACTATAGTGTTTTTTTCAAAAATTTTTCCATCTAACAAAATCAAAATCAAACTAATAATAATAATAATAATAATGAGGATATATGAAAAAAAAAAAGTAGGAAAAAAAATGTTAGCAAAGAAAGAGCGTGGGTGACAGAAGAACAGAGAGCACAGCGCCACAAAAGGCAAAAGGATCCTTTACCTATGGCGGCCTGTGCTCTCTTTCTTCTGTCAAACACTTTCAATTCCCGCTTTCTTTAAAATGAAAACAAACCAGAGCATCCAACTACTCATCAATGGAGAATGGAGATACCTAGAAGATGTGTTTCAAAATTCAAAATCTATCTCTCAGGTACGCAGCGAATATGATGATTCACTCATTCCAAAACAACACCAATTGCATGAAAGTAAGCTCACACCTCAGAAAAATATTACCCTCTATCGTTAATCATACGAATCAGCGTGCGTATGCCTACACACAAATATATATCATATGCTCAAAAATCGCAATCAATTTTAAAGGCACAAAACACACACCACCAAAACGACGACACGAAACCATTCGATTGATCACAGTAATGAAGCAGCACCAATCAAACAGTAAATTAAGAGCAGTAGATGCAGGAAATTAAATTAAAACACAGTGAACAAACATACAGTGCTAGCTAGCGTCGACGGCTGACGGTTGTTCTTCCGGCGGATTCGATATGGAATAACAGAGTAGATCGAGTTGAGGAAGGAATGAGAGGCTTCTACAAAACAGTGTCATGACTTATGAGTATATACTATCATTAATATTAGTGTGGATTGGACATATATATATATATGAGGAAGGAAGGAAGGAAGGAAGGAACGAGAGAGTTCTACAAGCATCGAAAACGACGTCGTTTTGCCCCGTCATCATCATGTGCTGTGGTGCGCAGCTTTGATTATGGATTGATCGATCTCGAAGACGTTTGATTTGATCGACCCTTGATTGGAGTTTGCTTGTCGCTTCATAAGTCTGTTTCCTTTCATTCAATAAAACTTCAACCACGTGTTTATTTGTTAATTTGGATTTTGGGTCTGAACTTTTAAATAATACTCCTCCTAGTCCTAGACAAGAATTTTATACTAGAACATTCAAAAAATAATAATTATATGTAAATATAAAACTAATCATTTATTGGTAACGCTGAGAGATGCCTCACCACAACATGTACTATATGAATTTCTACCATATATTTGTGTTATCTTCAATTATATAAACTATTATCATATACTATTTGTTCATATTATACATTTATATTATATTCATGTTCCGTTCGTCCCAAAAAAAGTAAGATATCGTTTGTTTGTTTTTTTGGGACGAATATAATATACTATGATTTTTATGTTCAAATTATCCGCCGACAAAATTATATGCACACATACATAATATAAGTATATCTATAATTTATGTTCGAATTGCTGCTTTCGAAAGTTGAAAAGAATCCACAAATCCATCAGTTGAAGAAATGCAATTAGACTGTAACTCACTCACACCATCACCATCCAAACATATCGCTTCGCATACCTCGTTCGAGCTCGAGATCTCGACTTCCGTCGTCTCCATCGATCCGGGTTCGGCGTCCACTCCAACAGCCGCAGCTTGATCTGCAAACATAGTCTCCGAAATAGGCGAACTGCAAATTTTTTTATACGTATCGTACCTGGCTGCACGGACGCGTCCCCCGGCCAGTATATTCGATAGAGGATGCAAAACCGACACAGGCCCGGTGTCCTTCTCCAGCAAATCCTTCAGGGAGAGAAAATCGGAGACGAGCTCCGGTTGGCTGAACTGAATGAAGGCTGCAGTTTCATCTATGTGATGGAACGACGCGATGGATATCGCTCCGAAAGCTTTATGTAAGCAATTTTTTATATCTGCCGTTCGTAGGGTCCGCGGCAGACCCCACAGAAGAATCATGTTTGAGTAGATGGTTTTAGGAAGATGCCTCCGATTGATGTTTGTGGAGCCGAGAGAGTCTTGGAGAATATTCCCGGTTTTCAGATTTATAATGTCGCCGCTCATCCAGCTGAGATACAAATGGTTGATGTACTTTTCGAGCTTCTGGTGCTGGAGCAAATCTAGAGAGTTGAAATCAATACCTAAATGAAAGCAGGCCTGGGAAAAGACGCACCCTGTCATGAACGCATCGTATCCTGCTTCGTGCTTGGATCCCGAGTTCCAATTTGAAAACCTGTTTATGGTGTTTGACAGATTAGCGATCAGCGGTTGCAAGAAGTGACAAAAAGATAAACTAGGAATAAAAACAAGGGACGAGAACTATAAGTCGTTAAAGCCAATGACATATAGTTCGAACCAGATGTCCACTATAATCCATTTGTACAACGACACTAATTATCTATCAGTTATGAATTTAGATCATTCGATAATATCAAATGATTATTCAGACAGGTTTAAAGAGAGTAGGGGTAAAATCAGTATAAACAAATTTAAAGAGAGTCGATGGAAATCGAACCTCTGACCGTCCACTTGAACTTCGACTTTAACTCGTTTATCTTCAACAACATTGCCAGCACCACTTAGAACAATAGGTGGACAGAGTAAGGTGAAAGCTTTGGAAAGTGAAGTGCCGCCACTTTTTAGGAGACGGAATAGCTCAATGTCTGTATTCAGCAGCAGTTTAGTGTCGATGATGTGTGGAAAATATGATTGAAGAGATGAGACAAATTCTTCAGCAGTCTCAGGAAGAGGGGCAACAAATTTACGAAAGACATGAGCAAGGTCTGCACCGGGAATTGGAACACAAATTATCAGAGAGAAGTTAAAACTTCGGGGTTGATATGGAGAACAATATCAAGAACGAACTTCAGTACTACCAAGAAAACAATTGTGACCAACAATCAGCTTTTTCTCCGAGGAAAGGAGATCAAAAACATGCCGAAACCCAATTGCAGATTTAATCTTCATCTCAGCTTCTTGCCTTTGACGAGCTTTAACTTCCATCTGAAACACACAAAAGGGAGAACGATTACACACTCGCTACGTGAGTTCATAAACATAACAAAGGATTATCAAAAGTAGTGCACAAAGGCTTTCATAATATCTTTGGCTTCACACACACGCAAAAAGATTTCTCGGGCATTTTGTTCAATTGCAACATTCAAAATCTGCTACTTATACGTAGAGCCACTGAATACCTAATAATGAAATGACAAATCAACATGTTGAACTATTGAAGTCCAAAAGAAAACTAACACTCTGTTTTCTAACCTTTTACGGAAAATTCTCTCCCAAAGAAGCATCATATTCAAAACCTATTTTTAATTTAAAATATTACATCAAAAATATATTCTCTATTCAAAACATCACATCCAACACCTATTTACGTCGCATCAAACACATTGTATATTCAACTCTTTACTATTCACAAACCAACCGAAAACTCCAAAAAATTTCCAAACATATATAATGCAGCCTAATAATGAGGAAATACGTGAAATAAACATAGAGAACATGATCCTCTCTCTTCAATTGCGCTCACTCTTACCATAAGCAACTCCCTATCTGCTGTAGAATCCGTATAGACTACCATATGTTGTAAAGGAGATGTTTCACTGGATACATGGACATAAGCAAGATCTTTGAGCATTCCAACAACCTATGTAAATAAAAATAAAACAGCACAAGATTGAAAGTTAAAGAGGCATTGCCACAGTTAAAGGCAAAAATTTCAGGAAGGATTGCACCAATTAATGACAAATATGTAAAAACATTTGAGAAGCTCCAGTAATGTTTAACAAATAAAACAAGTAAAATATGGTCATAAAAATATATTGAAGTGTGATACATAAAAGGTAAGTAAAGAAGATTTGCCAGTGACCAATAAGAAGTTAGAAGCTTAAGGAAGCCATTTCGATCATATTAAACTATGCAAATCTCTCAAAACTTTGATACTCTTCAAGAACATATTGGATAAAACTTTAAAATGTAAGGAAACACATTACGAGGGTGGCAAGCAGTACACATTTAATTATTATATTTTTGAAAGAAAATTTCTAGACTTGAGTATGCAAAAAGTCAAAAACAGAATTAACTCACTCGCTAACACACAAAACGTGTACGAAACCATAAGAAAAGGAGACACACTTCTAATTAGATATTGATATAAATCGAAATTTTCATTGCCAATATCGGTAATCATTTGAGATGCACCAAATTTCAAGAGAGTCCAGAATATAAAAGTGGGGAAAACTTAAAAGTAGATCTTACCATCTTAGTCATACCCAACTGACGGGAACTCAAGCCATTCAATACAAGGGCAGGACGCCTATGGAAGAACGTTGTCTCAAATTTTTGTTTCGTGTCATTCAAGCTCCCTTGAAACTCGGATCCTCGACTTCTCTTGTGTAATAATGCATCTCGCCATTCGCTGAGCGTCTTCTTTATTCTTTCAGAAAATAGAATGTCTGCCAACCTGATCAACTTTGCATCCACATCGTTTCCCAACTTAGGTGATGAATCCAGAGTCAACTTGTACAGTGAGTCCAACTGCTCTAATGCTTCTTCCTCTTGGCTTCTGGATAAATAAGATATTCCTGAGAGATTTAAGAGCGTAAAATCTCCAAGCATAGGCTACAGAAGACTTCAAGGATAGCCCTCAAGCCGATGACACTTACGGATACGTTTTACTTGGTGGAATAAGGCATGATAGATTGTTTAATCCAATCTACCCCCACGCTTAATATAAAGTATTAGAACACGAAATTAGATGCAAACTCAGTATAATTTACATCATTCTTAAATAATGACCTACAAATAAAGCTTTGCTTTTTAGCAATAAAACAAGGCTATGCTTATATTATGTTCTCAGGCCTAATCACATATTAAGTTTAATAAAAATGGAAAAAACAAAAAGTGAATAATCGATTAAAAGCCAGTGTGAATGAACTGAATACAAGATAATTAATACAACTTAATATACAGGATAAAACAATTCTTCTAAATAATTATATCAGACAGTTATCCATAAGTAAACATGGTCCCAACTTAATTCCTAATTCCTAAGAGTTAAAATGTAGGCACAAGTAAAAACTCAATGACGAAATCTTGACACCCACTCAATGAATCTTGACACAAATCTTGGCAACAACCAATGCATTCTAAATTCGGAAACTCTTACAGATAATTGAACCAATGCAACACTACAGGGAGAATCCTCAACCACAATGTTTCATAAAACGATGGTTTATAGATTTGATCACAAAGCTTAGAGAAAATTGATTGAAATTTTAGGTCACCTTCATAAATACACGCATTGAAATCAAACTCGTATTTTGCCAAGAATTCCAATGACCTTGTCTGGCAAAGGAACTCAGAAGATGAGCCATCACCAGGAATTTCCTGCCGTGGAAATATGTAAAAGTTGTACCTGTAATAGCAAGAGATCAAAAAAACATCTCGTACATTCAATTCCTTCAATGTCACATTGAAGAAACCTAATAGATTAACATATTCCTCGATCAAATTCAATTTGTTTGCTCAAAATTCCAAGCAAAAATCAACAGCATTTGTTTCCAATCCATAAATAACTTCATTCAGGTAAATGCATAATCTTACGGATAAGCAATGAAGGCGTTCGAATTGGAATCCCAGCGGAAGGGGCAGACTCCGAACTGGACGACGGCGAACTTCTCGGCGGAATCTTTGATTTTCAAGTACTGAATGTCCGGCCGGTCGAAATTGAAACACTCTCGCCACGGCGCGCTCGTAATCCCCGTCATCTCCAAGTCGATCGATACGAAATCCGCATGCTTGACGTCGCCTCGCAGCTCGTTCAGCGCCTGCTCAAAATTCGACTTCGTGACGTGCTTGAGCGCAACGTCGGCCTCCGCCGGTGGAGTGCGGGAGCACAGACAGCGGTTTGGTAACGAGAATCGGGCTCGGGCCAGGGCCCGAACCAGAGGAATCACCCTCATTGTCCGCCTTCGCTCATTAGGGCTTCGAAGAGAACAATTTACAGGAGAGGAAGAACAGATTAGGGCTGGCTGGCGCTGTACGGAAGCAGTGACGCGAGATATGGTGCGCAGCAGGTAACTTTATAAGAACAATTAAATGCATATTTTTTATTTATATTAAAAATTACTTTTATATTTAAAATATTACTAATGTAACCAATTACTTTAATTTAAAACTTATTCAAAATAATTTCCCAAAATAACAAGAATTAATCCAATACATACTCCGAAAGTAACAACAGATCCATCACCATCGTATATTTCTTATAAGCGCAATCACTACTATTTACATCTTACTAACAAAATATATAGTCAAAAATAAATTTCAAGCTCATTATATTCATGAATACAAAAGAAGTGCACATAATCAAAATCTCAAAAAAAAAAAAAAAGTGGTCGATCGCATTGAAACGATGCGATCGGAGAAGTTATTCCAACCGTCGATCCAATCGAACATATATATATATGTGTATGTATGTATCTATGTATTCATCGGAATCGATCAATGGGAAACCCCATTTTGATTCCCGAGTCTCTGAAACTCACACTCTATCGTTCGAGCAATTTTCAGGTCCTCCGGGTCGGGTTCCGGAACATTGACATGGAACGAGGCGTGTCTCACCGGCGCAACTGGCTCGACCCGGGCTGCCTGCTCCTTAACATAAGCGTACATTTCCCGATGGAACGGGTGGTCTAGTGAGAAACAATCGCTCTCCGTTCCGTCCCGGGAATTACGGGACGAGCCCGACCCATCTCTACGGCAGAAATGCGGGAGCGAGTCGAAGTCCATGATCTACGAAAGCAAGCATTAGTTGCATGGATAAACAGCCAGATCAAAGGAATATAATTTGTAAAATTTAAATTTATAGAACAAACACAAAAGGAATCGAAAACATATTTCCAAAAAAATGAAGTAAACTCAGGTCCTGTTTCGTTGGTTAAAATAATTCCGTCAAATTTATCGGTTTCATTTCGCAATATAATAGATTTTAATTCGACATTTTAAATACTCTTGGGTTGTGTATGTTTAGAGTTTTTATAAGATTTTAAGTTTTCATTTTCTATAATATAATGAACATCAATTCTACTTATTTTTTTACACCTATTTATATCACATTAAACAATTAAACAAAATCAAAATTTTACTAGCTCCCAAACAAACACACCCTTTAATACTATATCAATCCAAATACTTCTTAAAACAAGAATATTGAATTTAAATTACAAAATATTTCAAATCCGAGGTAATTAAAATCCATTTAAACAAAAATCCACCTTCAAATCCAAATCTATTCAACCAAACGGGCTTAAAGAAATTTTCAAAATCGGAAGTTCCAAAAGTCTGAATTTCAAAAAATAGGATAACCATTTAACTGGTGTTAAGAAAAAATCAAGACAAATTTTTTTTGAGTCGAAAAACGAAAAAAAAAATAAAAAAAATAGTACCTTTAACAACTCATCTCTTCCCGATCCCGACAAAACTTGCACCTTTTTCTTTGTTCTTTCTTGCAAAAGAGGCCTAACAACCTGCAAAGTATAAACCTTAAAACGGACATAAACGACAGTATCATATAAAGACGCTAAGTCGCTAAGTAATGAGCAAACCTTCCAACACGCGGAGAATATATACGGGGCGTTGACAATGTAATAAGTCTCCGTCTTCTCGGGATAGTTGAGGTCATCAACTGTGGATATTGCCGACAGCAACTGCATTCAGACAAGGCGCCTCCTTAAAATATCAAAACTTATCACAGAGCAAACACACTTAACGACATACCTTCATTTGATTCAATGCAGATATCTTCAAACCAGTCATGTCGAGAATCTTTATGCACGTGTTGATATACCGACCGAATTTCTTCGTCGCAGAAGGCTACAACATCGATCGGACCAATGTGCGAGTGACGCGAAAACTAAAGCTAATGTCTGTCTTAAAAAATCAATGTATGAAAACTCACCATAATCACGCGATCTCTGTATTCGTTCATCTGGATGTGCGATTGAATGTAGTAGTTCATCTGAAATCAGGATCGAAATAAATTCATACATATATATAAGCATTTTACAACACATACATACACAAATAATTCCTACCGATGCTTTGTCGTACGTACTGCGACCGACGCCAACGGCAAAAACGGGGAGTCCCTACAAAGATTTATCATAGTGTCGAGAGAAAAATCGTCGAAATACTAAAATGCGATTCGATTTTTAAAAATGACAATCGGAAGTACGTCTTTCGAGTATCCAGACATTCCCGTAAGCTGAGAATCCCGTATCGCGCGGTACAGATCGCTAGGATTAATCGGTTTCTGCAAAGCAGCTTCAAATTATTGCAAGAATCGACAAGATGTGTTTAAAAATACATATACATACCGTAAGTATATGATCAATTCCGTTTTGTAATCTCCAGTTTAAAGAGTCGATCAGCTGAAAGATTCATAATACAAATCGAGACGTCAAAGAAGCAACGACACGAGAAACAAAACGAGTTCGGAGACGAACCATTTTATGCGCATTCGCAACATTTCCGTCTCTTGCTTTAAGAAACCTCACCAAATTCTCCCTCGGATGCCCGTCGTGCATTTTCTACAAACAATTTCGTGAAAAAAGAAGAATCGAATTTAATTATTGTCCGAATCCGATCCTTCGATCCCATCCACCAATTTCATAATAATCCAAGAATCACACATTTTCCACAACCCAAATATGTGTTAGGATCGGGACTATTTGCAAACCTTCTTCCCTATACTGTCAAATCAATCATCTATTTTTTTCATTTAATAGTATATTATATAACAAAGCAAATTTTTGTTGTGAGTCCTAAATCCAGAAACCAAATTGAAACCTAATCCAAACACACCCCAAATGTCGGGTGCTCGATGTATATATTTTCTACAAACGATTTCACGAGAAAGGGGTAAAATCTTAACTATTGTCCGAATCCAATCCCTCGATCTCATCCGTCGATTTCATAATAATCCAAGAATCCTACATTCCGATGACCAAAATTCGGGGGCCCTCGGACTCCCATTGTGTATTTTCTACACGCTATTACAAGATAAAATCTAACTACTGTCCGAATCCGAACCCTCAATCCCATCCCTTGATTTCATAACAATTAAAGAAAAATGTGACAATCGAAAAGAGTGCCAATAGTAAATAAATAAGTAAAATCGAAAAATTATATGAATCTTCATGGATCAGTGTAAAGGCTATTCGATCAATTCCTCGTTATATGATTCGAAACAAATGCAAATCGAGAAGAACACCAAATTCACATCTAATCATGATTCGGACAACCAAATCGATGCCTAATTTTTACAGCTCAAAATAGACTAACTTAGCTATTTTTCGAAAAGTCCTATTACAAACATTCCCTAAAAGATCGAAATTAGGGCTCCAAGTAGCAATTTGACTTCACAATTGACTTATCCAAAACACAGGAATGTCAACAAACAATCGACGAACAAAGACAAGATATCAAATCCGTGTCCAGATCAAACTCCAATTATTACACGAAATCAATATATAAAATAAATAAATAAAAACGAACCTGGAAAGTATCCTTCAGTGGCTCATCAGCTGCAACAGAAAGAACAACAGAATAAAATAAAAATCAGTATCTCGCAGACGGCAGATCCAACGGCCAGGAAGAGACGAGAAGAAGCAATCGGACGATTAGAAAGTAAAATCGAGACTCTGACCTTTCTCCATTAGGGTTTGAAACTGTTTAATCATCTCCTCAGTAATGATCACCATCTCTTCTTCTTCTTCTTCTTTCTTCCTCGAATCTCAGACAACAATTCAGGCCTCTTTTCCCCTAAATTTCAAGCTGTGTCTGAATGAGCTACAGCATCGGGTTTCTTTAGATCTTTAAAAACGAAAAAGAAAAGAAACAGGAGGATAGGCGACTGAAAATGACGAGGATTGATGGATTGTAAGCTGGAGTTAAAAATCCCCACCGCCACCGCCACATGAATTATTACAGCGATCTGATTCCACATTGGGATATTTCCTGAGTGTGGTTTCTTACAGCCATTTTTTTGCTGTTTCCGAGAATGTGCGACTGTTGCCCGAAAGGAACGGTCGTCAGAGAGACTGTCGTGCGTGTTGTGTTGTATATATATATATATATATATACATACACACACAGACACGCCCGTTAGCTACATCTAATATTTATGGTTTATATAATATTTGATTAAAAAATAGTACTACTAATTGTCTCCGTTCTTTCCAGATTACTTTAGATATAAATTTCAAGAATTTAGAGTATATTTTATTTCATAGGTTTGAAAATATATATATATATATGAATTTAATATTAAAATAATGTATATAAATGTTTTATGATATAAAAAAAATTAAATAAATACTCTCTCCGATCAAAAAATATAGTCCTATTGTGTTGGGTACCAGATTAAGGAATATTAATATTAAATGTAAGGATAAATGATATTTTTGCCCTTGTGAGTATATTAGTGTAAAAGTAGCGACAATTGTGCAATAATAATGAAAAAGTATGAATTATTTTATGGTAATATAATTATTTATGGAAATGAGACTATTGTTTTGAAACGGACAAAAGTGATAAACAAGACTATTGTATTTGGACGGAGGGAGTATAATAAATAAATAATTATATATTAATAAATTAATTATAAATTAAAATTAATAACTTAATAAATTATAAATTTTAAAATATATTTAAAATATATAATCATATTTCTTAAAAGAACAAAGAAAATGAGATGGAATGAAATAAAAACAATTGAGGAAAAAAAATGGAATGGAGAAACTGTGATATTAAAAAAATGGAATGGAATATTATTAATAAAAAATGCCTGAAAGTCAGAAACTATTAAAAAATTGGAAATTTTATCAACTTTTGGTATATTATAATTTTTAATAAAAATATTATTTAAATAAAAATTTAAATATAGTAATATGTTATTTTAAATCAATTTGTAGTGAAAATAAAACCAACCTTTTAATGCATACCTTTAAATGCTTGTCTAAATACACGCCATAATTGTGCCACAAATTACGCCGTTCATTTTAGGGCTTCTCAATATTATTCATTTACTTAGACTGTATATATATATTAAAAAAATTAAAAAATTGATATTATTATAAATATTTTAAAATGTATAATATAAATATCTATTTTATACTTTTTTTTCTCTCTTTCAATTCGCACATCTTTATTTTTATTATAGTATAACTTATATATTTTATTAATTATTAAAATAAAGTAAGATGTTACCAAGGATCTTGTTTCAAAAGATCAAAGTTTAAATTCGAGCGTCAGATCACCGATCACACATGATTCGTCTAGTGTGTCTTTTTCGTCAAGTCTGATTTGCAGAATATTATATTCGACCGGAAATTTATCCAGTACACACTTTCAAATAACGGCTGCGGATTTCCACCTCGTATAAAAAAAAAAAAATTAATCTTAAAAATCAACAGCATTCGAAGAAAATAAAAATAAAAATAAAATCAATATTCAACCACTTAAGCTGCACACTCTGGGCAAATAGAACCTAAACTAACTAATATATATATATATATATATATTATATTACAATAGAAGATAAATTCAGCAAATATAATAATTATTTAATACAATAACTTGATAATAGATATTTAATATATTTATTTATACATTAAAAATTTGGCAAGTAAATACAATGTTGAAAAACTGTCTATTTTTTCCAAAACTTTTTAAATGGCAAGTGGAATTAAAATCAAATAACTATAAGCCATGTGAGCAATTATTAAAGTTTGAAATGGTGTGACTCAAATAAATAAATATATAAATAATACTAATAAAGGAAAATGACAACCCATCTTATAATCTCTTTAATAAATAGATAAATATATATAGATTAAAACCTCCCATTTTTTTTTTATAGAAATTAATTTATATTAATACTATATAGTATTATTTGCTTATATTACATAATATATTTTTTTTAAAACTATTATTCCATCAACAGCCAAACATAACATTTTATTTTTGTTTTAAGGGTGCGTTTGTTTGAGTGTTTGGATTTTGAGTTGGGATTTGAACAGTAAAAATTTTGAATTTGAATAGTTATACGATATGATGTAAATAGGTGTTGATGTGATATTTTGAATGTAAAAATAGGTGTTTGATTTGATGTTTTTTGGGAAAAAAATAAGTTGAAATAATTATTGTATATGAGCAATAAAATAAATTATTGTATATTTTTGCCTTGGGATGTCTTGGGTTTTGATTTTAAATTAAAATTTTAATCTAAAAGTTTATTCACTTAAATCATTTCACAAAATAAACACACCCTAAAATATATATTCCCTCGCCCCATTAAAATGTTATAATTTTTTATTTTTGTTTGTCTCAAAATAAGATTATTATTTCATAATTTAGTAATTATATTACCTATTTAAAGTATTATTTTAATTTATATTATATTACACAAATATAATTATTTTTATATTACTCCGTATTAATAGAGGTATTTTTATTTTTTATTATAATTTAATATAACACTAATATTTAAATATTTAGGTGCAAAAGAGAAACGATTAGCTTTCTGCGACACAGAAAGATAATTGAGCGTCTTGTTAAAAATAAAAAAAAAAATAAAATCGCAGACATTGATTTTAATTTTAAAAGTAACTGAAAAAACATGAAAATTAAAAAACAAAGACACTGTTAAATGTGTTGACTTACCAATATTTTTTTTTACCGGGGTCAATGTATCATTTAAAGAAAGATATATTATATTTAATTATAATATAATATTTAATTATAATATAGTACTTTCTTCATTCCATATATTATGTTAAAAAAATAATTACACACTTTAATTTTATTTTAAATTTTTAAATTTTATTTTATTTTTTAATTTTAATTAAACTAATTAGTTATCTTAATTTTAATTTAAAATTATTTATATTATATGATAATTATTTTCACTAATATATTTTTAATTATCTATTAATTACACTCCTCCTAAAATACCGACCGTGTCTAGTAATTTGTTGCATAAAATCTTTTTATTTTACACAAAAAACGTAACAAACAATTTAAATTTGATGTTTGTTACTGTATTGCTTTCTTTAATACGGTAACTGAATTCATTAACTCCTTTTTCAACTCAGTTTCTTCTTCCTCAAATCCAAGTTTCCGATTAGGTTTCCAACAATTTACTTCTATGGCGGAATCCTCGTGGTCGTGGAATGAGAATAAGCAATTCGAGGACGCACTCTCTGAGGTTTCCGACAGAGGCTCCGAACGGTGGGGGAAAATCGCCGCGAAAGTGCAGACGAAGTCGCCGGAGGAGATCGTCATGCACCACCTCAGGCTGGTGGAAGATTTGATCGCGATCGACGCCGGACTTATTGAGTTTCCGCAGTATAGAGACGAGGAGGCGTTCGAGTTGCGATCGTCGGGCGACGCGGCGGCGCAGCCGCGGAAGGCCGCCAAAGCCTGGACCGACGATGAACACAAGTACGCAATCATATCTCTCTTTTTTTTTCTATTTATTTATTTATTATTATTAAATTGGCAAGGTTACTTGTAATCACTTATGACTTTGAAAGGAATTCATCATTCTTATTTGATTTAAAATTCGTGCTTTTTTAAAATATTGTAAATTTTTTTTTTATTATTTTGAAATATTTTAAAAAATAAGAAGAGATTCATATAATTTTTAAGAGATTCTATTCTTATATTTATAAAAATATAAGAAATTTTTCATATAATTTTTAAAGGTTTGTTTGTTTAGTGTTTTGATTTTAAATTTTTATTTTCAGTAAAGTATAAAAAATTGTGTCAAAATTATACGTTTAAATTTTTACGAGAGAATAATATATATATATATATATCTTAGAAATAGCATCAAAAAAAAAAAAAAATTTGTGTGAACGAGGTAGTTTGTATGATATTTTTCTAAAATAAAAATTGACTACAAATTGATTATAAGTAATTTTGCTTTATTAAATCATCATTTTATATTTTTGACAGATGTTTTAGAAATTTTAAAATTTATTTCCTTTGATTTAAAAAATAAAAAATAAAATTCATTGTACTATTTTTGTATTTTAGAAGTGTTTTTTGAATTTATTATTATGTTTGAATTAAACGACGATACACTATTAGGATGATTTTAATAAGATGATATCCTCTTTTTTAAAAATATTAATATTATATTATGATATAATAGGAGTGATAAAGAAAGAAGAGTAATATATTTAATTAAAATGAATTGAATTGTTTTTAAAAGAATGGAGTATTTTAATAAAAATAGAATAAGGTGATTTGAGATTGTTTGGTTTGTTATGTCTGACTTTAGTTTAATTTAATTTAATTATTTCATTTAGTAAGTTTAGAAATAATACTATATGTAAATTAATATTAACTATATTTAATAATGTAATGTTCGATAATTTCAGTTTATTTTTGGATGGACTGAAAAAATATGGAAAAGGTGATTGGAAAAGCATATCAAGGCTAGCCGTTAAAACGAGAAGCCCGGCACAGGTAGCGAGCCATGCCCAAAAATACTTTGAGCGCCAAGAAAAGTTGGATCAAGACAAGAAGAGGCGGAGCATATTCGATAAATCCATCCAAAGTTGATTAATTAGTTTAGTCCAAAAAACCTTTAATATGTAAATAGTTTTTTAGTTGTGTTTCTTTGAGACTTTCGGGTGTGTTTGTTTAGTGGATTGGATTTTAAATTTACTATTCATTTTATTTTTTTTCCTAAAAATATCATATTAAATATCTATTTTTTTAATATTAAACTAAAAATTAATTTTACATTCAAAACATCACATCAATACCTATTTATATCACATTATACAACTATTCAAATTCAAAATTTTTATTATTCAAATCTCGATTCAAAACCCAAACTCCCAAACAAACACACCTCTTGCTATAAGAATTTTGAGGGTAAGGATTTAATTTGAAATTGAATTATTTATCTTTTAATTCGATTTTTCTATGAGGCAATAGATTGAAAATATATCACCAATTCATAATTGATGTTTTTGAAATACTCTATTTGTCTTGATTTTGTATTTGGAATGTTCAACAATTATTATTATTTAAAACAAAAAATTTATATACGGAATTGACTTTTTTTTTTTCATACACAAATAAAATGCAAATTTGTAGATTCATAACAAAAAAAAAAAACTAATAACCTAAAAAATGTGTAAATATTAATTAGGATATTAAAAAATGAATTGAGGAAGTATAAAATATTTTATATTGAATTTTTTGAATTTAGAAGTACATTATATTGCATGACCGTAAAAAAGAGAATATTATCTTTTTATTTGTTTCTTTTGTACAATGTTTTTAATATATTTATTTTAAAAAATTAATATATCACACATTTTTATTATTTTTATATTTTATAGTATATAATTATGTTTTATTATTTTCATGTTTTATAGTATATAATTCTTGTATCTCAAGTCAAGAAATTCTCACATAAAGCACAAAACAAACACACCCGTATGCATACGCATAACCCAAAAAATTAAAAACACAAACAAACACAACCTTATACCCTTCATCCAAATCACAATCAACAGCCTCATCAAACCAGGTGCCACCCAGTCGTGCTTTATTCTTCTCTCCTCTTCCCTTCAGGTTTTATTTAATGATTGCACACTTTCGCAGTTTCGATTAGCCTCCACCGGATTCGTTATCGAAGCTTCTCTGCCTGCCAGGGTATGCCTACGCACACGACTCCCTCGCCATGTGCTTATTTCAATTTCAATTACAATTTTGATTGTTTGTTTGTGGAATTGCGGAAAGGTCTGATTCGTTGCTGAATCTGTTCGGAAATTATTGAGATTTTAATCGCGAAATTGGATCGGATCTTGTGTCGATCGAATTCTGCATCCAGATACGGAGCTTGTGTTGGATTGATTTCGATTATTTTTTTACAAGTTGATGAATCTTTTATTTATCGATTTAGCAGATCTGGATCTATGTTGTATGTGATTATGATTACTCATCGATTAACTGTGCTTTTCGGTGGCGAAATATCGCGTGCATCATATGAATCAAGATGGTGGGATGTACGGTCATTTTTCGTCTTGGATTGTTTTTGGCTGTTTTGTATTCGAATCTATTTTTTTGATTGAAAGTTTGAGATGTGATGTTTTGAAGGATATTTGATGTTTTGGAATTTAGTGTCTGGATATGGTATTGTCATTGTTGCATAATTTTGTTTGGAGTAAATGATAGCTCTATATCATTTGAAATAAGAAATGGTTCTCTTTGAAAGCATTTAAAGAAAGACTTAGTCGCTAGAAGCCATGTTTGGAATGCCATGAACCACGAGACAAATAATCGAGGCAAACTGTAAATACTATATATGAGCTACAACTATACGATAGACGAATCAAGTGATATATATGTTCCTATTTTTTCCAAGAACATAACCTCGACGAGAAAGGATTGGTAAAGAATTTCGAATTTCTTTTAGTAGCGTAGTCATCTATTTTTGCAATAATGTTTATTATTTTGGGTGTGTTTACTTTGTGAATTTTTATTATTATTAATTTTCTCTTGTGTGTTTGAGATTTGGTTTTGGATAAAATATGAATGGATCTGATGTTTTATATAGAAATTCAGTATGTTTTTACAGGGAATTGTGATGCTTCATAATAAAGAAACTGAAAAAAAGAAGTAAAGATAGCGTTTGTAACTTATCCTATCTCTATTTCGACTTGAATATATGAATTTTGAGCTCATATGGCATCATGCCATTATGGAATAAGATTTGGAGGCGAAACAATTTCTCCTCAATGTCATGTTTGACTTGGTGCTATGAGAGTAGAAATTTTGATACAAAGTGAATGATTTTTCCATGTCAAAATTCAATTCCAGCTGAGCCTCATCCAACTCATAACTTCCATTATTCTAATATTCAAATGTGGTGTGTTTGTAATTGCAGGTACTTGTAAACAAATCGACACTCGATTATAGGAGCATCATAGTATTGGAGAATGGTCCAAAGGTTGATTCCTACTTCTCTTTTAGATGTTGGCCCTGTTTACCATCTTCACTTTAGGTATAAAATCATAAAGAGAAAAACTGTAGGTTCATGATTTAAATTATGGGATAATTAATCATATAGGATTAGAACCACATTCGTCAAAGACAAGAAAATGGTCAGTGTTAAATAAGGCTCCTTGTGAACCACTTCGAGTAAGATTATTTACCTTTTTTTTTTTCTCGCTTTCATTTTAACAGGCATGGAGCTCAGGAATGTGCATGATTTACCATGTTGCAGTGCTTAGACAGGATCAAGCATTTATGTGCTTTGGTTCTTCAATGTTGCGAGCATGACCGGCAATCGAGGGGCCTTGAGGATCCCGAGATTCTTGCACGAGAGACTGTTTGTATACATGCTATTACCCTAATCCACCCCCTCCGCCCCAATACCTAAATTCAATAAAATCCAAAATCAGAAAAAGATCATTAAGATACTCAGTTCTTGAAACAGCTGTTAATTGTGACCATTATTATTTTATTTTTTCGGTAATATTTTGGATTGTGACATTAATAAATTTTCTGTATAAAGAAAATTAACATCATGTGAATTCTCATGCATCTATCTTATTTTTAACTAGATATAAAAATTAATAGAGTGGTAAAAATAGCCAGTCTTGACATCCATGATTTCTTGTTGGATACAGTTAGTGTGAGTGAAATCGAAGCCCTTTATGAGCTTTTTAAGAAGATTAGTAGTGCTGTGATCGATGACGGGCTGATCAACAAGGTATTGTATATGATTTGCAAAGATAACAATTTTGTGGTTCTCACATGAAGGCAAATTTGCTCAAGTGATTCTTTATGTTATTGTTATGCAGGAGGAGTTTCAATTAGCATTGTTCAAGACGAACAAAAAAGAGAGTTTGTTTGCTGACCGGGTACTCCAATTCTAACTTAATTTTGTTTACTATTAACTTTTTATGCAGTTAATAATTTTCTTTTTGTGATATTTCATATACTGTTATATTTGTTTTCTATGTGCACTACGGCATGTCTTGATCCATATGACAATAGTCATACATGAATTAAATGGATTTTTTCCTCTGTGAAATGCAAAATCGAAATTCTATCATCTTATAACTTGAAAATAATTCAAAACAACCAATCCATGACGCACCAAGATTTCAATTGTGCTTTTGTATAACCACACACCATTCTTATGTTCTTTCCTAAGCAAAAAATTGAGGGTGTTTATCCCTTCGAAAAGTTTTATACCTAAAGAATTTCACATGTATATTTTTTGTGTTTTCAAGTAGCGGTTTACTCGTTATTCGCTATCCCGGTAGTGTTTTAGGAGTCAAGAGTCAACCACTATTTTCTGCTCTATGAGATTGACAACTCTTACCCATATTTGTTTCATTATGATTTCAAATTAAAATTACTATTATTCATTTTGCATGATTTTTAATAAAAATACACTATTTACTCTCACAAAACGTCATATTAAATTACTATTCAAATAAAAATTCAAATCAACAATTTATTTCAAATCATTTTCAAACCATAACCAAACAATGCGGGCTTTTTAACCTATTTTATATTTGATTGTAAGTCATTTACTTAACATCTCCTTTCTTATAGTAGTCTTTATTGCTGATTTTCCTATTCCACAAGGGAATAAAAATGAAATTGACTTTGACATATGACTCTTGCATTAACACTTGAAAGCATATCCTACAAATGTATTTTAGCAATATAGAAAGTCCAAAGAATTTTCTAATTCCTTTTTTGTCTTGTGTCTCCAATTTGGGGACCAGGTATTCGACTTGTTCGACACAAAGCATAATGGAATTCTTGGGTTTGAGGAATTCGCCCGCGCTCTCTCTGTGTTCCATCCTAATGCACCCATTGATGAAAAGATTGACTGTAATTCCAAACTTGCTCGTACAATTTTGTTTGTATTCATGAAAAATCAGCTTTAAAATGTCCGTTCTTCTTTTGTCGCAGTTTCTTTCCAATTGTATGACCTCAAGCAGCAAGGCTTTATCGAAAGGCAAGAGGTAATAATTACAGTCTCACACCCAATATAACGCATCTTGAAACCCTTGAAATCAATTTGCAGCTCATACATATAATGTAATTCTTGTTTCTGTCTGCCTACTTATATTGTCTGCATTAAATGGGATCCTTGTCCGGACGTTGCATGATGATTTCAATAATAGAAGTAGTGTTTAAATTAGATGTACTCTCCTTAATCTTGTAGTTCGGTGGGACATGATCTATCCATACACATACACTTAAGTGTATAGTGGTTCGCTCGGAATCCATTCGATTTCTAGTCATGTTTGTATGTCAGTTGTGTTATACTTCCTTTGTCTGCAAATAATAGATACATTTACTGATTACACGTTAATTTAAAAATAATACTAATAGTATTTTATATTCGGCAGATATGATGTAATTGTATAAAGTCTAAGGGCTAACATTTCATAAGAAATATATGCTGAAATGAATATTTTGGTATTTTTACTTGAAGTGATTTGGCACATTTTATTAATATTGTTGGTCCATATTTATTAAATAAGAAAATGAATATATTGTTAGCTGACGAAAGAGAAATATCTAAAAGAAAAGCATAAAAAGGTGAGTGCATTGGTTTCTTAAAACTCCTTCGATGCGACTCAATAGTTTTGCATAAATCTATAAATTGTTTACATTTTCTACTTTTAATGATTTAAACCACTTGTCTTTTACTCCCATATACAAATTTTTTGATGTTTTACACTAAAATAGGTTTATTAAATGCTAAATGTGTAATGTTTTCTTGGGAAAAAAATAAAAATATTTAATTATAGTTTGTATAGTATTGAATGGAAAATTGCTTTCACTCGACTCATATTCAGTTTCCTATTTGCAGGTAAAACAAATGGTGGTTGCGACTCTTGCTGAATCCGGTATGAATTTGTCGGATGAAGTTATCGAGAGCATCATAGACAAGGCAATCCATCAACTCATTTTATTTCATTTTTTATTTTTTATTTTTTCTATAACAAGTAGTGTTGGTTGTTTAACTGAGTTTGCGGATTTCCTTGCAGACATTCGAAGAGGCCGACACAAAGCATGACGGGAAAATCGACAAAGAAGAATGGAGAAGCCTTGTCATGAGGCACCCGTCCCTTCTGAAGAACATGACTCTTCAATATCTCAAGTAAGTGAATTGAATTATATCGACAGACTTGTGTTTCATTTGACTCGACTTTTACAAACTCGTTTTATTCTGTCTTTCTTCTTAAATAGGGACATAACGACTACATTCCCGAGCTTCGTATTTCATTCGAGGGTCGAGGATACCTGAGGATGGATGGGGGTGTGGTGTTGTTTGCTTGTAAATCCTTAATTTGTTTCGTTCCTATTTGTACTAAAATTGGTTTAAGTTGCTGTGGTGTTTGTTTTTTTGCCTTAAGGTTTGTTCTCTTTGTGTAATTTGTGCTGGGAAACTTTGCATTGGTGTTTTGTTTTGGTTTTTTAAAGATACTCCGTGGAATGATATTTTTATTCGGAGCATTTCATGTTATTTTTCGATTAGCTGTTAGGTTTCCGTGCAAAATTAATAAGACAACAACGCATATATGATTACATGTAATAATTCTAAGAGTAAAATTGAGTGCGGGCGTAGTTGCCGGGTATTAAGTTCAATCAAGTTCAATCAGGTTTTACTCTGTTATAAGAAAAATTTGATGAAGGATGACTGAGTGGGATGAATTTGTGATGGTAATGTTATGTGTTCAAACTTTTGGAATTTTGATATTATTATTATTATTTTTTTAAATATTCTATTAAATAATTTTTTTTTTATTATTCTTAATATATATATATATATCTTTTTGAAGTGATTTTTAAGCTATCATGATTGCTGAATTAAAGTTATAACAACGCTCTCTTAAACAGCGCAAACGGGACCTTCGACGTTTCTTTCCCCTACTAATGGATATGGCGTGAGAAATTCAAAGAATTTTCAATTGTAAGAAGTGGAATTTCGACGCCGTAGCTTGGGTTTAACCACCGCCGGCGATCGAACGGTTCATACCCGAGAAATATCCGGGCGAATTCCTTGATCCGAGTTTTGTGTTCGTAGAATTGTTTTTGGCCATTGTGAAATGATGAATTGGTTTTCAGCTGGTTCTGGTGATGGCGGGGATTCGCTCCCGCCGGCGGCGACGTCGTCTTCTCTGCTGGCCGATTGGAACTCCTACGCCGCCGCTAGATCCTCGGATGAGAGTAGCAGCGGTGGCGTTTTCGATATTGAATCTGCTGTTCGGTCCGCCAATGAGACCGTCTCCGGCACCTTCAGCGTGTAAGATTCCAGATCCCAACTATTTCCGCCTTCCCCGATTCTGATTTCTAGGGTTTATCGCTTGCGTTTGAAGTTAGGGGTTTTGCTAAATTTCGAATGATTTTGTTTGGATCTGTGCTTTTTCATTTCCGATTGTTCGTAAATTTGCCCTGTATCGTGACATTGGAGGTAACTAGAAATCATTCATTGGTGTTGTTTGTTGAATTAACCATTGCCGAATTGATTTGCTTGCGTTACCTGTGCTGTTGGAATTTGATGAAATAAATCCATTTTGCAGACAAGGCGCTTTACGATCAATCTGTAGCAATATATATACACACACATTGTGAGCTTGCCTGTCAGATTTTCACAGCCTTGTGTAGGTTTTTGAGTTGGGTTTTTGGGTTTCGCTAAATAGTTGTTTGGTTTTGATATAAATAAATATTTATGTAATGATTGAATGTGATTTTTGGTGTACTACAAAAATAAAAATAATAAGAGTTTGAATCGATGTTTTTTAAGATAAAAAATTTAGTGAATAAATAGAGTTTGAGTCTCAACAAGTTCATTGGCCATTTTTACTTTTTGATTAAGGTATACTTGTTTGTCAAGTATGTTAACAATGGTATGCCATCGTGTGAAAATCGAGTAGACGGGATATGTTTAACAGACCAATTCCCTGATGATTGACACTACAAGTGTAGAACCGTCTTTATCTCATAATGTGTTACTTTTAAGATTTGGATTGGGTTTAGAATTTATGAATATTAAAAGTTCTAATTAAAATAGTGGTTGACCTGATATAAATAGGTGTTTAATGTGCCATATTAAATGGAAAATTTTGAAGATTGATTTGAAGGTTTTGGGAGGGAAATTGTTTGATGAATAGTGTGAGACGAAAACCAGACCTTAAGAAACAAACCCTTTAGTTTATGACTTAATCGACAATCTTGCAGAGTAAACGTGGCTGTCTACCTCTAGCTATGATCATGATTCATGGTATTTTGGTTGTTCCAAGAACCAGTAAATATGATATGTTCTAACAGAAGAACCAGTAAAAATGATATGTTCTAACAGAGGAATTCCCTGCTGATAGAAACTATTAGCAAGAGAAGGTCTAGATGAAGACTGTAGGAAAAATTTGGAACTGCCTCTAATATTTTTAGATTTTATTTTGGCTCTAGATGTAACGAATGATCTTGCATAGTAAACATGATTGTCTAGTGTGAATTGTGGTATGCTCCTTCTGCCAAGAACGAGTAAACATGATAAAGCCAGGGAAAAACTTCAGAAGTCTCTGAAATTTTATATTTAATTTTGGTTTGATATATATAACACTAATGATCTCACTTGATTAAGGATTGTTTGATGATCTCACTTAATTCCATATCTCGTTTGACAATTCAGTACGAAGTTAGATTATTTCCAATACTTGAATCCTAGATTGATTTCAGTTGTCCAATTTGACTTTCCTACCCTCCCCCCCCCCCCATATATATATAAGTATATCAATAGCGAATTAATCGATTTTTTTGCAATTCACTAAGGAAAGCGTGACGGCAGTTGTCATTTGGAGACTACTCCGCAGTGTTTGTGTGTGCGTAAACACTCACGTATAAATTCTTCCTCCTAAAGTTCTATTATTTTGTCAGGGTTTCCAAAGGAGTGAGAGACATACCCGGGAATTTCCAGTCTGCCACAAGCAGCATCCCTTCAGGAAAGGCGCTTATGTATTTCGGTGTGCTCCTGGCAAGTGGGGTTTTCTTTGTGTTCATTGCATTCTCTTTATTTCTCCCGGTTATTGTATTGGTGCCTCAGAAATTCGCCATCTGCTTTACTGTCGGCTGTACCTTCATCATTGGGTCACTTTTTGCCCTCAAAGGTCCGAAGAATCAGTTCAACCACATGACATCAAAGGAGGTTCGAATCACTTCAATGCATCTTTCTATTCTCTTTATGGACTTTATATTTCCATCATATCAAATATCTAATGTTCTTTTTCAACTAATTTTTGCCAGAGACTTCCCTTCACATTAGGGTTCATTGGTAGCATGGCGGTAACCATTTATGTCTCCATGGTGCTCCATAGCTATGTTCTATCCGTCCTCTGTTCCGTGATTCAGGTACTAAAGCTGTTTATGCACCTTTGGTGTATTAATTACGAGGCGTTTGAGTATATAAATTTATGGAGATATGGGAATACTAAAAAGCTGAATAAAAAACAAGTAATTGACGTGATGTAAATAGTTATTGAATATAATGCTTTTGCATAGAATATAAGTTTTTTATTTAATATTTTAAATGAAAATTAAGTATATGATGTGAAATTTTTTAAAATGTATTATTGATAGATAGTGGTAAAAGTGATTTAAAAACATACATGAACACAGCCTAAAGTTCTTGATTAAAAGAGTATGCATACCAAATTTATCTTATGGACCTAATAAGCGGATAAATTAAGGTGTGTGGGATTTGATTTGATTTATTTATTTATTTTATTATTGGAAATTAGATTTTGGATGTTATATTTCGAGCAAAAAGGAAAGCACTGTAAATTAAAAACATAAGCACACCCGTAATAATTATTTCATCTGACCCTCATTTGTGACGGGCTTGTAGGTTCTTGCTCTAGCTTATTATGCAATCTCTTACTTTCCGGGTGGATCCACGGGGCTTAAGTTTATAACATCCTCTTTGACATCTTCGATTATGAGGTGCTTCAGCAGGTGACATCGATAACCCAACCTCTTTGTTTCTTCTTTATGCCTTATGGATATTGAACATAGTTGGAATGGAAAAGTATATGTACCCTTGTGCTCTTGAAGTTTTTGTATAGTAAAGATTGTGGCTATACTTGAGAATCTACTTTGTGTGCACATTTTGACATTCGAATGCACTTAAGATGTATGTGTGATTTTGAATTCAAAACTAATTTTGTTATATTCATGTCGAAAACTTTTAGTTGAATTTTATACTATATAAATAAGGCATGTATGAGTAAGATTTGTGTGGGGTGTACTTAGAGTTGATAACTAGCCGAATCAAAAAGAATTTCAAGTGATTGTGTTTGTTTGTTAATGTTAACGAACAACAACGCTCATGTTTGTTTGTTAAAACATTCAAGCTCGGTTCGTTGGGTAATTTTATTGTTCGAGTTCGTATTCGGCTCAATTAAACTATATACTCCCTCCATCCTAATTGAAATTATCCTATTTATTATTTTCGTCCGTTTCATTTTAAAGTATTTATTTTTTATTTTTATTTTTTTTAAAAAATCATATATTAATATCAAAATACCTTTGATTTTTATTTAAATTACAAATATACAATTATTTTATAAAAAAATTAAAAGCAAAAATGTCAATCAATAAAATATTATTATTTTTTAATTTACCAGAAAATCCAAAGAACTCCGAGGAAGGATATGATATTGTATTTTATTTTTAAATTCATATATATAATATATTTATTTATTAAATAATTTTATTTATTTATATATTCTATCAATGCTTGCAAACAAGTTAAATACTTATTTGTTAATATAAATAACATATGAAATAAAAGTTATAGCTTTACATAATTAATATTACAATTGATTTCTATGTAAAAATATATTCGCAACGATTAATGACTAACCAAAAAGAATGTAGTGTTGATTTTCCCGTCATAGTCATGAATTATGTAAATTTCTAAAAAGAATATAAGTATGAATAATACTAATACTCTATCCGTCCCAAAACTATATATTCTAGGTTGTGTTTGGTACGGAATTTAAGGAATATTGATATTGGATAAAAAGTACGAATAAAAAATAGCAATTGTGTAATAATAATAAAAAAAGTAATGATAATTTTATAGTGATATAATTATTTATGAAAATAAAACTATTATTTTAAAACACGAGGGAGTATATATAAATTACACATGAAATAAAAGTTATAGCCAGCATATTACAATTGATTTCTACGTAAAAATATATTCGTAATGGCCAATGACTAACCAAAAAGAGTATAATGATTTACCCTGTCATCGTCATAATCATACGTAACTCCTCATTAAAAAAACAAAACTCCTCATTGCATTTTACATTGGTAACTTTTCTTTGTCCGTTATCTCCTGTCAATTCTAATTTTCTTCTATTACACATAGCAAAACTTACATTGTACTAACATGATTTTCTACACAATTCACCACCACCGTTATATTTTATCCATCCTAATCACATGTTTATCTATCAGATCCTACAAGCATACACAAAGTGACAAAACTCGACGAGCGCGGCCGCCTCCTCTTCCGACGAACCATTCCCTTCATCCTCCGGAACTCTCCTAAATGCAAAAATCCCGACGCCGTCGTTGCTCCCGTTGTTATAAAGCCAACCGTGCACGTCCCACAAGATTTGCACCGGGATCTCATCGATGATGATCGTGTCGTTCCCCCTAAACCTCCAATGCAAATTGGGAACCCGAATCGACTCCCTCCCGTCCACGACGATCCACATCTCCGGATCGCACGGTCCCGTCAAAGAAGCCTCAATCATTATGCTATGCTCGCCGTTCCGTCCCAATGCCATTTTCGTGCAAAAACACTTCTTCGCATACACAATCTCCTTCTTGTGCACCAACATCGTCCCCTCCAAACAAATTCTCGACTTCGTCCTCTTCACCGCCTCGTCCCGTTGATCGCCGAGCAACAAAACCATCTCCCCCGATGACACCATCGCCACGTAGTAGCTGGAGTCCGGCTCGGGTCGCGAGCTGAATTTCGCCGCCCGTAAATCCCAAAATACATCGAAGCGCTTCTCCGCGACTCGGAACGTCTTTAGGCCTTTCTTCCCCCAAAATTGCCATGTTTTTAGATCAATTTTGCAGGTGTAGTGATTCTCCTCCTCCTCATTGCCGGCGCCGGTGGCGGTGGAGGTGGTGGCGGAGCCGCCGGTTGGATTTTCGACCGTTATGTATAGAGTATGGCTGATCATTGTCTTTGCCCAAGTTACCGTTACATGGCAGAAAATCTCCTCTACCCTGACTTGATGAATGCACGTGACGAAATTGTTGGTAGGGTCATTTGGTCCCGGATCTTCTACTGGAGCTTGCGCGGACGTTCTAGAAGGTTCTACCATCCTCGAGATATTTCCCGAGCAACCACCATTTCTAAAGGAACCCTAACCCTAATTGAGAAATTCGCAGGAAAATACCTCAAATCCACGGCATTTTTTTTCTTTTAAAATTTTAATTTCTTTTGGTTTTTTCAAGGGGCTTTTTGGCGATTCCGGCGTCCGATCATCGTCTCCGCCTCTGAGTTTCGTATTTCAGCCCTAATTTCGTGATGGAGGGAGAATTCTCTCCGCCATTGCTGCCTGGTTAGGTTAGGGTAGGGTTCTTGCCTTTTCTTCTCCTAGGCCGGCCGGCGATGGATGCTACGGCGAGATTCCGAATGGGAAGAGCTTCGGTTTTGAAGATGAATTCTGGAGGTACGTAAGAATTGATTTTCAGAGAATCGATGAGGAAGAAGGTAACGACGTAGCCATTGACCATTGTTGTTGTTTTCGTTTTCATTTTTCATGTTTTTATTTTTATTTCTGATTGCCTCCAATATTATCCCTTTCTATATTTAGAGATAAATAGTTGCATTGATTTATTTTGATAAAATCATAATTTGTATGATGATGGATAATTCATGCACTTTGATTATTTTTGATATAATGCATGTAATTTAATTATATTAAAAAAAAGTGTTGGTCTAACCAAAAAACACATATACATCATTTATTAAATAAAGTATAATTTCGTCTGCCCAATCAAACGGACCCACGTCAACTGGGCCTGGTCCATTTGACATCTTGAGTTAATTATAATGGGTTCGTTTATTTCTTGTCCAGAGCCGGACTAGGAGGCTTGGGCCCAACATAATAACTCCGACGACCTACCTCCGGTCCTTCCACCTCCGCTACGGCGGCGAATTCAGGTGCGCCGCTTTGTACTCCGTGATCTGTCCATTTTTATTCTTGTTTTCGGAAAAAAATAAAAATTGGTGTTAGGATTGAGGTGTTTGAGTTTGCGGTTTGGAGGCGTGAGATTTGACTGTGCTGCGGTGGAGGAGTCAGAACTGCGAATTGCTTGTTTTGTCAGTTATGGCTGTTCGTCATTGTTTTACTGTATTTTGAACGCGTGGATTGATCATCGGCGTTTGATTTTGCCGAGTTAAGTTGTGGATTTTACTTTAGAGATTTATTACTATAAAATTAAAAATGGCGATCTTCCTTAGTTTTCTGGTGATTGATTTATTTCGTTTACTGTGTGCGCCGGATTTGGAGTGACAGTCAGGTCAGTTTTTGGATGACTGCAAGGGCATAATAGTCATTTCACTTGCGGCTCAGCTGAGAGCCGAAGCCGATTGAGCCATCGGCTCGATACTTACCATACTGGACGGACGGACGTCCTCTGTTTGGCAGTTGGCAAACGCAGCGGCGAATCGGAATTGCTCTCGGTTGCTCCGTCGAAGCCCTAAGATTCCACCGCCGAATCCTGCATTCTACTGGTCCGAGACTTGTCTTTTGTGTCTTTGCGGTGCCGATAAGAGTACCGATCGGCGATTCAGTTCTCTCCGCTTGTTTGTTTCTTGGTTTATAATCTACCATGGCGGATAAACAAGTTGTTAAGCGTGCAAAGTACAAGTCTTCAGTCAAGGATCCCGGTGTCGCCGGCGTTCTCAAAATGGTATTAAACCCTAGCAATTCGCATTATCTATAAAGACAGGGCGGTGGATTTTCTGTGTCATTAAGTAGGAGGGTGAAATACGATGTTTCTAAACCCCTTTGTGAACCCTTCCATCCTGTAGACGCATTAATGTTTATGGGACTCTTAAATTGCTATAGGATTCATAGGAACGGACTTTGGATGTTTTTGATGTTCTATGCTGTTTTTTTTGTGTGGTTTTTCTTTCCAGAGGATAGAAAGATTTGTGTTTGTGCCAAATGATCCTACAACAGCCACAAAGCTAAATGTGGAGTTTAGGATGATAAAAGGTGCTTGTTTCTTCTGCCTTAATATTTTCGACTATTGCCTATGGTTCATATTTAATCTATATCGAGGGAAACAACCAAGTTTTTTACTAGTTATTCAATGCAATTCAATGGCCACTTATGTGTTAGTATTTTTATTGAATCAACAATTTACAGGTCATAAGTTTACAAAGGAGGGTTCAAGTAAGCAGGCACTACTTAATCTTACCCAAGACCAGGTTTGTGACCGTTAGATTGCAGAACTTTTCCTTCTGAAATATCCAAGCATTAATATGTAGACATTGTATTTTGTTATTTGCAGGGGGTAAATTACATTTTTGAGTTTGATAGCTTTGCTGATCGAGATGCATGCCGGGAATTTGTTGGTGAGTCTCAAGCATCAACATTTATTCATCATCTTTCAGAGTGTACACATTAAGATTGTTTATTGGAAGATGTGGTTTGTTTGCTATACACTAGTTTGTGTCACTGGAAAATGAAAGAAATTGATGTATTATCAGCCTGCAAATTACTATGCAGTTGTTAGATGTGTTTTTTTGTCTCCTAGAGTTGAACAAGTAGAATGTATGATTTGTTTAGTAGCTGTGAGGAGCATGTTTTGGATTTAGTTGGGACATAAGATGTTATAACTTGCTTAGAAAATTGGTTTTTGTGGTTCAGAGTAAGTTAATTTGAATTTTATGCATCCACTTATGTTAAATTATGACTTTGCAAGACAGTGCATATATCCGTTCATTTTTTCCTATTGATTGCACATAAATTCTTTGGGGCTGTGGGCTTGACAATGACTATATATAACTTTCCGAGCAGCCACTGCTATTGCACATCATTCTGAAGCTGGAAGGCTGATCAATGAAAAGTCTGATGTCCCAGTGAGCAATGAACAACTTAGTAGAGCAGAAACTGAACGAAGAATTAAACTACTTCAGGAGAATAGGTAGGTAGAATTTCTTGATTTGTGAAATTTCTTATTCTTGTATTAGAAAAACCATTCCATTGTCACAATATAATTTATATCTCATTCATTCTTGAAAGTAAATACAATCCTTGTCATTTTGGTTTAATATCCCTTCAATTTGAGGACTGTGCTCTCCCATGTTCTTGTAGAGGCCCCTCAATCAGATCAACAACGTGTAATTGAATGTTGAGAGGGAAGATAATTCAACATTTAGTAGTCTAATAGGAAACTTATGATTGTTTTTTTAATTTTTATTAAGTCTTCTTTTGTGGGTGTACTGAAATAGTGTAAGTGACAGTGAATTACAGGCGCTTCACAAGCAATTTGTATTCGGAGGTATACTGACAGATGATGAATTTTGGGCTACGAGGAAGGTTAGCTAATTGAACTTTGAATCAGTTTTGTTCTCTTTTTTAACAAACATAGAAAACATGAGAATAAAACAAGAAATGCAGTTTTATTCTCTCAAGTCTCAACCATTGAGTTTCCCCTTTATTGCGTACATAATATATTATATCCCAATATTTACTGGCATAAGTAAGTCTGCTGTTTGAACAAACATGTTGATACTTTTTCTTATTTTTTTGGTATCTATTTGATAAAAAGGTGTTATCTAGTTGATTTCCTTACCATTTGACTTCTAGGAAAAGATTTGTAATAATTGCAATCTTCTGTAAATACAGAAATTGTTGGAGCACAGCGATAGCCGAAAGCCAAAGCAGCGTGTGGCATTAAAAAATGAAATGTGGAGCGTGAAACCATTATCTGATGGTCAGGTACAAGATATCCCTTACATCTACACTTCCTTTACATGTCCAGCATAATGTTAATGTTCAAGTTGCACTGTTTTTATATCTACTTGTGTTTGATTGCTCAGACACAGCTTCAATTGTTAACATTGTAGAAGAATACATTTAAGTTTAAAGCAGCTTGTCTATTCCACATTAACATATGAATAGTTTGATGAGGTAGCTGCTGTTTTAGTTTACGCTGTACTTGTCATTTCAATCAATGTGTATTATAACCTCTGTGCTTGCCGCAGTATGTTAGAATCAACTTTTAACGACCTTTTGTATATGACTTGATTAATTAGAAAAATAGATTGCTCACATCATTCTCAACAATGTGAGTACCCAGCTGCCTTCATGTTTAAACTTTTAAGACAAATCATAAGCCCAAAGACATTGATATCCACTGCATAACATATTGATAATAATCTGTAAAACAGAAAAGGTGTGACATCTGCATGTATTAAGAATGAAAACTTGGAAAGTGTAAAACTCATGAATTTGTGTATATAGTATCCTCATAGATATCAGGTGCCCACATATATAGAGTCAAAAGAGATATTGAGTCCGAAGGTACGGGAGGATGGTGTTTATAACTCTTGATACAAACCAAAGTTTTCACAGAAACATGAGATGATGAGAAACTTGGCACAGTGGATATGACTTATAAGAAAAGATACTATATAAATGTTTGCTTGTTTAATCATAAGATCTTATATGTGTTAATAGCTTTTTTTCGTCTATTACTTCATGCTTGGCTTATGTGCTTTAATATTCTTTCTGTGATTTATCATATCGACAAGAGTGCTGCATTTACATCATAGTTTATATGTTTTCAGTCCAACAGAGTGACGTTTAACTTGACACCAGAAATCATTCATCAGGTACATTTCCTTTTTCCTTCCTGTTATATAACTGCCCATTATGTGTGTGTGGAGCAGTAATCCAGATAGATTTTCTTGTTGCACAAGTTCACAATTACATTGACTTTGTCTGGGACTATAAGCATTGGACAGGAGTGGAAAAAACAGTACAGGATTATCTCAAATTTTTTAATTTGTTCTTTGAACAACACCAAAACTTTCCTGTGTCCACTAACATATTTTGAATGAAGTGAACTAGTTTTAGCCATTTCTCTTTAGGGTCATTCAACACCTTGTCTTCACCGAATTCTATGATTAAAATTATTCATTTGCCCTCATTCGTCTCTTTCTCTCTTTTATTTAGGTATTTATTTATTTTTTATTTTTACATCAGATGCTCAATTAAGTTTATACACACACACACACACATATATATATATACACATTTCACTGGTCCCTAATTAATTTCTGATTCTATCAGTAAGGCAATAACCTTTTGATTGAGTTTAAGTGATAACAAAAACATCTCATTTGGTAGACGAAGTATACAAGGGAAGGTCGTGCTTTATTCTATTATACTTGCTATTATAGTCTTTTAAATGGATTCAACGAAATCCTTGAATATTCTTTTTTCAGATATTTGCTGAGAAACCTGCTGTACGCCAGGCTTATTTAAAGTTTGTCCCAAACAAGGTAAGAACAATGACAAAGCACAATAGTAATACATGGCGCTCATATTAGCTAAACTTCACCTTCAGGTTGCATGCCTTTCTGTTGTTCCAAACATTTGTGGCAGTTGTAATTAGTTTTTAAATACTTGATGCTTCCCTGAAAACTGAAACTGCACTACTTCCCTATCTTTGACCACTGTATAATTTTCTTATTCTTTTTTGTAAGTTGAAATTTTGGGTCTAAAGAATATGATTTTATTTCTGGCAATCATTGAAGTGCTACTCGTGTTCAAATAAGAAGTTTTTCATGGTAAGAGTATATCGTATGTCTTCTGGTCTTGAAGCCTTAGCCACCACCCCACTATAGTGCTGTACCTGTAAAAGTGCCATGCTATGAGTTGCTAGTAAAAGATCTTTGTGGTGTTTCAGATGACAGAAAAAGAGTTCTGGACCAAGTACTCAAGAGCTGAATATCTTCACAGCACAAAAAACATAGTTGCTGCAGCAGCAGAAGCTGCTGAAGATGAAGAGCTTGCTGTTTTTCTGAAGCGAGATGATATGCTTGCAAATGAGGCTAGGAGAAAGGTAATCTGGTTCCAGTTTTTTATGTTATCCTTGGTTGAAAATTGTAAATTCAATGGTCATTAGCTGTTTTTAGATTTAATTTTATTTCACGAGTTAATATTTCCTTCAGATCAGGCGGGTTGATCCAACCGTAGACATGAAAGCTGATGAAGGTGATGATTACACACATCTTCCGGTACTTTTTACTGCTGACCCTTATTGTGTAGGCTAATTGATAGAAATGCTTCTGAAAGGTTTTTATAGCAGAAGATTCTCTCTCTCTCTCTAGCCTGTTTTTATTTGATTTTTTATTTGTTATTTTTTTTCCTGATATGACAACTAATTGAAACTGCGCTCAAGTGCTGTCTCCAGACATTACCCTTGTTAATGACACATAACATTTCCTGTTTCTTTTCTTTGAGAACTGCTTTTGTGTTGATGTAAATTGCCAAAGTTTGTTTACCTAGTTTTCATGACAGCTTTCATTCTGGTTTTCAGCTTTCACTCCTTCATACAGTGTAATTGGCCAATCTTCTCTCTTCACTATTCACTAAGCACACTTCATATATGTAGGATCATGGATTACTTGGTGATGAAACGAAGGAGGTATTGGAATCACAATATGAGCCATATCGTAGATCCTTTGCACAAGATCTGAATCAGCATGCTGCTGTTGTTCTACAGGGAAGGCTTGTAGGTAGGTTTGTGAATGCACTATCTAAATATCAGTTTTAATGTCATTGCCATGACTATCATTCAAACCATTTTGCATCATGGCATTCTGAAACTAATTAGAAAATGTATTGATCAAACTATGGTAAAATATATTGCATTGTGAGTAATAAACACATATATGAAGCCTTAATATTCTATTTATTATCTTTGAGAATAGATGAGCTAGGAGATACCAGGTCTGTTGCGGAGGCCCTTGCGAGGACTAAGCAAGGTTGGAAGTGTTCTTTTGCCTTTCAAACACTTACTGTTTACTAGCCAAATTCACAATGTGAAAGCTTAATGTTACCAATTATACATTGCAGCTGAGTTATCTGATGAGATATCCAATAGGAATTTAGAAAAAGAGCTATCGGACAAGATTTGTAGAATGGCTGAGATTGAAGATCTGCAAGGGCCGCGTGATCCTGCAGTTGCTCCTCTCAGCATCAAGGTTTGGCTGTCAGTAACTTTTAAGAACTCCAGTCTCAGGGTGCTGTTGATTTTTTGACATGCCTTCCTTCTTAAAACAGGATCCACGGGATTATTTTGACTCTCAACATGCACTAAAAGCATTGGGAGATACAGGTACAGGTGCAATATCATTAAAATCCAGCGTGAGCTCTTCCGAAGCTTATGATTCCTTAAGGGATCTAGTCTCAGAAATCAGAGGTACTGGATTGAGTGACCCAATAATGAGTCACGAGGTTGCTCTTAAGGTATGCTATATGCACATGTACTGATGTTTGTTTGTTTGTTTAAAATGTCGATTTTGGGCTGGTGTAATTATGTCAAGAGAAAATTTTCATTTGCTCCAATATATGGTCCAAGAAATCTAACTTCTTGGTGTATTGATGCATAGGTCCTTAGTGGGTTGACCCAAAACATCTCCAGCACAAAGTTTCATCTCGGAAACAATCCAAATGAGAGTGTCCTGGACAGGTTGCCGAAAGTCACTAAAGAGGAGCTTTTACATGTGAGTTTATGCTAATAATTGAACTTTTCCACAGGCATTGTGTTTCTGTTTATAAGAACGTAGCGTGTTGCTCCATAATGTATTATCTAATGAAATGAATGACGTATCTGTTGCAGCACTGGACTTCTATCCAAGAATTACTGAAACACTTTTGGTCATCCTACCCTATTACAACCAAGTACCTCTATACCAAGGTAATTATCTACTAATTCACGATTATATTGATCCACATATTAAACAGTTACGTCGTAATGCTTCAAGTTCACACCATGTTTTATCCAACTAATCTAGTTGCGGGAGAGCCACTCCACAGATCATCCCATTGCATCTCTATATTAACGCTTAGAAACCATTTTCACTTCACGGCTTCTAAAAATGCTCTGATCATTCTGCAATATGAATCCATGTTCCTACAACTATCCGCACACAGGAATGTTTCGTACCATGAAATGAATTAGCTCATTAATAAAGTGGCTTAGATGTCGTTATTCTCCATCAACAATTTCTTTTAATTAGTAATGAATGTTTAGCAATAACTTGGGATGTGTTTGTTTAGTGTTTTAGTTTAACATGTTCTTTGTGTTCGGTATAGAGTAGGGAGTCAGCAATATAAGAAATAATATTTTACGTTAAATTGTTGATTTTTCTGAGGGAATAGACTATATATATTATATAATTGTGTCAACGGGCATATATTATATTTTTAAGTAATATTAATCGAGAAACATGTATGTTTTTTTTTTTGTTGGGTGAACACACATTGAACACAGTTGTCGAGACATAATCTTCTTTGTCATCTACACCAGACCCTTATATTCTAAATATTGTGCTCGATCAGGTAACCAGATTGAAAGATGCAATGTCCCAAGTTTATCCAAAGTTGCAGGTAGGTACTCCAACATCTGCTAGACAGCGAACACTGCTATTGCTAATAATTAACGCCTTTACCATCTCATCTTTTCATGCTCTGTTTCAGGAGATCAAGGAATCTGTGCAGTCCGATTTCAGGCACCATGTCTCTCTTCTAGTTCACCCAATGCTTCAGGTTACACTAAACTTTCGATTTTGCTTGCTCATATGCTTTTCTTCTCTTCTTGACTAAGATAACAACTCCATCCTGTATCCCGATCTCCTGCAGGCACTGGATGCTGCCTTTGCACACTACGACGCGGATGCACAGAGGAGATCTTCCAAGAGTGGGGAAAAGCCAAACGGCTTCGCCTGATGGAGTTAAGTTTCTCGGTATGGTATTCAACTCGGTAACTCTCTCCTGTCCAAATGTATGTATATTTTGATCACAAAATTTTGATGCCGCATATTTTCTTGGAAGAGAATCATCATCGTCATTTACATTACATTTACATGTGTTTTGCTGTGCTAGATTTCCATGTGTAAGCTTCTCACTGATTTTGTGGGGTTCATGCTATCTAGTACTACCTCCTTTATTTTTTTATTTTTTATTTTTATTTTTGTAATTATTATTCGGTTTAGTGAGATAATTTTTGTAGTGTTCTTTTTTATTTTTGTCTTGGAATATTTTTATGAATTGCTTTTAGAGAGGTAAAAGAGAAGAAAGTCGTATAAATTAAAGAAAAATTACTGAATAAAAATTTATGATTTGCTCAAACTATAGATGTGTAATTTTATTTTTTTTCTTGCATCTATATTAGGCTCTTATTACATGTAACTTTTTATATACACGTAATAGTAATATAATATATTATTACATAATACATTTTATTCATCAATACAAAAGTTTGTATTTAATATAAAAAAAAATACATTATCTAAAAAGTATGGAGGCAACTATGTTGATAAAAAAGTCAATACAATGATGTACAGCAAGCACACAATATAAATATAAATAACACGTGTTAAATAAAATTACATAACAATGCTTTTTTTTTTTTTTAGATTATATTGCAACTTAAAATCAATAATGAATAATGTTTTATTTAATTATGATATATCCATTTTATATTAATATATAATAAATGTAACATATAAACGAATAATATATGATTTCAGTACGATTTATATTTAATTTCAACAAAATTGAACTGATTCTACTTCTACACTATGTAAGTTCTGAGAAAATTAACATGGCATTGAAATTTGAATTTTAGTGGGATTTGAGTTTTAAATGATAAAAAAATTGAATTTGATAATATTTAAATATATATTGATGTGACAAGCCCTCTTTTGGTATTCTTGACCACGGTGAGTGGTAAAAACAAAAATTTAAAATTTAAAAAACAAAAACAAAACAAACAGAGACAATAGAGAAATTCTCTCATGTTTCGAAAAAACTACTAGTACCGACCACTAGGCACTACCCGCGCCCTCCATCTATATCACAGGCCCCACTGCCACCGCCATCGCCGCCATAACCGCCACCGCCGCACACCATACCTCAACTTCTTAACCGACCCAACCATTATTCTCCAAGATCCATCAACAACTACGCTGAGCAGAGAAACAACCTCGGCGGGGGCAGTTATATATGGCTTCCCCTGGCAATCCCAATCCCCCCGCCGGCGCCTCATTCGACATGCACAACTTCTACACAGCCTCCATTAATCCTCCGATCTTCGACACTAACGCCGCCACTACCTCTCTCTCCCAATCTCATTTACTCCAATCGCAGTCTCCATCTCCTTCCGCCTCCTCTCCTCCGCCGCCAACGTCGCATTTCAGCTACTTCCACGACTTCGCCCCGCATTTCAATCTTCCGCCGCCTCACCATGACTTCGGCGGCGCGCATCCGCTGATGTCGATGTCGTATTCTCCGACGTCGCCGGCCGAATTCTGTAACATTCCCAATTGGAATAACCCTAACCGCCACGGTGCTCATCTGATGGCGTTGTTGAACCCCCCGCCTACCCCTGAAACCCATAACCAAATCCAACCCACAGCCACAGCCCATGATTTACTCATTCGAAAAACTGAAACGGGGATGCCGAGCAGTAAGGTTCCTAAAGGACGACGCCTAATTGGTGATCGTTTGGCTTACGACATAGACGTTAGGTTGCCCGGCGAGGTGCAGCCTCAACTTAAGGTTTCTCCAATTACAAAATATAACTCTGATCCTAAGCTCGTTCTGGGAAGGCAAATTGCAGCTTCTAAGTTGTATATATGCTATGGACTGAGGAATGGTGCCATTCGGGTGATTAATCTCCATACTGGTTCGAAGTCATTGCTTAAGGGTGAATTTGCTCAGGTTGAGGTTCTTGCCGGTTTTGATTTTACAAGTTTGCGTGCTAATGTTTCCCTTGGGATGATAATTTCTTGCCAACTGATTGTGTAGTTTATTTATTTTGTCGAAAACACATGCGGGCATTGATGTTTATATTGGGATCGGATGTTAGTGAATTTTCTTTCAACTTGTTATTCTTGTGGATATTTTGGAGTAAAGATTTGACACCATTTGGATGGTTAATGTCAGATATTGCTTCAAGATCACTGTTTAGCGTCTTGTCAAGTGGTGAAATTGTTGGGTTTTTATTTTAAAAGTTTGTGTTATTTTATTGGGAAGGAATTTGGTTAGGTTCTTAAATAATGGGAGCCTTTCGTTTTATATTGGATGTTTGTGATTTTGCTGCACAATGTTATTCTTGTGGATATTGTGGAGTGAAAATCGACACCATTTGGGTGATTAATATCAAATACTGCATAGCTTCAAGATCATTGTTTAGGGTCTTGCTCAAGTTGTGAAATTGTTGGGCATCGATTTTAAGAGTATGTGTTATTTTATTGGGGGTGTAGTTTGGTTAAGTTCTTAAACAATGGGAGCCTTTCGATATATATTGGGCTTTTGGATGTTTGTGATTTTGTTGCACATTGCTTTTCTTGTGGATGCTCAATCTTCAGTTATGACCTAGCAATTTCTTTGTGTACTGAACGATTCTTTCAGAAGGTCACAGACATGGCTTTCTTTGCTGAGGATGTTCATCTTTTGGCTAGGTAGCCTCTGCGTCGGTTGATCTTGTGTTATCCATCTTTTGGTTGTACGCTTAATGTGAATGTGACGGTGCTTTGATGCAGTGTGGGTTTGGATGGTCATGTCTGTGTGTGGAAAATTATTGAATATCAAGAGAACGAGGTCGAGAGTCGAATTACTGGAAGGATGGTAGTTGCAATTCAAATTAATGCCGAAAGGAAACCTATTCACCCTAGAGTTTGTTGGCATTGCCAAAAACAAGTATTCCATATTTTGAATTTCACTCTCAACTTCAAACTGTTGTTTTGTTCTTCCTTTCTGGACCTGATTTGTATGATTAATGATTTTGCTTGCAGGAAGTTCTTGTCGTTGGGATTGGCAGACATGTTCTGAAGATTGATACTACAAAGGTCGGTGGAGGTGAAGCATGTCGGGTCGAAAAGTTGATCACAGGGGTCAAGCTTGTTGGAAGCCATAATGGAGAAGTGACCGACTTGTCCATGTGCCAGTCAGCTTTCTTGGTATCTGCTTCAGTAGATGGCACGGTTCGTTGTTTTCTTGTGCTTAAGCCTGTCTTAAGGAGCATATAAATTATTTAATACCTCTTGAATCCTTAGTATGATCAATTTTGATGTATCTATCCTTTTCATATGGATCTAATGTTGCTTATGGATAAAGCAATACTGCGTTAACTCCAATAATCTTAATGTATGTATATCCTTGGGATTAGTGGAATTTTATTTGGGCGGAATATATGACGTTGAAATTTAATAAGCGAATGCATATTTTAACTTAAAAGAGTTAATCAGACACTTGAGTAAGGGTTGAAGAACTAAAGGAGGGAAACCAGCTCCGGAAATGAACAAGATGGCATACAGTTGACGATAAGTGTCCTTAAGGACATGGATTTTATGCTCTTGATATTCTGGATCATATGCGCTAGCAAAGCACTTTGGAATATGACGTTTATTAGGAAGATCGGGGGGTTGAGTGGCATGCTAATCTAAAAGTGGAACTTTGTTTGACAAAAACAGAGCTAACCTCTTGAGTGGCATGCTCGATGTTCTAGTTATTTTACAATGAATGCTTTAATGCTGTGGATTAACCAACTCATCGTCTAGCGTGTCCCAAATTTGTCTTAATTTCCCTGGTCCCATTCTTTCTAGTGTCTATTGGATGTTGCCATTGACTCCAAACTTTTAATTTTCCTCCAAAAGACTGCATATATATGTTTATGTTGTTCCATGATCATCGGAAGTTAGTAACTAATAAATGTCCATTCTTTGACAATTGATTTTAAGTACAAAAAAACACATTATCTGACGATTGTGCAATATATTGTATATATTAATTTTGATGCATACCTAGTGCTTAAAAGATTTTATGTTTGTTATGTTAACCTAGATAAGTATGACAGAACTGATTCTTGGAGAATCTAAATAAGTTATTGAATCGAAGAAAATTAATTGGAATTTAGCCTTTTCATGCTCTGCACTTCCTCAATATCAATCTGTGGGAGATGAAAAACTACTTTCTTGTTTACATATTTAATGTTTGGCACTCTACAGTCATTCCTAAATTTTAAACAGCTGGAGAGGCTTCTGTTTACTTTTGCTTCTCTGATTGCAGGTAAAGGTTTGGGATGATAAGAAATTGCAACCAATTGTAGTTCTACAGCCTCATAATGGTCATCCTGTTAACACTGCTACATTTTTGGCTGCACCTAATAAGCCAGATCACTTCGTACTAGTTACTGGGGTAAATGCTAAAGAAGATTTTCAAATTCATCTCCTGTAGAATAAATTACATCCCAGTGTATACTACAGATTTGTTTTTGCAACAATGTCAGCTTTGCACGGACACGGACCGTGTTAAAAAAAAAAAATGTTGTTTTGAAATTGGGCTTTGCTTTCTGTTTATTCTACTTCACTCATCCTCAAAAGTACATGTGCAGGGGCCACTGAATAGGGAAGTCAAGATTTGGGTATCTCCCAATAATGGCACAATGTGGCATTGCACTCAGATGTTGGAATTAATGTGTTCAGAGACTCCGGTCGAAGAAGCTTTCTTCAATCAAGCTACTGCTTTGCCACTGGCTGGTCTCCTTGTGTTAGCAAATGCCAAAAGGAAGGCCATGTATGTTGTGCACTTGGAATATGGTCCTAGCGCAATATTGACCCAAATGGATTACATAGCTGAATTTTCTGTGACTATGCCGATACTGAGTGTTACTGGGACAAGTGAAATACTGCAAAATGGTGAGCACAATGTTAAGATATTCTGTGTTCAAACTCAGGCTATTCAACAGCATGATCTATTCTTAACACAGTGTCTTCCACCTCCAATGGAAAATATCAAGGATGATCATTCAGAGCCAAGTGCCAAAGAACTTGGTGATATAGACCATTCTAGCAATAAAAAAGTGGGGGCATTTGAAGCTAGTTCCTTGCCGGAAGCATCTGTTCAGGAGAACAGTTTGCATACAATGACATGTCCGGGTATTGATGCTGCTCCTGAGTTAGTTAATCAAAGCTCTATCTCTTCTCCTACTGCTCCTTCACCACTCCCTTTAATCCCCAAGTTCTCAGAAATGCCTTCTTCTTTTAGAAGCCCATTAAGCAGCTTGGATCATGGTTTATCGGCTAGAGTCCTTAGTTCAGGAATTATATTTGGTGATCTTTCGATTGACAGTCAAGGCAATGTTGATAGAAACTTCTCTGAGGGGGCTTCATTTGATACTCATTCAAGGAACAACAATACGAAGGTTTCTGAAGATGATTTCAAGAATGCTGCTCATTTGGTCACTCCTGCTGAAATATTGATGGCCAATCCGGTATCTGACGTAAAACACGTCGCTGAACCACCTACAGGTGATGCTGAACGAAAAAGTCAAGATACAGTAAATAGCAATGAGTCAAGGAATATTGATGTGGAGGAGAAAATTGTTGATGAATCAGGAGTTAAACCGAAGGATGATGTTGAGTCTCGAAGCCCAAAATTATCCAGTTTCTTGGAAGGAGCTGATATCAAGATTGATTTTTCTCGAACACTTAATTCATTATCCTGGGATTCAGGGCAAACCAGTATCGTCAAGGACACTAGTCAGTTTAATGAAACTGATGAGACTCAAACGATTGGTCGACAGCTAACTGCAGACGAAGCTCCTCAATCTGTGAACGATGATGTATCGAGGAAGCAGAATGAAAAAGGGGCTCAAGAACTATCTTCACCACTACCTCAACCTTCAGACAAGTCTAATGAACCATGTGTTAGCACTAATGCTCCAGCAGAAAGTGCATTTGCACCACAAATGTTATCAATGCAAGAATCGCTGAATCAGGTGATTTTCAATTCCTTGAGCACTTCTATTTTTCGATTTGAGACAACCCCATCTGTAGTGAATTTGTCATTTCAGAATGAATTATTATTCTGATTCTAGTTTGCTTTATGCACTTTTGTTATATGCAGCTTGTGGCTATGCAAAAAGAAATGCAGAAGCAGATGGCAGGCATGGTTGCCAACCCAGTTACCAAAGAAGTTAAAAGACTCGAGGCGACCTTGGGACGTAATGTGGAGAAAATGATCAAATCATATGCCGATGCACTGTCGCTTCGTTTTCAAGAAGAGAGTACGAAACAGAACAAGGCAATGCGAGAGTGTGTGGATCATTTAACAAATATGATCAAAAATTGCTCAAACAAAGATATATGCTTAGGTATAGAGAAGGCCATAAAGAAAGAAATGACGTCGTTGGGGAAATCTGTAGCACAGGAAGTTACTACTTCCATTGAGAAAACAATATCCGCTTCTATTGCAGAGAGCTTCCAGGTAAAAAACTTAAGACTGCGATATTCGAATGATTTTAATCATTGCTTGAAACTTTCATGATTTGTATGAACAGAGAGGGGTAGGTGATAAAGCTGTCAATCAACTTGAAAAATCTGTAAGCTCCAAACTTGAAGTCACAGTTGCTCGGCAGATTCAAGTGCAGTTTCAAACCTCTGGCAAGCAAGCTCTTCAGGTATAAATTTACCTCGTCTGTTGTGTGATTTTTAGTAATAAAAATTGACTATGCTGTCACAGTTTACTTAAATGAAGGTCTTTCCATCGACATAGTAACCAAGATGTTCTTGAATCAACCTGGCATCGAGATCTTTGTTGCTTTTAGCTCAATCTCGTTGAACTTGTTGCATGAGTATTGAACTCAAGCTTGAAAACTTTCTTTTTTTTTCTAAAGTTGATTTTCTTACGTTTGTTATTGATATAATATATCAACAGTCAATTATTAACAATGTATACGATGTAAATCCACGTTAACATACGTTTCTATTCGTATAAAACCAACCGAAGATGAGCTTGAGCTCGGCGTGAGTAAAGTTTGAGGTCAAAACTCTTGAGTTAAGTTTTCATCAACTATCCAGCACCCCTTCCTCCTACTTGTTTTAAAATTTTTCGAATCCAATTAATCTATTTGGATGCCGCAATTATAATTATAATTGTGTTCCCCTTCTCTATATCTTAGCTTTAATCCCCTGTGCAGGAAACTCTGAAGTCGAGCCTGGAAGCATCCGTGATTCCTGCATTTGAAAAGTCATGCAGGTCCATGTTTGAGCAGGTTGACGCCACATTTCACAAAGGAATCGCCGATCATACATCCGCAGCTCAGCAGCACTTTGGGGCTTCACATGCTCCATTAGCAGTTGCTCTACAGGTACAAAAGAAACTGTTACAATTATATACATTTAAACTTTAGGAGGACAATTTACGGATGCCTTTTAGACTTCACTCGTGTCTTTGGTTTTCATTTCAGGATGCTATAAATTCCGCATCATCAGTGACTCAAACTTTAAGCAGTGAGATTCTCGATGGTCAAAGAAAATTGTTAGCACTTGCTGCTACCGGAACAAATTCAACAAATCCATTGGTTAATCAACTGAGTACTGATCCTCTGGCCATCCTCCTAGAAAAGGTTTGTCTGCTCTTCCTTCATTGATAAAAGTGGAATCGAGCGTATGAACCTGTCAAAAAATTATAAACCATTAGAATGATGCGTGACAATCTTGAAGTTCCGTATGGAGATTTCAGCCTGTAACTGAATTATGTCGATTTTATCGTGCCAATTGCTATGGTCTGACTTCAGATTGAAAGTTGTGGCAATGGTGAAAGTGAAATCGAAACATGACTGTCTTATGGTACTATTTGTTGCTTTGCCCCATAGCTATATATTCTAAAATTGAGATTTTGCTCTGTAATCTCAGGCGTCTGTAGATCCGAAGAAAGAGCTCTCCCAACTGATAACCGAGCATAAATACGAGGAAGCTTTCACCATTGCTCTGCAAAGGAGCGACGTTGCTATTGTATCATGGCTATGCTCGCAGGTACAAATTGTAATCGCTGCTCATCATCTCCATTGCCATTATAATCATATGAACAAGAATTTTCTGTTTTCCTATCGACATCCATTAGAAATATCTCCGTAAATTCATTCATATATAAATTTAAATTGTGTACTCTGTCGCTTGCATTTAACTTTAACAGGTTGATATACCGGGGATTTTGACGACGGATCCTGTCGTTCTGAGCCAAGGCGTGCTTCTGTCGCTCCTGCAGCAGCTGGCGTGCGATATCAGCAACAGGACCTCCGAAAAACTCGGGTGGATGAGAGACATCCTAGCCGCCATAAATCCAACCGATCCGGTGGTCATCATCCACGTGCAACCTATCCTGGAGCAAGTGAATCAAATTCTGAATCACCATCGCAGCCTCCCCAGCACCACCAGCGTCGAACTGTCGAGCATTCGGCTGATCATGCACGTCCTTAATTCGATGCTCATGACCTCCAAATGACCGGGAAATCGACCACGGCAGCTCCATCTCCAAGTTTGTACAAATTTTTTTGGCTTAGGAAATTCTCTAGAGCTGAATCTCTTGCTGGTATTTTTGTTTCCCTAACTTTGTAGGGAAAAAAAAAGAGTTTTTTTTGGAGCAAAAGCTGGGTTCTTTTTTGATGCAATTTTTGAATATAGGGCTGTGTTTACATAAGATTTTTTTTGGAAGTTTAAGAAAAATTTGAAAATAGTAAAAAATTTATTATTTTATGTGATATTTTGCGAATAAAAATAATATTCTATCTAATATTTTTAAGTGTTAAAATTTTTAAAATATATATATATAAACAAAATTTAGAATTTTGAGAACTCATAAAAAATATTGACACAAAAAATCTGTATTAATATAAGGTGGTTGTTCCTATTTTAATAAAATCGAATACTCAATCCCATCAACACACCACATCCCCTATCTTTTACACACATAATTGTGTGTATATATGCACATTATGTTGATAGAATTTATTTTTGGGACAAAAGATCCCATGGACTAACAGTATAAGTATAAATAAATAATATATATCCATTTTATGAATAATTATATTTTTTAATAATTTATTTATAATAAATAATTTTATTCAATTTTAATTTTATTATTTCTATTTTAATAAATAGTAATAATTAATTTTTTATTATTATTTTTATTTATCCTATTACTTTTTTATTAACTATTTAATAAATTTTTCATAATATATTCACTTTATTATTACTTATTCTATTTTTATAATATTAAAATATTATTATTTTTTAATTTGAATATTATAGTATAAATAGTTCGAAAAAAGAATTAATATAATACAAATATATAATTATTATAAGATAAGCATAGCATGACAAAGCATAATTTGAAAATATAACTCTACAAGACATTCTAAGAATCAACAAAGCATTTATTATTCATTCGAATTTAGTATATTCTTAGTATATATATTATTAGTTAAGGTTGAATATAAATGATAGTTAACTTAATTATGGTATGTTCTCTTTCATGTTCAATAATTTTTTATACAATTAATACAAACATTAGTGTCTTCATTCAATACAAAAATATACATATTTTCATATTAATATTATATAAATAAATAAAATATATAATACTCGCATAATATATATATAAAATATATATTTTATGTATTTATAAAAATAAAATAATTTAAAATAAAATACTCTCTACATCCTACATACTATGTCCACGTTGCCGTTTCTGTCTGTTCTACATACATGTCACTTTATTTTTTTGAAAAATAATTATACACTTTAATCTCATTTTAAATTTTTAATTTTTTTTTAAAAAAATTTAATTAAACTAATGAATTACCTTAATCTTAATTTATAATTATTTATATTATTGGATAATTATTTTCACTAATACATTCTTAATTATCTACTAATTATACCCCTCCTAAAATACCGTGTCTACAGTGTAGCATAGCAGACATGAGACATAGCAGACATGAGACGGAGGGAATATTATTTATTATATTATCAATATATTTTTCAATACTTAACACTAAAATATTTCAAATAAAAAACACTAAATAAAGACAGTACGAACAAATTCATTATGTTTAATAATTACATTTAATTAAAAATATCATTAAAAGATAAAAATAATAAAACTCAGTCCGAGATTATGACGGCAATAATAGCGTGTGATTGTCGTATTGGAATAGTTTGAATCTCGGCCGACTTTGGATTTATTGTGTATATTTATACACCGAATCAATAATTCATTTTTAAGAATGCAATTAAAATAGAATATCATCATTTCGTATTGTCGCTTACTTATACTCCCTCCCTCCGTCCCGGATACTATGTTCACGTCACTTTCATTTTTCGAAAAATGATTACATACTTTAATCTCATTTTAAATTTTTTAATTTTTTTTTTTTTTTAATTTTAATTAAACTAATTAGTTATCTTAATCGTAATTTATAATTATTTATATTATAAGATAATTATTTTTACTAATATATTCTTAATTATCTACTAATTACACTCCTGTTAAAATACCGACACAGTATCTGAGAATAAGAGAGTATTTATTTTATTTTATTTTTAACTTTTTTATTAATGATGATTTTTGCAGGGTTGTGCAGTTCATATGTTAGATATATAAAATTCAATACAATGGTGATAATATAAAAATATAGATACAATATATAATTTATATTAATATAATATAAATAAAAAAGTAAGATATAATAACACAATACACCGTATAAAGACAGCCTATATGAAAAGTATATTCAATTATATAAATATATTTAATATAATTTTTTAAATAAATATTTTTAAAATTAAATATAGTTTCTTTAAAATAGTATTTTATAATTCCTAATTTTTTCTCTAAAAATATTAAATTAAAATATATAATTTTAAATTATATGAAATTCATCCTTATATATTTATATTATCTCAAATAATTATTTTAATTCAAAATTTACTATTCAAAACAATAAATCTTACTCCAAAATTTACAGAGAAACAGACTTAAAGAAACGAAGATAAGAGAAAATACAATTAAATTTTAAATTAAAATAACATTTAAATAAATTTTGAGTAAAAAATTAATTGTTTATGTAATATATTAATTAAATAATAACTGATTAATTTGAATTTTTTTTAAAAAAAAAATGTAATAAATATTAGGAAAATCACACCATTGTAAAAATAATAAAAATAAAAAATAAAAATCCCCGGTTTCTTTATTAATTAGAAGATATCACTTCCATGAAAGACTAATCATCATGAAGCTTGATATAGGCAAAAACAATAAATAAATAAATAAACTTTTAACTCAATTTGACTTGTTACGCTTAATAATAGCAATCCACAATTATTGGCGTGTTATATATATATATATATATATATATATATATAATATGGATACATTCTCTAATTATTCAATTTTTTTTATTTACTGTAAATTAATTGTATTGAAGATTCATGAAAAAAGAAATATAAAAAAAAAAAAAATTGGTTAGAATCATTTGTGTGTTTTTTTTTCTATATGTATTTAACATAACTACCATTTTATAAAAAAAAAAAAAAAAAAAATGATTAATATAAAAAATATTATTAAGAAAATACATAATTAGGTATATAAAATATTATCTATAATATTTTTACAATTCCCCATTTGTTATAACAAAATATTTAAAACTATACATATAATGAACTTGTTCAATTTGTATTAGATGAATTTATATTGTTAATATAAAAATAATATTTTATATGTAACTATTAATTAGTTATAAGTAAATAAAATATATATTATATTTTCGAAATAATATTTATTAACAATAGTATACAACAAATGAACAAATACATTGTATTAATGCAAGCAATAAGTGAATGCAAAAAGACCACACATAATAATGGAACTAGTGGCCAAATGGCTAAACATTAAATGAAAAAAAAGGTATGGACATTTGCCAATATTATCTTTTCTATATTTAAATTTAAATGTTAAATCATTTTATTTTAGTGAAATATTTATTATTAGTTATTGAAATTTACATAAAATACTTTTAAAAATTGTAAAATTATATGATAGAATAATTTTTCACTGTTTTAAAAATATTTTTTAAAAGAAATTATAATTTTTATTGAAAAATAGGTGTATTTTATTATTATTATTGAGAATAGTATAATATTCTCTCCTAAAAATATCTACATTATTGTAGATAAAAAATTTACAAAAAGTATAATTAATAATAAATAAAAATAATTATTATATAATAAAATAATTATATATTAAAATTAAGATAATTAATTAATTTATATAAAATTTATAAATTACAAAAAATTTAAAAGATAATTAAAATATATAATGTGAAGTAAATATTTTTTAAAGAAAATTCTATAAAATAAATATTTTTATTGTATTTAAAGTTAGTACTAAATGTTAAGTTTTTTTATATACTATGTATTATCATATTTTAATTAAAAAAAAAAAAAAAACTATTCTCTCTTCTCTTGTTTTTTTTCTTAAACAAACATATTTTAAACATGCTAATTTTTTATTTTTTATTTTTAATTAGATGAACAAATCTCTCTCTCTCTATGTATATATATGTTTTTTATGTATTGTTAATAAAGTGTTTAAGAATATAATTAGAAACGACAATGGTGTGGGTTTAAAAGATAATAAAAAAAATAAAATTATAAATTTAGATAATATAAATTGTTATAAAAAATTATAATATAAATTTTTATAATTGCTAAATTTAAGTAAGTTCGAAACAAAATCGAGTTAAGAGGGAGTTTTTTATCACACTCGTAACTCGTTTTGGTTTATAAAATTTGAAGTCCGAGCGGGTCGGGGCAAAGACCCGCCCCGGTTAACATTCGTAAATATATATTTCCCCTCGTCATTTCCCTGTCTGCAAACCACAATCACAGCTCCATCGTCTCCCCCACACCCACACACTTATATATACTTATATATATATATATAGGGAGGGTCGACACACAGACAAAGAAACAGACAGACAGAGAAAGGGTCACCATCAACCTCGCAAACAAAAAAACGATTCAGAGTTCTGATTTGCAGCTAGCACGAGTTTCCATGGACGCATCTTCCTCCCCTCTCCAATTTTAATTTCCTGCAGAGATAATAATCCCAACCATTTCATTCATTGGCCTACGCACCTCTCTCTCTTATCTATCTCTCTATAAATGTAATGCTGTATCTTCCTAGAATTTCGCACAAAAATGGAGCGCAACAGCAGCAGTAATGGCGGCAACGGCTCCAAGAGCACTGACCTAATTTCATCCCCAAATGCCAGCTTCGAAGTCGCCGGTGACTCTGACGACCTCGTCCAAAGAACAGGTAAAGCAATTGGTTAATCAGGTATAGTTTCTACTAAGGTAATTAGTCTGATCGGAAACTGATTTATAGTCGATTTGCAGGGACGTTCTGGACGGCGGCTGCGCATGTGATTACCGGAGTTATTGGAGCAGGAGTGCTGTCTCTCGCATGGAGCACGGCTCAATTAGGATGGATCGCCGGTCCTCTGGCTATCGTCGTCTTCGCCGCCATCACTCAGGTTTCGATTTTCCTTGTTTGCGACTGCTACAGGTCGCCGGATCCGATCGACGGTCCGGCGCGACACCGATCCTTCATTGAAGCTGTCAAGTTCTACTTAGGTCAGTCAGTTTTGGTTAGTCAGTCCGTTATATGAATCAGTTAGACAGTCACGTTGTTTGCCATGGCGTTCGAAATTGGAATTACCAGAGCTCGGATTTCTTTTTCGGTTGTGTGCAGGGAAGAAGCAGCAGCTGATCTGTGGATTGTTTTTGATGGAGAGCTTCTACGGATGTGGAATCGCCTACACCATTGTTACAGCTTCCAGCGTCAAGTAAGATCATCTTTAGGGTTTAATTTCCAGCTATTTAAAATCCTGCAAGCTTTCTCTACAAATCGACCTGAAATCTGATAAACAAAAACACAGAGCGATTTTGAGGTCGGATTGTTACCACGACAGAGGCCACGACGCTGATTGCAGATACGGCGACTACAAGTTCATGCTGATTTTCGGTTTGAGTCAGATCATAGTTTCTCAAATCCCTGATTTCCACAACATGGCTTGGCTCTCCGTCGTCGCCGCAATCATGTCGTTCTGCTACGCTTCCATCGGATTCGGACTCGGATTCGCAGCCGTCATTGGTACAAGTTTAACTACCATTCATCGTATTCTTCTTCTTCTCTACCGCAAAGCTGAATCGATAATTCAATTATTTCCAGAAAACAAGGAGATAAAAGGAAGCATAAGCGGTGTACCGGGAAACACTTCTGCTCAAAAAACATGGCATATTTTTCAGGCGCTCGGAGACATCGCTTTCGCTTATCCATACACACAAATCGTCCTCGAAATTCAGGTGAAATGCACTAATCTCCAATTTGTTCAACAACCTAACCAGCCATCAATCGATACCACGAATTTATTCAGCAAATACATACATACATATATATGAATGTGCAGGACACTCTGAAGTCGCCTCCAGCGGCAAACCAGACGATGAAGAAGGTGACGATGTCGGCAATTCTGATCACGACATTTTTCTACCTCTGCTGCGCCTGCTTTGGCTACGCGGCGTTCGGCGACGCCACTCCGGGCAACCTCCTGACCGGATTCGGATTCTACGAGCCGTTTTGGCTGGTGGACTTCGCCAACGCCTGCATCATTCTCCACCTCGTCGGTGGATACCAGGTTCCTTCCATCTACAACTACTCTGCTTTCCTCAACCGAAAATCTAATTTATAATTTGAATAAACAAACGTGTTCTATCGAATTTCGACTTTCCGGCGGGCAGGTATACAGCCAGCCGGTGTTTGCATTCGCGGAGAGGTGGATATCGAGGAAGTTTCCAGAGAGCAGGAAGTCATACAAATGGGGTGGAATCGGGGTGAATCCATTGCGGGTGTGCTTTAGGACAGCGTACGTGGTGTCGACGACGGGGATAGCGATGTTGTTCCCGTACTTCAACCAGGTATTGGGGGTGTTGGGGGCTTTGAATTTTTGGCCGCTGGCAGTGTACTTCCCCGTGGAGATGTACTTAGTGCAGTCGAAGACACGGGCGTGGTCCAGAAAATGGGTGTTTCTTCAGGGAGTTAGTGCGCTGTGTTTTGTGCTGTCTTTGGTTGGTTTGATTGGCTCTGTTGTAGGATTGATGAGAGCCAAATTCACCTCCTCCTCATGAACACCAAAATATACATATGTATATGTGTGTATATATACACGGAGAGGAGAGAGAGAAGAAAATGATTAAAAAGGGGGGATTTAGGTTAATGCAGTGTTAGTTTGTTACATTGGTTGAAGAAAATAATATTGGGAAGTATATGGTTTGATTTGGTTTGGTTTTTTCTTCAAAGAAAAAATATGTTTGTTTAGTCTCTACAACTTAAAAAAAATATATATATAATTAATTAAGTATTGAATTAGTTCTACATTTCAAAAAAAATTTGATAGAAATAGTCCTTAACTTGGTAGATAGTATTGTAGCGTAATCACACTAAGCTAACTATGAACTCACGGTCACATGTTCAATCTTACGCTACCGGACCATCATTTACGGGATTCAAGGTATTGTTTTATTTAGTCTTGGTATAGTAGTCATAGAATAAATGTAAGTTTAGTGTTACTAGATATGATCATGTTTACATTTATACATAAATATCGAGGCTTCGTTGAATAGTGAATTTTGAAGTTTAAATTTTGATTATTTATTTATTTTTTTTAAAGTTAAAAATAATAAAATGTTAGAGTATTAAGTTGCTTTCTAAAATAAAATAAATTTTTAATATGATATTTAGAAAATATATATTGTTTGATAAAAACTATTGAAATTTCTGAACATATGTATGTAAATAATTCTAAAGAAAAATATGTATCTAAACAATTCTAAAGATTATCACTTATCTAGAATGGGATTAGCAGCCCCTCCTTTCATGCCCCACCGTTTATAAGAATCAACGCTAATAGTTTCTAACTTGCGTGATAGTCTTCCCAATGCTATTTTGGAAAGATATGTCAGAGATTAAAAAGGAAAAGAAGAAGATTTTTGGTTTTGAACTTGCTAATATATTTCAAAATCAATTATTGCATTGTTTCCTTGATTTAGGAGTTAATATACAAATTTTGGCTAATAAAAAAATGAACAAATGGGCTTGGGATAATATATTGGGCCCATGTTCTCATCCCTATCACTGTTGCCTTTGCCACTTTTGGTTGCCTTACTCAAATCACTATGTATACATAAAAATACAAAATTGTGTTTACACGTGATAGTTGCAATTTAACAATATTATTCATACAAGTCTGATAAGCAACACAAATTGATAAATACCATAACAAAAAGTTACAAAATCTATATTTAAAAGAGATGAGCAATCAGCACACAATTATAAGAAAAAGAATAATAAATCAAAAAGGCAAATAAATCTTTCAGTGATTCAAACTTGTATGGAATGAAATTCTTTTATATATTTACTCGGTTTTGAACATTTCTTTCATATCAGGTGTTTTATTGATTTCCAAATCAACCCATCTTGATAACTGAATTTACTCTCAGCTATTTAAAAATATATATAATAATAATAATAAATAAAAACTAAAATAATTAGTAATAATAATAAAATAATTCTAAAAAAGGTCCGATGCAAAACAAACCTAGACGCAATCTTGCTTGATTTTCAAGCCAATATTTTATTATATTTATTTATGTCTAAATTCTAAAAAAAAAGTTAAATAAAATAATTGTAGTGCACTTTTTCCACCGCCAAAAAGCTCTAAAAGAAATGTTATCTGACACTCAGATTCTCAAATCTTGAATTAATCCTCCCTTAAAGATGGAATAATACTCTTATCCTACGGTTGAGATACAACCAGGATCTGAGATCCTCGGAGCATCTAATAATTACCTAGTACATGGTATGACACGCGGCTCACATATTTCGTGACACAGTAACTTCCTCACACTCTATCGGATTGCAAAATAGAGAAAGCTAGCGGCGTCTATATATAGGCGATTCTGAGCCCTCCTTGCATAGGAAAAGCCCATTTCAATCCTTTCCAGTGGTCTCCCTCTCGCCTGCGGCTCCAGAGCAACGGTAAGAACTCTGCTTCTTTCGATATTTTTTTTATTATTTTTTTCTGTGTGTGGTGTTTGAGCGATTACTATGATTTTGTGCGGTGATTTTGATCGGTGAGATTCTTAGGGTTTGGGGGTGTGTTGGTGGTTTTTGATTTGATTTGATTGTTGAGAAGACGGTGGATGTTGTGCTTCGTGCGTTAAGAGCACTCATGTCGCTGGTGCGTTCATTTGGCTGCGAACCTCGGCTCGACGTGTAGGTTTTGTGATGGAGTCTGTGTTGATTTTGTTTTGGTGAAAGCGTGGAATTTGACGTTTTTTTTTTTTCTTTTCGGAGATTGAGGGTTACTGAAATGGATTGTTGATCAGATTAGGGTTTGTTGTTGGTAAATGGCAATGCTAATTCTGCTTATGACTTCGAAGAATGATTTCTAAGTTCCATATCTGCCATAGCATGTGTGAATCTGCCAATCCTGAAGAAATAACATCGATACAGAGCAGATGCTTTAGAATTCAACTAATTTCGATGTACACAATGTTTTTTTCACTGATTTTACTGTTACCTTCTTACAGTAACTGTTTCTGTGATGGCTTCAAAGCGAATCCAGAAGGAATTGAGGGACTTGAAAAAGGACCCTCCTGCTTCTTGCAGTGCTGGTGTGTATTTATTTTGTTCTTTCCGAGATTCCATTTCATGAAAAATATTACATTTGTTGATGAAAGCTCTTGATTGGTATCGGTAGGCTATATTAGCTGTTGCCCTGCGATTAATTTGTTTTTCGAATTTATTGATGAGATGATGATCGTATGGTTCAGTTAAAAGAAATTAATCTCCATTGTGCATTACGAACACAAAACAGAGTGATACGTCGAATTACCTGTCGTATTGTAATTAATCATTGTTGAAGGGCCATATATTATTGCATCCTTTTTAGCTTTTTGGTCTTGATCATTAATTTCTTGGATGCTTTGCATCCTTTATCTTAACAGGTGAATATTTGCTGCAATGATAAGATATGTGACAAATTTCATCCTTAAAACTTTGTGTCACTTTCACTGTGGTAGATAGTTTTTGTGTGTTGATTCTTCTTGTTTAATTTCGACATACACATAATTTATGCTCTTTATGTTTATGCAGGGCCCGTTGGTGAGGATATGTTCCATTGGCAAGCTACGATTATGGGTCCAACAGACAGCCCATTTGCTGGTGGGGTCTTTCTCGTATCTATTCATTTTCCGCCCGATTATCCATTCAAACCACCCAAGGTAAATGTGCTTTATATAGTTTGAGACCTCGTAAAGTTTTGTCCTAACCATTTCATTGTGGGAACACTACTTAACCACGACTTGATTTTGATTAAAATTATTGGTTTAATTTGTATCGAGAGGATGCTCTGTTTAGACACAGGCTTTCGGAGTTTTGAAACAAATTAAGAATAGTAAAGAATCTAGTGTTTGACGTGGTGTTTTAACTGAGGTAAATGCTTTAGAAATCTATGTATAGAAAGCCCCATTTCATTTAGTATGTCCGTGCTTGCAATAACTAGTTATTTCGGTTTTCTGCAAGTATCATTTGGCAATTTGTTGAACCAATGGGAACAAATGTTCGAGACATGGTAAAATACTAGTATAATTTTAGCAATATTCTAAACCATAATGAATTTAAACATTTCAAGGAAGTGTTATTACTACTGCGCACTTTTTAAAAATTATAATTGGTTTTTGCTTGTCCGTCGAGCAGGTGTCATTCAAAACTAAGGTTTACCATCCAAACATCAACAGCACTGGCAGTATTTGCCTGGATATCCTCAAAGATCAATGGAGCCCTGCCCTTACCATTTCTAAGGTATTACTCTCAATCATATGACAATAAAATTGAAATTATTCGATGATCATAGTTTTGATGTAATCCTAACATTGCTACACACCCCTAGAAATGCATCACCACATAAAAAATACGCAAACAACATTATATTGTGTGGGCATATTTGGTATGTTGAGACCAATTGTATATGTTACTGTACACAAGCATATATGTTTGTTTGTTTTATCTTTTTAGGAAAAATGAAATTGGATTCTAGATGTTTGGATGATGATGATCTTGTCTATGTAGGTGCTGCTCTCCATCTGTTCCTTGCTGACAGACCCGAACCCGGATGATCCTCTCGTCCCGGAGATCGCGCATATCTGCAAGACGGACAGAGCCAAATACGAGGCAACAGCTCGCTCGTGGACTCAGAAGTATGCCATGGGATGAATTGATCGTCCAGTCTGGGAATCCTGCTGCCCCTATTTCTTGGGTAAAAATAAGAATATGAAGCCGGAGTAGTGTAGTGCATGCATCATTGGTCTGGTCATCGTAGTAGTATAATATTGTGGTTAGGCTATTTCTATTAATACCTATCCTACCCTATTCTCCCTCGTGGATTTATTTATTTGGTCGCTACTCATTTGCCACCTCTTCTGTTATCTATTATCTATCTATCTGCCTGCTTTCTAGACTAAATTGTGTTTTATTTATAATATATATATATAATGTATACGAGCTCCTCGGTGATTATTATTATTATTATTATTATTTATTAGAGATATATATATATAATACGATACATCTCACTCACCTATTTTGTTATTAACATAGACTAGAAGTAGTGGAGTATAAATTTTTTGGGCTCCAGTCTCCATTTATTACATGAAATTCGATTTAATTCCAGCCCAGTCTGTCTCTGTCTGTCTGCATATCAGTTCTTACACACATCATCAAATGCATTTACAGCTCTCCTTTAATTAATTAATTAATTAGAGCAGAGCAGTCATTACTAAAATTTAATATTTTCAGATTTCATGTCGCCTCCTGTCAGGTTCATATATCATCTCAACCAAAATTTTAAATCGCTGGATATTTTGCATGATATAAATTTTATTAAAATAACACCCCATTATTTTCTATATTTCTTATATTTTTTTACACAATTTTTCGTTAATTTAATTAATAATTTATTTTTTTTATAAACTGTAAATACTAAATAAATGAATTTAATATTTTTTAAGTTTTGACGTTATTTATTCATGTTTATTTTATAAAAATATACATATTAAAAATATTGGTTGTGTTTATCCAATAATTTTTTTTATATTTTTATTAATATTATAAAATAATATTATATACACATTATATATATAATATTCATATACGTTTGACACTTTTATACTTGTAATGTAAAATTAATTAAGTTAAATCTAAAAAAATATTATGGTTGTGTCACAAGATTTGTACTCGTTTGGTCCAAATATCTTGTAATATTTTCTTTTTTATTTGTCTTAAATTTATTTTAATATTTTTAAATTTAAAAATAATTAATAATATATATTAATATACATTTAGTTTTATCTCATCACATCAGTCAGATAAAAAAATAAATAATCATTTCTCTTTTGAATCACATCACATCCAAATTATCTCAAATTATCATACTTAATATTCTCCACCTAAATTCTAAGTGTCAAACACAAACATTGCACGGTATTTGGGACGGAAGGAGTACTATTTATTTAATTTTTTTCATCTAAAAAATTAAATTAAACAAATAATTCTTACCTTTTTATACTAACTTGGTTCATTTATAAAGTATATTATTTTTTGTTGTTCAATTATAAAGTAATATAAAAAAAAAGAATAAAATTATTTTTATTTTACACTAATTTTAATTATTTATTACAATTAAAATATTATTATTTTTTAAAATTATCTAAATACAAAAAATTTTATTCTATAAACTAATTTTATAGTATTTAAAATATAACATTAAATTTATTTATATTATATTAAATTATTATTTAAATTTAATTTTTTTTAAATATGAATTGAGTTTGACATAATTCTGAACAATAAAAATTTAAAATATACTTATATAAATATTAGGAAAAACATAGCTACAATTCAAATAAAACAAAGTACAATTGGAATTAAATCTCCATTCCCAAATAAAGTGTAAAAATAGACCATAATTAGGAGTATTTGAACAACGTAACATTAATAAAAAGAGTACAGCAGGAAAGTGGGAGCCACTTTTCTCTAATAAATAGTCGCAAAATTTTATCTGTGCGTCGAAATGAGTATGTCGCCTTTCTCAGAATGTCCGTACAACAAGTCCTGATGTTGACTAACCAAGAATATTATTGTGCCAATTATTATTTTTATTATAATCTTATATGTATAAATTTCCTGACAAACTGTCGTTGTGATAATTCCTACATTTACTGTTTTCAGTGACCAGTGTAAAAATAAATAAATAGATGTCAGACGTAAATATTACTCCCTCCTTACATTGGCTATATTACCGTATATCCGAAAATTTAGATAAAAATTAATTAAAAAATATATTAATAAAAATAATTATTATATAGTAATAATAATTATAAATTAAAATTAAAATAACTAAAAAATTTAATTGAAATTTAAAAAAATTATAAAATTTAAAATGTGATTAAAGTGTTAATTATATATCCAAAAAAAATAAAAAGACAAATGATATAAGACTAACGAAAATAAAAAATAAAGATAAATTATGTAGGACAGATGGATGGAGTAGTAGTAAAAACATATTTCTTTCTATTTCAATTACAAATATATTATTTACATATAATTATTTTATATATAAAATTAAATAGTAAAAACATCAAAATATTTTATAATATTCTAATGATCAATATTATTTCTTATAACTAATCAAAATACTAGTTATAAAATATCAAAAAATCACTAAATACAATTTTTCATTAAAAAAAAATGCTCAATGAATATATTCATTTATTTTTATAAATTATAAAATTATAATATTTTATTAATCAAAAAAATATGTGAAATAGTTTTGATATTTTTATATTTGTAAGTGTTGTGAATTTAAAATTCCCAACAGTAAGTATAAATGAAAAAAATATTTTATAAAATTTAAAGATATTTTGATATTTATATATAAATTATTTCTACTATAATAACAAAATGATAGATTTAAATACGATAAATAAAATAAATAAATATTGTATATTAAATTGGAGCGAAAAAATATACTATTTCCGTTCCAATACAATAGTCTTGTTCATTATTTTTGTTCGTCCCAAAATAATAGTCTTTTTTCATAAATAATCATATCACCATAAAACTACCCCTACTTTTTTATTTTTATTACACAATTGCCACTACTTTTTACACTAATACACTCACAGGGACAAGAAAGTCTTTTTATCCATATTTTTTACCAACTACTAATATAATATCAATATTTTTTAAAATCTCCTACCCAATCTAATTAAAACTATAGTTCTCGAACGAAAGATGTATGTATTTTCTTTATCCGCCAAACCAAAGTTATTCATATTTTTGTTTTGTCCATCTCTTAAACTTATCCATAAAAAATTTAACATATAGCTATTACTTTTTTCATTCGGTTAATTATATCATTTTATTTAGACACAAAAATGAAAAAATATATATATAATATTTTAATATAAAAGTAGAATAAATAAAAATTAAAGTAAGATATTATAGAAAATTTGTTAAGTTTATATGATCATTTTTTTAGTTCCTTAATTGTACTTATTTATTATTGTTGTAACTTTTTTTTTTTTGTAATTTTAGTCATCCAAAGCTAAAGATGTTTAGGTGACATCCACGTCGCTCGTCGAATGACACGTGTCCGCCAACACCTCGACACATACATAGATTTTTATTTTTTATTTTTAAAATTCTTAATTGTCAATTTTTTTAAAAAAATATATTATTTTTCTTTTAAAAGAAGACAAATTAAATCATTTTTTTTAAAAAAAAATTGACAATTAAAAAATAAAAAATATTCACGTATGTGTTGGGTGTAGTTGACTTAGCAGAGACGTATCATTCGACCAGTTATGCGTTAACTTACAAAACTAATTTGTGATATGTTATACTCCCTCTGTCCTTAACAATCTATCAATTTTTCATTTTGGTTTGTCCCAGTATCCGTTTCATTTTTTTTTTTTTTTATTAGTAATTGTACTATCTGTCTAACGTTACAAATACCCTTCTAATTTACAATATATTACACAAATGTCATTACCTTTATATCATACAATACTAATAGGGTTAATTTAGTCTTTTTTACCTTTATTTCTACTTTATCCCAATATAATACTAATATTTCTAAAATTCCGTACAAAAAGCAAATAGATAGATAAATTGGGGACGGAGGGAGTATAGAATAAAAATAATAAGAGAGCGAGACTAAAAAATCAATTTGTCTTTAAAAAAAAGTTATATACTATTTTAATTTTATTTTAAAATTTTGAAACTTAATTAAATTAATTAATTATTCAAGATTTATAATAACAAAGACAAAAAGAAATTCTCCCTCCGTCCCACCGAAATTAAATAATTAAAGATGTTTAATTAGTTAATAATAATTAGTTATGATATTATTTTTTATATAATTAATAATATTTATAGTTTGAAAGTAAATTTAATATATATGATTAAAAAAATCAAATATATGTTTAAATATTTAAAAATTATATAACAATTAAAAAATATATGTAATATGGATATCATTTTTTAATAAAATTTTCTATAACACGTAAATAAAAAAATATTTTTGTTTATTTATAATTGACATAAATCAATTTTATAAAAGATATATAGTTTTAAATATAGATAAAAATATTTATTTTTTAGGAGACAAATAAAAATAAAGGAGTTTTGAATAGTCCTATGTTGATGTTATATATTATGTAGTTAATTAAATTAGATTTATATTTGTTAAATATATTTAGATTTAATAATTTTTACCAAAAAAAAATAAAATGTGTCAATTATTACGGAAGATAAAAATAAAAATAGTGTCAATTATGATGGAACGGAAGAAGTACTACATATATTAAAAAAATAAAAATAAAATAAAAAAACAAAAGATTAAAAAGGAAAAAAAAGCGTATACATACAATACAGACGTACGTACATAAATGCCTGTTTTTTTGTGTGTAAGGGATTTGATATATTGATATCAGATCTTTCGTTTTCATCCGATCTCCATTGCCAGAATTCTCTCGAGAATATTGCGCACCTCTTACATTCGGATTCTTTTGAAAACGCGCGCAGTAATCTCTCCGTATTGAAGGCGATTTTCGTTTCAAATATAGATATCTCGCTCGACTGATCTCGATCCAGCTCGAATTTATTCTAGGGTTTATGTAAGCTTCTATCTCCAATTTACTGCCTTAAATCTCGCTGTGGATGGATGGATTGGATGCGTGTTTGTTTTGTCTTCGAATCCGTGTTTGCTTAAATTATTAATTTTTATTTATCTTTTAGAGATCGATTTTGTTGCTTTTTGAATCGAGTTGCAGGTGAGATCCGCGGGTTGGCGGGGGCTTTGGATGGTGTTGTTTGATCCTTCGTGTATGGATCGTTGTCCTGGGAATTGAATTCGAGCGAAGATTTAAACTGCAAGCTCTGATTTCACGAAAAGATTTCTGCGGTTTTCCGTATTGTTTTGCCTCAAATTGTGATTATGCACCTCCCCTGTTGAAGTTTTATAGACGAAGGTTAGCTATGTTTGATAAATTGTTGTTCATCTTGTAATCTCTGGCTTAACGGGATCGTGTTAGGCAGATTCAGTAATGACATTTTGTTGATGTAGTTTATAATTATCAGTAATTGAGTTGGCGGCATAGGATACGCCATTGTGAGCTTTGCAGAGTTTCAGTATCTCAGTGTCTGCTACCATAGGATAGCCTTCCGTAGGAAAAATTGCATCCACGATATAACATTGTTTTTACTTGATCAAACAATTTAGAGAGAGTTATTGCAAGTAGTACAAAAGTGCATAGAAAGACCACCTTTCATTTTGTGCAGAAATTTTGAATTGGACACAGAGAATACGAGTATTTGGAATTGATTGCTTTCCTTAAAATGGTCATTGTCATATGATACATTCGTTGATGTGCTTAATTTGATGGTACTAATCCATTGGTCATTCATGGTGTAGTTAATCTGAATATGGGTTTATGGGGAACTACATAGCTGGAAGTTTGAGGATCAATTTATTTGTCCTTTGAATCTTGTCAATCATGTCAGGTTTGTAGCTTGGCTTGTAATTTACTGTAAGATTTTTGCCGTCTGATGAGTAAATCTGCAGATGTTTATCCCATTCTCTGTTTTCCTCTGACTTTCCTGATACATAGGGCTGGAAGAACTGGAGATTTATGATGAAACTAGGGAGAGGAAATCAGAATATGAATACTCTGAAGATGAGAGGCGGAGATCAAGAATAGGTTCTTTGAAGAAGAAGGCCATAAGTGCTTCAAATAAGTTCACCCATTCTCTCAAAAAAAGAGGGAAAAGGAAAGTTGATTTTCGAGTGCCTTCCATTTCCATTGAAGATGTGCGTGACCCAAAAGAAGAGAGTGCTGTCTGTGAGCTACGCCAAAGACTTATTGATGTTGATTTGCTCCCCGCTAGGCATGATGATTACCACACTTTGCTTAGGTGAGGGCTTCTTCCTTTTCTTCTTTTCTTTTTTTTTTTTTTTTTGCAAAATTATTTTGGATGGCACACATGCAAGTGTTGGACATATTTTGGTCTACTTGAATTAACAAGTAATGTCAAAATCATGAATCTAGCCATACATCAAATAAAATGTAAGTGAATGAGCATGCTCAAACATTTTGTTAGATGCAAGAACTTAATTCTTAGTTTTTAACTGCTAAAAGGTTTGAATTGTAGTCATTTGATATTTTGATTGGGTAGTTGACATTTTTTTATTTGAAATTTCCTCAACATTTTGTTTTCTTTCCATATCAAAACATTTTTGTGTTTCTGGTGAAAAGATTTTTGAAAGCAAGAGATTTCGACATTGATAAGACCATTCCGATGTGGGAAGAAATGCTAAACTGGAGGAAGGAGTTTGGTGCAGACAACATTTTGGAGGTATTGATACTTACCATGAAAGGCTAAAGATTGAGTTTTTATTGGTCACCTTGTGTGATACACGATTTTCATTTATGGATAGATGTTTTACCATGTGCAAACATTTACCACCTTTGACATAAATATTGATAGATGATTGGTTTTCAGGACTTTGAATTTGAGGAGTTGGAAGAAGTTTTGCAGTACTATCCCCAAGGATTTCATGGAGTCGATAGAGAAGGCAGACCTATTTACATTGAAAGGCTTGGACAAGCTCATCCAAGTAAATTAATGCGCATTACTTCCATTGAGAGATACTTAAAATATCATGTTCAGGAATTTGAGAAGACTCTCAATGAGAAGTTCCCTGCCTGTTCCATTGCTTCCAAGAGAAGGATCTGTTCAACAACAACAATTCTTGATGTACAAGGGCTGGTCTGTTGATTATTTTTTTTCAGATTTCTTGAGTACTTATTCCTTTTGCTTTTATAAATCTTAGAATACAGTAATACAGTCTTATTACCTATCATAAGAAATAAAGTATTTGATCCAACATTCATTCCACTCTCCTCTTGGCTTCAAGTCCAGTATGGTGATATTTAATATTATATGATATTAGGATGGTCTTTTATTCAAATAGGGATGCCATTCAATTGATTTATTGATTTGATTTCCAGGAGAATCTGAATTGTTTCCGTACAGGTAGTTTTAAAAAAATGTTTTCTGATATATTTTGACTAGAAATGTTTTAAGTTTTCTATGCCAAATAAATTGATGTGTCAGAATTGTCACTGCAGGGTGTTAAAAATTTTACTGCGACTGCTGCAAGTTTGCTGTCATCTATGGCAAAGATTGATAATAGCTACTATCCTGAGGCATGTCTTGTTGTTTGTTAACATTCCATAATCCAGATCTTGAAATTACTTCATATGTATGTGACGAATTTATTTCTGTTTCCATTCCCTGCAGACACTACATCAAATGTACATTGTTAATGCTGGACACGGCTTCAAGAAGGTGCTATGGCCTGCTGCCCAAAAGTTTTTGGATCCAAAAACTATTTCTAAAATCCATGTAATGAATATGTGCTCTCTTTACTGTGTGTTTGTACCCACCATTGTCCTCTCTCTACCATTTACTGGGTGCTTTTGTTTTCTTTGTTCGCAGGTTTTGGAGCCAAAAGCCTTGGGGAAGTTACTCGAAGTTGTTGATCCAAGGTCTGTCACTTACCTGAATAATAGTGTTAAAATGAAATTCTCAGAAGAGAATATCATCTAACTAATCTATGTTCTGTCCCCAGTCAATTGCCCGACTTTTTGGGTGGAGCATGCGTATGTAATGTCGAGGGGGGTTGCCTGAGGTCTAGTAAGGGTCCATGGAATGATCCGGACATAATAAAGGTACACATCTTATGAAGAAGATGGGATGTGCTTCTTTTTACTAATGTATGCATTTGCAAATTTATTCTAAATAATCTGTTTTTATCTGTAGCTTGTGTGCAATGCAGAAGCCACTTTTGTGAGTCAAATCTCCAAATTTCCCAGTTACCAGCAGAAAATTGATCCATACATTCAAATGCGATCGTTGAAGGTAAGTGGTGCCTCATCATCGTAAAAGATCTACTTCTTCAACCTCAAGTTTGTGATCTTTTGAAGAATCGAATGGTACAGGGAAGATGCAGTGGTACATCTGCAGTTGGATCAGGATCTGATGTTGATTATCCTTGCTCTCCTAACAGACAAAATCACAGAGAAAGTTTGCGAACAACCTCAGCTAACGAAGTACGTTTATTTGAATGTCAATAATTGTTATCTGTTCTCGCTACTTTGCAATCTTTTATACCAGGCATAGGGCAATATTCATATATTCAATAAACATGAACAGTGATGCAGGCAGGCTCTAGTTTAGATAGATACACCTATGGTTATATATTGATGTATGACTTTATTTGTTGTAGGCCAGAACATCCGATCCGTGTATCTACTACAGCTGTGACGAGCATTTTGGCCCAGGTGATAGAGATAGTGGGGAAAGGCTACGAATGGACAACGAATCTTTACATGTCAATGGTTTTGGAAATTCAAGGGCCAATGCAAGATCTAGCATCGAAGGTTTGCTTATTTATTCCCTTCTTTTTATGGAGGTTCTGCATGATTATTCAACGTTTCGCCATGTTCTGTTTTTCTTTTAATCGAACTGCCAAAATATTTTCAATACACCTTTTCCTCCGGCTTCCAAATTTTATTACAAATCTCAGGATCAATGCAATTTATCTTTCCATTTTGCGATCTTCAGAAAGATCATAACTTTATTGTCGATATTTGTCGGGATATGTGTGTACACTGAGCTGTAATGTTTCTTTCATTGGCTACCATAGGAGAAAAAGTTATTCCCATTTTCTTGCATTGCGTGGAAGCTATTTTTATACATCTATTGTGAAATTGTTATAGGGACGTCAGTCATGTATTTGTTGGATGCTATCCAAGAGAAAGTCGTGAAGAGAGGGTTGGCGTACATGACAAGAACATTAGCATCGATTACTACCAAGCTCTTCACAGCCATCCAGACTACATGTGTCGAATATTTGCGACGACCAGCCATCGATCAGTCTTCAAATACGATGGCGGAAAATCAACAAGAAGCTGATAATAGCTCATCCACAACTACAGCGCCTATTAGAGAAGATGACAGGATCCTTCCTTGTGTACAACGTCTTCAGAGATTGGAGAGTTTGTTAGACGAACTTGGCAGGAAACCCGCGGAAATCCCACTCGAGAAGGAACAGCTTCTCAATCATTCTCTGGACCGGATCAAATCCGTTGAGTTCGACCTCGAGAAAACAAAAAGGGTAACAATCCATCTAACCCCTAACACCCCCCCCCCCCCCTCTCCCCCTTTCCGGCACATCTTTTATCCTTCAAATATTTATCCACTGTTGCATTCCTCAGGCATTAAACTCCACGGTGTCGAAGCAGCATGAGATTGCTGAACTACTGGACAACATTCAGGAATCGAAATTCCACGTAAGTCAGCGCGACATTTCTTTTCAAACACTCGCATCATGTTATCTAATTACAGGTATTTCCGTATTTCTTTCTCGCAGCAACGAAAGATTTGCTGTTGATTTGCACCCTGTTAGAATCAGCGCACAATAATAGTTCGTCTTATTGAAGGTAAGAAACAATGCGGGATATTAGAATTCATATCAATAAATTTTTTGACCGCAGCTATCTTACGAGCACCCGTAGTTTTCTTCCTCTGCCAGGCTGTAGAAGCAAGTAATATGCCAGCCAGCCAGCCAGCCCGGGAAATGTAAATGAACAGTTGAGTTTTAGAGTATAGGAATACTTGTTGCCCGGCTTCCATATCATAGCTTCCCCGTTATTTATCTTGTCACCGAGATGAAAAGTTTCCGGTAGGATTTGATGTTTTCTGTCGGTCCCCGACTCTCTACCCTCTTGGAAAATTATCACAGGTATGTTCGAATCGTACATACATCGATGGATCGATCATTGCGTCGACGAACATTGTTGTTGTAAAACTATATTGACGTGTAATTTATCAATGTTATATGGTATATAGTTTTATGAGTGATTTAAAGATCAATATGGATGCTATTACAACTGCACACTCGATTTTTAAAATATTGTTTAGAAATTAATTTTTTCTTTCAAATAATTCAATTTCTGACATTCAAAAAGTAAAATAAAACATGCTTCTTGTAAATAATACTCGATTGAATTGTGTAGTTTAGAAAACGAACCAATTTGATCAAAATGTCAAAAAGCAAATTAAATTAAATTACAGGGTCAAAATTGGAGGAAAAAAGCAATGCAAGGACAATTAAATAAACAAAATTCCAAAACCCACATTACACATTTCCCCACTTTACTCCCATTTGCATTGCATTCTTATCCTTCTTTTCCCAAACAATTATTTGTACATACTGATACATTTAAAAAACAAATATATAAATAAATAAAAACATAAGTGCCAAGTGTCAGAGGTTCCTTCAAAAACAATCAAAGGGTAAAAATAAAAAATAAAAAATAAAAATCCTCAATTTATTATTATTATTATTATTTCATAGATATCTCAAATTAAATTTAAATTTGGAAGTGGTTCTAGTATTTATTTAAAATTTGTGAATGAATTCAATTCTCAAATCTGAATCAATATCAATCTGAATTACTAGTCGCTAAATAGCATAAAAATTTAGGGTGTGGGTGAGACCGAGTCGCAGTAAAATGTCCAACGACTCGCCAACACCATCTTCTAATCCAAATCCAATTCCTAATCTCAAACCTAATTCAGTTTCGGTTTCAGACTCGCATTCCTACCCTAAGCCCGAAGCCGAGTTTCAGGAGATTATCCAAAACCCTGACACTTTCTTCGACAAGCTCCAGTCCTTCCACCTTCGCTACGGCATCAAATTCAGGTGCGCACCTTTCTACTTCGTGTTCTGTGGTTTTTTTAGGAAAATAGAATAAAAATTGGTGTTAGGATTGAGATGTTTGAGTCTGCGGTTTGGTAGTGTGAGATTTGATTGTGCGCGCTGCGGTTGGGGAGTTGGAACTGCAAATTGCTTTACATGAGTTTTTGTTTTTTTGGCAGTGATGGCGGTTGGTCTTTGTTTTTGTTTTTTTTTTTTGTCAGTGCGTGGATATTTGTGTTAGGTTTGGTTCGAACGCGTGGATGGATCGGTGTTTGATTTTGTCGACTTAGGTTGTGAATTAGTTTGGAGATTAGGTTTGTGATGATTTATTATGCTTGCTTTTATTTTATTTGGTGCGGATTGTCAGGTGCTTGTTTGACAGGAAGGTTTTACTGTTTCCGTAGAGCTAATTGTTGATGATTTTAGGAAATGAAGTTCAGTCGCTAAGATTCAGCTAAAATTAGGGCTCACAGCTGCAGTTTTTTGAGAAGTCGGTATGGTTGTTAGACGAGGAAACTTGGAAGAGTTATGGCTATGTAATATAGGGTTAACATTGCTATGGATAATTGTGTAAATTATTTATCAGCATATATTCTTACCTGCGCAGGGTTCCTACTTTAGGAGGAAACCGTTTGGATCTACATCGTTTGTTTCTGGAAGTGACGTCTCGAGGCGGTATTGAAAAGGTATGCTTCTTCTAAATTGGCAACTGCTGCAGATCCCTGCATTTTGTGAATTGTTGAATCAGGTTGTAGTATGTTCTAAAAGTGTGGCTGCTTATGGTAATTGAAGTTTGAGTTTGTGGATATTAAGGATGAGTCATGGGAATGGATTTTCGGGTGGGTTTGAGAGGCTGGAGCTAGACAGTTGGCGTGGCTGGATAGGGTTAGGGGTTGTGCGCCTTACTGGAAATCGAGCAGGACATTAATTACATGAATTTAAGGCGGCATTTAGTTACCTCCTTTAATTTGATTATCAGGATATTAAGATAATCTAAACTAAGAGGAAACACTTTGATAGTGTCGAGTACTCACCACCGTAATAAAAGTTAAAAGAATTCGAAATTATTGTTGTATATACATTGGAAAAATAGCAAGAAGACTTAGAAGTTGTTCATAAGCTTTTCTAGTTCAGTATGCTTGTTCTAAAATAGTTTTACCATGAGGGACCTCTTAAAAGGTTTTTCAAAGTAAGCATGAATGAGAATAAAGGATGTGTCTTGATTAATTTAAAATGTGAGAAACTATCACATGCTGCATTGATGTCTATAGAGAATTGATCTGGATTTTGTTTACAATAATCTGGATTTAGTTGTGGGATTTTTGCCGTTTACTTTTCCCCCTCTTTTTATTTTACTTTACACATCTGATAGATTTCCACTTTTAATGTTGATGCATTTCAGGTTATTAAAGATCGCAGATGGAAGGAAGTCACTGGAGCCTTCAAATTCCCTTCCACAATCACAAGTGCTTCGTTTGTCTTACGAAGATATTATCTATCCTTGCTCTATCATTTTGAGCAAGTTTATTATTTCAGGAAAAAAGAACCATACCTTGCCGCTTATGGTGTGGCCAAAACCTTATTATGGTCACATTATATTCTGTTCCTGTTTAAATATATATTTTATTGCCCGACTTACTATCTTCCTTGCATGTACATGAATAGATCAATCAAGCAAGGGTGCCAATGGAACAAAATTGCCACTTACTATTGATGAAGAAGCTTCATCAAAGCAACTTGCTGGTGATTCATCTTAATGTTTTGTTTTTATTGAAAGATTTTCTGGTCTCGATATCGTGACTAAGTTTTACTCAATACAGTATAGCTTATATAGTGACTCCCGAGAATCAATTTGATGTGCAGTGATTCCTGACTTGGGGGATGGCAGTCTTGTCACCGGAACAATTGATGGAAAATTTGAATCCGGATATCTGGTTACTGTAACTTTTGGTTCAGAGGTTTTGAAAGGAGTCATATATGAAAACTCAACAGAAGCAAACAAATCCAAAGGTTTCAGTTCCTTTCGCGAGCCTGCTCATCGACATCACAGAAAACACCAGTCGGCAACTAGGGATCCATCTCATCCCAAGCGAAATAGAAGTGGATATACCTTCTTCTTTGCTGAGCAGTATCATATGTTAAGGCCTTTATACCATGGCCAAGAAAGAGCTATAAGTAAAAGGATTGGGCAATTGTGGAGCGGGTTGACAGAAGCTGAAAAACTGGTAATGAATACACTGCATATACTTGGGTGGCTTACTTTCAACTTTCTAGAAAAGATGAAGACTGCTTATTTCTTGTGTGTGTGTGTGTGTGTGTGTGTGTGTTTTTTTGTGTGTTTTGAATTTAAGTGTTTTTTTTATTAGGTATGCTTAAGCTTGTTGATAGCATAAAAAAAAATTTCCTCCATCTGGGAAAATTATGTAATTTTGGTTGGGGAAATAAATATATTTAAGTGGAGTAGATAAAATTAAGGCGGGTATTATGAAAAATTAATATAGGAGTAATATAAAGGGTAGTGGGGTAAGTAAAAAAGTAGTGATAAATTTGTTATTATTTGTAAAGTTGAGTAATATAATTTTAAGTGGAGACATAAGTTTAGCTGACATTAAAAAAAAATAGCGGAGGGAGTAATAGTTTAGCTTTGCAAAGAAGGGACTTTGTTTATTTAGGCCGAAGTTGGTAAAATCCCCTTTGTTTTGATAAACTATTATTGTGATATAAGTAGATGTTTAAATATTCATGAATGTTTAATGTATAGGATGAATAGTGTGGGATTGGTTCCAAAACTACATCGACATTATCATGTCTCTATTTTGGTTTTTAAAGCCTTTTATCTCTTACTTATGGCTTGATATGGTAAAATCAAAGTATCATGTTTAAAGCATTTTTTGGTTTATTACCGGGGATTACGGATGGTGATTGTATTAATTCAGGTATATCAAGAGAAGGGGTTGAGAGACAGAGAACGATACAAAGCAGAAATGTTGGAGTACAAATCTTCCCAACATGCATCACCCCCTCAGTAGTGTGTTTTTAGACATCCCTTTATGCTTTGAATCCTGTTGCTCTGATATAATATAACTTCTAAGAATTCCGCCTATTTCTTTATTTTCCCTGGTTTTTTTTTTTTTTCTTTTGCTTGTTTCTTGCGATGACGATGACTGTGACTGTAGGCGAGGATGCTCTCACCCCCTTCGATTTGATTGACTTCTAAGAACCCAATGAGCTCACGGGTGGGAAATTGATGATAACTGCTATAGGTATATTTGCTAACCGGTTGTTCTCTCGTTGCTGTTTGCCTTATTGTTATATATATATGTATTATGCATTTTGATTTTTCTCTAGGCTGCTTCCATATTTGAGTATCTGTTGATGCATGCTTAGGAATATATATATATATATATACATATATTCTTAGCTTGGTAATTTAATAAATAGATGATAGTTGTGGTAAGATGAGATTAAATTTGTAGGTGTAATGTTTCTAATATGATAGATAAAAATTGGTACTTAGATGTTTTATGATGGGTATCCCCAAGTGAGTTCTTAATATATATGCATGGTATGTCGTAATTTATTTATAGCAAACATCTATAACTCTTCAGTATTTTTATAAAATGTCCTTTCGTGGGGCATTTATTTTTACTATAGAAATTTTAGAACTTAAAATATCAGTACTTATTTTTTTTATATGAATTATAAAGGAAAATGAGAACATTTATTTAAAAATTAATTTGCATCAATATTCAGTATTTATAAAAAAGTGAGTTGCGCTCGAATGAGAAGGGATTGTGTGGACTACTGTATTTGCGCTGGTCCACATAAATTGATTGGGCCTATCTAAATTGGTCCCATTTAAAAGAGATTTAAGATTTGGCCTGTCCGTAACTGGGTTTGATGGGTTGATTCATGAGTTTAGTTGGGCCTTACTGGATTAGTCTAGGGTGATTTGGGCCTATCTTGATGTGTTGAAATGGGTTGGGCCTGCTTGAGATCGGTTTAATGGTATTATCTGAAATGTGCTGGGCTGGTACCAGAATTTTGTATTGGGCTCTCAAGAATTTTATTTATTAATAGGACTAAAAAACTGAGTTGCGCCCGAATTAGAAAGATTCTATGGGCTACTGTATTTGGGCCGATCCAAGTAAATTGGTTGGGCCTTACAAATTGGGCCGTTTAGTAAGTATGATTGGGCCTAGCCGTTTAAAGAAAATTATGATTGGGTCTATATAAATTGGGCCGAGTTAAAACATTATTATTGGGCCTATATAAATTGGGTGGAAATAAGAAATTATGATTGGGCCTCTAAATTGGGCCGATTTAAGAAATTTAAGAATGGGCCTGTAACTGGATTGGATGGGTTGATTCATGAGTTTAGTTGGGCCTTACTTGGGCTAGAGTAAATTTGGGCCTATCTTGATGGGCTTAAATGTGTTGGGTCCGATTACAATGGGTTTAATGGTATTATCTGGAATGGGCTGGGCTGGTACAAGAATTTTTGTATTGGACTTTAAAGGGATGGCTGGCCTGAATAAACTCGTGCTGGGTGTGTGTTGGTCCAACAAGTTTTGGGTTGGGCTTACTATTCCAGACCTTGTATATATTCAGTCCAGCCCAATTTTACAGACATGGACCATATTTCAGGCCAAGTCCGGCCTACTTGTAAATGCCCATCTAACAAGCCCAATCATCGACCAGACAGACACAAGCAATCCCCAATTTCAAAACCCTAATTCTAACGAGCCTAAACAAAATAGGATCAACCCAACAGTATCAACCCTATAATTCTAGGATAACAAGTCCATATTTCATCAAAGACAACAACATAAGAAGCCAACAGCCTGTAATAATACCCATATTATCATTCCTAGTCGGTCCTTCTTCACTATCGCCATAACTTAAAAAACTTATTCAAAATTAAACGAATGCTACATCTCTTACAAAGAAACAAATAAAGATAACATGAATTGAACACGAAAAAGAAAATACACATTCCGGAACATCAACCATTTTATAAGAACAGAAAACAAAACCTCAACCTCCAAAACTAAGTCGGAGGAGCAACATCCTCGGCATAATCAGGCAATGAAAACAAGACTCGTAAAATCACCAAACCAAATAGCTGTACCAAGAAATATAAAGTATACTTACAAACCTGCCTCCGTAGCTTCAAAATTTCATCCCTGCTTGCGACCTCTCTCGAAAATTTTTCCAACTTCTCAGCTTTTGCCCTAAGCACCGTATCCTCATAGTCATTATCCGTTTTTCTATGATTTTGGAGTATCTGATTTTTTTGCGATGTGCTTTGGTCTTTTAATGTAGCAGTTTGATTCCCAGCAGCACCCCGGAAATTTTGAATCGTTCTTGATATTGTTAAATACTCCACTTCAGCGGCAATCTTTCGCTTGAATAGGTCCTCGAGGTCTGCCTCCGCGTATTCTTTTGCGGTTTTTGTTCCAATGGAAAATTGGAACAGCCCGTGATTCATTTCTTCGACCTTTTGTTCTGGAGCAGTAACTTCATCCGAAACTGTATCTTCCAGTGTAGTGTCACTGCTTACTTCCTTAAACTTTAGCACCTCTGCAGGAATATCGGATTGATTTCATCACAGGAAATTTTAGTAGATTAGACAATAACTCAGTTCTTAAGACTGCAACAATAAATTAGGCTCCATATTCGTGGGGATTTTTTTTTTCAATTTCTTTATTATATAATTTTGCTATTTTTTTATAAAATAACACTATTTACGTTCAAAAAACATCACATCCTAAAAACAAAACTATAAACAAATCACCAGGTAAACGCATTTGAGTGTTCAATTTTTTTCATTTTTTCTACTATTCCCCATATTTCCATGTAAAATGAACTACTTTCTAACTCAAAAAGCATCATATCCGAACCACTGTCCAAACTAACATACCAAAACCAAAATAAAATAATAACAATAATAAACAACCACCAAGTAAACACACTAGTAACTGAGCGCCAAAAAAATGAAAAGAACAAAGCGGTAATAATGGCTAAAGCCTATTGATCAGAGCATAATCGGTATTCAAGAACTCTAGTCTAATTTCTTGGACGTATTTTCAGATTTTAACTTTTGAGACTTGACGGGCACATTCAATTTCTACAGAAATAAATAATCATAACCTATTCAGATTGAAGCATACACAGGCATCAAATTCTACACTATGTCTATAAATAAATAGACCTTCGAAGATCACTACTCGACTCAAGTGTACCAATTATAATTCAAAGAAGTGATCATTTGCAATAAAACACATCATGTTTGTAGAAGTATAGAATATTAACAAAATCAAGAAAAACCAGAAATAGTAGGCATACCTTGTTCAAGTGCTTCTTGAGCAGATTGGAGCATGGCGATGGATTCGACTAATGGATCCTGATTCGAAGAGGAGGAGCCATTCTCAGTTCTTTCAGTCTTAACCTTCGAATCTGAATTTTCGGTACCTTCGTATCCTCCTTCGATGTCTTTTCTGCAACCATCACTGAGTCCATCATTCACTTGATCAACATTTTCTGCATCATAATGCCCCGGCTCGTCGCCTCGTATTCCATTACTCGTCGTTGCAAAAGTCCCCTGCATAAACACAAAATTGGAGCTACGCGAATCAGACTCCATGCTCGAACGAGAGTTATCCTCCTTGACTACTTGCTCCTCCTCCCTAGCCTTTTTAACAGCCTCGCTTCGAACCTTTCCTGACAGACCACGCTGCGCTGCATTAGCCAGATTCTTCCCACTCGAACCCCTCACTCGGAGGCTCTTATCATACTTTACTTTCGAAACACTACCTGCTGTCGAAGACTTGCTACTCTGATCCTCACTATTCTCTGAATCTCCTCCGGTATCAATCGATAGGCCAACCGGCATGCAAGAATCGCCGAGCACTCCTAAAAAATCCACACTTCCAACCAATGCATTCGGAGGCGAAACAGAGCCCATACTCTTCTGTGGCCTCTCTGCATAAACCTGCGGCCGCTTGCTTGGATTTGCAGCCGATTCTGGTAAGTCCGGAGTCGACATTATCTGGCCGGGATGCAACGGTGGATCCCCGGTTTTATTCACATCCCTCTTGATCCTCTTCCACTTCTTCAGTCCGAATCCTTTCTTCATCGAAGATGAAGATGAAGATGGAGACAGTAATGGAGTCTTCTCATGTGTTGAAACTTCACTTCCCTTAACGTTACCATCCTTATCGTTATAGGTTCCTAACTCATAAGATCCATTGTCGTGAACCTCGATCGTTTCTGGTTTTCTGACGGATTGAAGATTCCTAAATTCCTCATTATCTACGATCGATTCGTTCACCAATCGATCGTTTCCAAAATCCATCGCCACCGAAAAACTCAGGTAACTAACTCTGAATCGAATCCCTAAATTTCTCAATCGATCGAAACTCACACCATTTCTGACCGCCAGAAATCAACAATCTCCTGACGGAAATCCAATCCGATACGATTGATGAAAACTAGCGGTGGAGAATAGAATTTGACAGCTATGGCGCACCTCGAGCCTCCGTGAACGAATTCAACGGCGAAGAAACCACAGCTAGGAGTCAGAATCGAATCCAATAACCCGAAATGAAGACCGCCGGTGAAGAATCCAATTATCTAAAATATCCAAACAGCTATGGCGCACCTCACGCGTCGATCGACGAATTCCGCAGAAGCACCGAGGGAATGAGCAGCAGAAAACCCTAGAAATCGAGAAGGATCGAGCGAGATCTACACTCCACCAAAATTTGTCGATCGATCGATCTATCGATATGATCGAATAATAATAATAATAATAATAATAATAATCGGAAACTCGTACGAAAATTACCGACCCAATAAAATATAAAATGGATAATTTTTATTTTTGTTAATTTATTTTATTTATTAAAATTAATAAATAAATAAAAGGATGGCGTGGGCCCATACGGTACCTTGAGGACATGGAGCGTGTGTTGCTCAGTGATCCCATCTGTACCACACATGACTGCTTCTGGATTCAGTTGAAAATGAGGGTCAATCCGAGCCGTTGATTTGACTGGGCCCTACAAGTTATCCAATGGTGCGGATCGTGCCACAACACCTAAGACTCGGGACAAATATAAGGCGGTTGAATTTGTTTGGGCCCCACGCGTAATGATCCAATGGCGTAGATTTTGTCACGTCACAACACCTAGAAGAATTCGTTCAAATAAAAGTCGATCGACGCCGTTGAATTACCTCGGGCCCCACAAAATGGTGTGGATATTGCCACGACACCTCAGTCAAAAATAGGTTCCATCGTCGCCGTTGATGGGCTGGACCCGGGCAATGATCCGATGGTGTAGATCTTGCCACGACACCTAAGAATCAGTCCAAGTTGGGAATGTAACATTTCCATGCAAAGGAATACAGAAGTTAGGACTCCTTCCAGCTTGTATTAACAAAAACTGTGAAAATTATATGGTTTGTTTGCCAAAAAAAAAAAACACTGAATTCGATTTCTGATAAATATTATGAACATACACATAAGAAAATAAATTAAATTAAAATAATCGATAATTTTATATAAAATATTAATTTTATTTTTATATTATTGATACGTTTTATCATTTGATCATATCTTACACTAAACAACATATTTTCCAATACCTCACACTAAATATAACTACAACTAAATAAATACCCTCATAGTGTGTTCACTTAGTAATTTATTTATTTATAAAAATATAATATATATATATAAGATATACCTCTAATAATAAAAATTAATATAAACAACAAAAATCAACAAAATACATAAAACACTATTTTTCTTTAATACTGTAATGATTCTCAATATCTTATAATAAAAACTAAAATTTTAACAATACATGTATTTTTTGTGTGTTGAAATTCTTTCACTATATTGTGTATTTTAGCTTAGTGTATTTTTTATTTCAAACATATTTTTGTGTTAGATATGAGTTGTATATAATTTTTCTATTAGAATTGTAAGACAATTATATGAACATGTATATATAAATTATTGTTGGAATTCCAACTTAATAACTCGTTAATATAAAGTAAAGTAACCATTCATCCTTACAAAGTAGAAAAGTTTTAACATTGATTTCAATGTGGGATATTCAACAATTATATTTTTATAATAATATTTAGAAAATTGTTTATCATTTATTGGATTAGCACACTCATTATTTAAATTCAAATTCAAATAAAAACTAAAATACAAATACAAATCAAATCAAACCAAACCAAACCAAACCAAACCCGTTTTAGAAAATGATTGGAATTTTTTTTTAAAAAAAAAAAACGAAAAATCAAAACAACTCTAAGACAAATTTAAGTAGCATTATATTCAAAGTAAACAATAATACATACAAACATACATATTTAAGTCTATGTTTTTAGGTTGCATCCTACATATGCTAGATTTCAAAAGGTTCTAAAAAATCATACGGAGATTGGAAAAGATAACATGTATCCTTTTAGAATTTAATTTAATTTAATTTAAACAATATTTTAAATATAGTAGTTTATAAAATAAATAATATATTTTTATAAAAATTACGATAATTGTATAATAAAAAATAAAATAAAATTTCAAAATAACATAATCATTTTAGAAAACAAAAACCAAATATATCATAGTGTATATACGATATATAGAGCCGACAGTCGAAGGACCGTTTCGATTTTAATAGAAGGTTCAAACGATCATTGAGGCTGCTAAAGTACCTACCAAACTGGCCTGAAAATTATTTTTGTTGGGTTATTTTTATTTAAGGAAATGACTTGTACAACAATTCCAAAAGCTCATTTAAAAGTTAATATATACAGTACTATAAATTTAAAAATAAAAGTTTTTTTTTTTTTTTTTTTCAGCATTACTTTTAAATCATTATTTTAAAAAAATAAAATTAAAAGAACAAATCCTAAACACAATAAGCTTAGTTTGTTTTTGAGTTTTTAATCTAAATTTTACTATTCTGATTTTTTTTCTTTTAAAAATATTAAATAATAATTTTATTTTTTATATATTAAATTAAAATAGTATAAAACAATTATTTCAATTGAAAACTCAATTCTCAAACCCAAAACAAGCACACCGTAACCCTAAGTTGAACAAATTTTTATACCTTTAACTTCACAGGTTTCAAATAAATTTAAAATATAATTCAAACTCACTATTCTTATTAACTTCAACTCTTCAAGTGTGAAGTTTTTGTAGCTAACGGTCGACTTTAGGGCATGAATAGGTAATAACAAACATTGTGGACAGCAAAATTAAATAACATGATAATACATATATACATTATACACCAATCATTCTTATTATTCAACTCTATTAACTAAAGCCTAAATACTATACTGCTATGCAGAGGCTAGCTAGCTACACAATTATGATGCCTGCACAATTATAAGCTTAAATAATTCAATTAATTATTATTAGATTAGTAGGCAATGTTTCCAAGATTTTAATGTACTACTAATTATTTTACTTAAAATTATGGTGCTATCATTATGAAATGTGTCATTATTTATTAGTATTAGTATTTTTTAAGGGAAAGCCTACATTCTCGATATTATGTCCCAACCAAAGACATTTCTAAGTGCAATATTAATTTAATAAAAAATATATAGTCATTAAGTAAAAAACTGACACCTCATAACACCACTGTAATTAAACAGCAAATAAATAAATAAAAACTATTAAGATATGATAATGGAAAATAAGACATAATTAAAAATAAAAAAAATATTACCTGTTCGTTGTATGAACGCCACTTGCAATTGTTGAAGCCACATGCAGACAGGTTGCCTGGAAACCAAGCTGCTATAGAAAAATCATTAAACTAATCACACAATTAGCAAAGATTAATAATGTCTGAAATTCCATCCGTATCATCAACATGGCTTTACAGCTTAATCAATAAAAAATAATCAATCATCAATTTTACAAAAACAATAAAAATGCCAGAGAGACTTTCAAACTTTTATACTATGGCAAATTGGCAAGAATAATAAACGATAAAATAGGATTATAACATGCAAGTATTTAATTAATCTGCTTGTTTGTACAGCTTTCTTCTTACACAGAACACCAATAATTAAAAATAAAATGTCCTTATCCTGCATTAAAAACTTGTCAGATCTCAAGCAAGACAGAGCACTTATGAAGGAAATAAATTGCAGTTGAATAAATCAATAGTGCTTGAATTCACCTAAGATCTTAGCATCAAATAATTGACTGCTTATGTACATGTACTAAAGCTATGGCTGATTTAGGTTATCTATAGAGCAAAAAGGGGCAAGCTTTTGATCCCACCTTTACATTGAATGCAAAACACTGATATGCAAAGGAATTATATTCAAGAAAAAATAAATTGTGTTTTCTCTAACAGTTCTATTTTCCAAAAAAATAATTATCTTGGGGACCACAAATAGTGCATAAGTTTTGGCTAATCTCAAGAGCACTTTCAAATAATATTATTTCCTTTCTCTATTGAGGGCCAATTATTAAAAAAATGTCAGTCCTCAGATGGACTGGTCTTACTCCAATTTCCATAGCGGAATTCAGTCACAAAAATAATGTCAGATGAGGACATACACACACAGAGAGAACCCTATACTGCAATTTTCATATATACTATAAAATATTCCTTTGTATTTATCCAAGCAAATTTCCAAACTACAGACAACAAGGTCTGAGTTCATGTTTCCTCTCCCCAATGGCCTTTCCGCAGAGTTCTTTTCTGCCCAATCTTTGGCCACTGTTATTTAAACAAGTAAATTTTTTATTTCTATTATTATTTTTTATGGTTTTTTTACATTTTTAACTGCATTTAGAGATTAGGAGATATATACATACATAAACATGCAACACTAAAAACAAAAAGCAATACACTTAGCCCAAGACAAGGCAATTAAAATAACAACCTTAGAATATTAGACCATTTACTACCGTCTGCAGTTCTTTTAATGCATTCATTTCCATATATTATTATATGTTCAAACCATCTTAGATCCAACCCACACCTTGTAGATTCTCCAATCTGTCCAGCTTGTTGATGATAGATAGAAAGAGAAAGATAGAGAGAGAGAGGAGAGCGAAGTGGCAGATGGTCTCTCTGGAACTACAGGAAAGGAGGGTCACCCTATTCTTCTTTTTTTGACACAAATGAACATAATAGCCAGGTAAAGTAGAAGACTTTTATGTGATCTTTTATTTTTTGTTCCTTTTCTTTTAAATGTTCTTGAGCATAAAAGGCATACAAATGATGGGTTTCTTGACTTTCACCGCAATGAATCTAAAGAGAAAACAAAAACACAATGAAAATATGAAATGACTTGCAATATAGTTCACTATATTTATTCATGACTAAATACTGCTCACTTGTTTTGTTTCTTGCACTAATTGGTCTGATCAACTGTAAAAAAGCAGAGTTCTGGTTCTGACCTGATAATGGGGAGGCCCACCACAGTGGAAGAAGATGATGCTTGAATTCACATGCTGAGAGATCTCCTCCTCTATGTTCAAATAAGAAAAAAGAGAAGTCATTCACTGTTGCATTCATCTTCTGATGATGGGTCATCAGCTCCGCATTAAATTGCACCTGTCAACATAAACTAGAGCAAGAACCCCAAACACAAGTTCAGTTTCTTTCCTGACTTTCAAAGAGAGATTGATGAGGATGGAATGCTACTACTGAAATGTATGGTATGGGTACTTTTCCAACATATCAAATGCTTTCAGATATATTTTCTCATTTAACGTTGTAGAGGGAAATAATATATATAGAAAATAAAAAAAAACCCCATTTTCTTGAATTCTTGGAAAAGCAAACCTGGGGGGAAGAAGGAGAGGGGGGCCTCTTCATTCATTGTCGGAACATGGATGAAGAACCAGGACTCGTCCTGTCTGCAGGCAATCCTAAACAAATCCCCGCCGTTGATCCCAAGTCCCTTACCATTAAGATAGCCAACTCCGGCAAGAACCCCGGCAAAGAAATCCTTGCCAACATTGTTACCTCAAATGCTCCAGATTCAGTAGCTTCATCTCCCTACAATTCCCCCCTCATTTCTCCTCCTTCTTCAGCATTTGTTTCAGCATTGCAATCTCCTTACATTTCTCCAAGAGCACCTATAGTTACAAACCAAAACAAGAATCCCACCGAAGAAAGCCCCACTCCAGCCACTACTCTAACCCACTCCTCACCGCCGGTGTCTTACAGCGGTTCTCAGTCGGATGACATCCCCAGCACTTCCTACACGCCGCCGCCGGAGAGGCAGGACTTTCCCGGTGAACCTGCAAGCAATACTAAAGTCAAGATTGTGACATGCGTACCTGTTCCAGGCCCGGATGCTGCACCCCGGATTTCATTTTCCTTCCCCATCCCAAGAATCTCATTTGCCAAAGGCTCTGTCTCCTCACCTGCATCAAATGCAAAACTAAGAAGCTGTGATGTGTACATAGGGTTTCATGGCCAGAATCCAAATTTGGTGAGGTTCTGCAAGTGGCTCAAATCGGAGCTTGAGGTTCAAGGCATTGCTTGCTTCGTGGCCGACAGAGCAAAGTATGCAGATAACCAGAGCCACGAGATTGCCGACAGGGTTATCTGCTCGGTGACCTTTGGGATTGTGGTGGTCACAAATTACAGCCTTCTGAACCATCTGAGCCTGGAGGAGATCAGATTCTTTGCTCAGAAGAAGAATTTGATCCCAGTATTCTTCGACACTGATGCCAATGAAATCACTAGTCTCTTCAATCAGCATGGAGATAAGAAGGAATTCAAAGAAGCCATGGAGGGTTTAATGAGATGCCATGAGTTCAAATTGGAAGCCAATGATGGTAACTGGAGAAGCTGCATATCTAAAGCTGCTGGGATACTAAAAACAAAGCTTGGAAGGAAAAGTGTGGCTGAAAAGGAAGCAGATACTCATAATCATGAGTTGCCCTTGGCAAGAAACAAGTACTTTGTGGGGAGGGAGAAGGAAATTATGGAGATTGAGACAGCATTCTTTGGCTGTGGGGATTATATGGAGCAAGAATGTGGTTTGCCAACAATTAGAGATGAAACTACAGGGCTGTCTGATGGCCTAGCTGATGGGGAAAGTGAAGCTGATAGAACTAAAGGAGGCAAATACATAAATTTGGAGATCGGGAGGCGTAAGGAGCCACATTTAGAGGCATGGATTGAACCAGGAATTGGCAGAAACTCGATGAAGAGGCCTAAATACAAGAAGTCGAAAAGTGGGAAATACAAGAGCTTTGGGAGCAGCATTGTGTGCATAAATGGATCAGCAGGGGTTGGAAAGACAGAACTAGCTTTAGAATTCGCCTATCGGTACTCTCAAAGATACAAAATGGTGTTGTGGGCAGGTGGTGAGGCTCCTTATTTCAGGCAAAATATACTGAACATCTCTATCAGTTTGGGATTGGATGTTACCGCGGATGAGGAGAAAGAAAGAGGCAGGATTCGTAGCTTCGATGAACAAGAGTCCGAAGCATTCAAAAGGGTTAAACGGGAGCTGTTTCGAGATATGCCATATTTGCTGATAATAGATGATCTAGAAACTGAAAAGGAATGGTGGGAAGGCAAGGATTTACATGACTTAATACCAAGGAACACAGGAGGTACTCATGTAATCATAACAACAAGGTTATCGAAAGTAATGACCTGTGATCCGATGCAGCTGCAGCCGCTGCCAATGCCAGATGCAATGGCGCTGATTAAAGGAAGACGGAGGAAGGAGTATCCAGATGCCGAGGTAGAAATTCTGGGAAAGCTTGTCGAAAAACTCGGCAGGTCCACTTTCGGCATATGGGTGATAGGCTCCTTGCTTTCTGAACTTGGAATTTCACCGTCTGCACTATTTGAGGCAGTGAATCAGATCCAATATGAAGAACCAACTGGCTGCACTAGCCTGAGCAATGGAGATCACCAATTTTGCAGGACAAGTCCTTTCCTAATGAAAGTCTTGACATTCTGTGCGGCTGTGTTGCAAGATACAGTGCGCAAAAGGAATCCACTTGCTTCAAGAATGCTTCAGGTTGGGGCATGGTTTGCGCCGGCGCCAATCCCAGTAAATTTACTAGCTGCAGCTTCCAGCAGTGTACCCTCCACCAGGCACAAATTGAAGAAATGGAGTAGATGTCTGAAGCTTACTCTCTGTTGCTGCTCAGGTTGTCTAAAGAGCTCGGCATGGAAGAATGAAGAAGAATCAGCTCTTCTTTTAGTTAGGCTTGGTTTGGCTTGGAAAATCAACAGACATCCTGGTTGCTGGATACAATTCCACCCCATAGTCCAATTATTTGCCAAATGGAAATATGGCTTGGCTGCTGCAAAAGCAATGGTTCAAGGAGTAAGGAAAATTGGAAATCCTGTGGCGAATTCAGACCATCTCTGGGCCTCTGCTTTCCTCGTATTCGGGTTTAAATCTGAACCACCAGTTGTCCAGCTCAAAGCAGTTGACATGGTTCTCTTCATCAAGAGAACAGCTCTCCCTCTGGCGACAAGATCCTTCATGGATTTCTCAAGGTGCAACTCGGCTTTAGAGCTGTTGAAAGTCTGCACTAATGTCCTCGAAGAAGTGGAGAAGTCATTCATGTCTCAGATACAAGATTGGTGCCATGACTCTCTGTGCTGGAAGAAAGCTCTGCAGCCGAATCAAAGAGTGGATGAGTATGTTTGGCAAGAAGTTACATTGCTGAAAGCTACTCTACTGGAAATGAGAGCGAAATTACTGCTGAGGGGCGGCCATTTCGACAGCGGTGAAGAACTATGTCGAACCTGCATCAGCATTAGGACAGTGATGCTCGGCCACAACCACTCCCAAACATTAGCTGCTCAAGAAACATTGGCAAAGTTAGTGAGGATGAGGAGCAAGATATAATGGAATTTTGCAATTCAGGTAGCTCAATTTTGTTGCTCACACTGTAATCTTCGTGCTGCCAAATTGCCAACTAGTTCATAATATAAAAATCACAATTCTAGTTGAACTTTCCGTTGTTTGTAAATTGGTAATCGAAGCTAATCATACACATATTAGACAGCATTTCCAGCATTTCATCATCTCATGCCGTTCAATTTCAATCAGTCTCTTCGAAATTAGATTTCACCAAACAAATACGAAATACGCGGAATTGAAAACGTGCGATTAAGAAAAGTTTTCCAGAAATTGCGTTTGAAAATGGATCACATTCAACATCGATTGCACGCAAAATAAGAGACGTGAGCAACAGAAGATGCGTGACCCGAATCGATTTTGCCTCTACGATGCCGCCTTTCACGTGTTACCGCAAAATTACCTCCAAATTCCTTCGCAACTAAAGTGCTCGACTCGACACCATTGCCAAGTGAAAGACTCAGTAACTGAGCCATTTCATCAAGCGAGCGCCAAATAGTCTACAACGAAGTTCCCGCGAAAATGGAAATATAAAACATCCAATGGAAGACCTTAACCGATGATTATCAGCAATATCCGGAAACTAAAAGTTGAGCAACAGAGGCTGGATATCCGGATAGCAGAAAGCTTCCAACCAGATCTGGCGGTTCAGATGCCGGAGAATTCCAGCGACTGCCGCCGGCGAGGTGCACCTTGGAGGACAGTGTTTTTTACTAATTTAAACTGATAACCATTTTAATAGGAATCGATAAAGATAATGATAGAAATTTAGAACACTCCCAAACATACAAACTAAAAATAAAAAATAACCAACCCTCAATTATTCACAGGAAATGCATGTCATAATAATTAATAAAATATTACTTTAACAAAACACACTACTTCAATAAAATTCAAAAAACTTCTCCTATATACTAACAAATAATCACATTACATTTCATTAAAATTTCTCAAAATCATTTAAACAACAAAGCCAGCACATATAATAAGATAAACAAAATAAAAAGATAATTTTTACACACTTATCCCTATTAAATAAAGAAAAACGCCTCTCAAGGCTCTAACGATATCAATACATTAGGAAAAAAAAAATTAATACACCAAATTTTCAATTTCCCCAAAAGAATCAAACAACATATGCAGTCACAACAACAAATCCTTACATAACAACATAAACAAAATAAAATAACATTCAAATGTACTATATGTAACAAATATATAGATATATATATATAATATAAAATATGTGGTTTTTATGTATTTTATATCCATTTTCTTACCAATGTCCTAACCAAAGCCACCCCAAAAGTCTACATCTGCGGTCCAAGCGGCATCCGGTTCGAAAACTGCTGATAACCCGAACTGCCACCTGACCCGCCGCCGGTCGAAGTGCCCAAACTGGAATCCACCACCGGCTCCATCTTCGGCTCAGCCTTCGGAAGCATAAATCCCATCGCCGCATCGTTCATCACCGGTCGAGACTGCTGTCCGAAATACGAATGCCCCGGCACACCTGAAAACCTACCGGAATTATGCCCCATGGCCGCCGCCATTCCCATGGTCTGACTGATTCCGAACCCAAAGGTTTGGCCAGGACCCGCTGCCATCGGCGGCATGCCGCCGGGAAGTCCAAATGCAGGTCGTTGGATGATACTGCCACCACTGCTGCCGCCGCTCCGGTGAAGTTGCGAGGGCTCGGGGCGGTGCGGCATGGCTGAGGGGGGTGCAGCGCCGCCGGACATGTGGCTGTTGTTGCGCGCGGCGGGGACGTCGTGGTTGTGCTTGCCCTCGTAGGTGGTGATCACCGACTTGAGGTCGTGCGAAGCCCTCTCGACGTGCTTCCGGACATTGCAGCCAGGGCTCGTGCACTTGTAATAACTCCTGGAAAGTAAAAGAAAAAACATCATTTATTTCGAGGACGACATCATTTATTCCAATCGACATTAATCCAAAATTAGTTGATTAGTCATCATAAAAGTGGATTCAAAGATTTTCTATTACTATAGATATATTACCAACTAAAAAAACGAGTGGATGGTTAGGAAAACCAAGATACACAAAGGATTAGTAATGGAGATTCTATAAATTATCCAACCGTATATTTCTTTTTCTTTATAGAAAAATAATTCAAATTCGGGCTTTTAGTTGGTAGAAATTATTAAGTACTCCTCACGATTTCGATCCAGAGTATATTCCTATTCACAGTACCCGACACATCTTATCAAATTTTGTCAAGCTTTGTTGAGCTGAGCCTATTCAACACAAAAAAATTTTAATACTCCCTCCGGCACCAAAAATTATATCGATTTTCTTTTTTCCGATAGCCAGCTAAACTTATGAATATTTTATTTATAGAAAAATTTATGCTACCAGAAATGATTTACATTTCCATTATACCTCCAACATACATACTCTTTACCTAGAGCGTAGTTAGTATTCTATTGACACAACAAAAAGTACATAAGTAACATGAGGCTCCGACTTACTAACCTTGGATTAGGATTCCCTTTAACCACTTTTTGTCCGTACTTGCGCCAACGGTACCCATCGTCGAGGATGTCTACCTCACTAGTTGTCTGAACCACGACTCTCGGTTCTCTTATTGCCCTGGCAGCAGTCCCGCTCATTTCCGCAGTGTAAGTTTCGATTCTCCTGTAATAACAAAATACGCACGCCCCGAAAACTACCCATCATGCTTCTGTAATGAAAAGTTAATCAAAACACAAGTTGAGGATAAACCTTCTCTTAGATTCCGATTCATCTCCTTCACCTCCATCGTAACCCAGCGATACACTCCCGTGTGTCGCACGGTCATCCTCGTCATCATCATTCGAAAAAGTGCAAGATCGATCGACGCCACCATTGCCCGGCTCGTAGTGGCCCCCACTTTGAACCAATCCCGGCGGCGGCACAGAAGATGCCGTCGCCTCGACATTCATTTGTCCCCAATTCACAGCCCCCGGAAAGTTCCCCTTTTGCATGGCAGACCAAGCCGGATCACCGTTCGTCTCTGAGTCCAGATGCGTATCGGCTGACGTGATCGACGATCCGAGCGAAGATCTCCGATTTGGCTGAGGTTTAGGGTGGTTGTGGGTACCCTTGTAGATGATCTCAGTGATGTGACCTTCTAGAGACCGTTCGACTTTCTTCTTTGTCGGACAATTCGGATGCGTGCACTTGTAATAACTCCGAGGAAACTCACTCCCTTTCACTTGCTTCTGCCCGTATTTTCTCCAGTTATATCCGTCGTCGCCGGCATTCAGATCTCCACCGCTCCTTCGATCGCCGTCATCCTCCTGTGGCTCATCCAACGGTGGAGAATCACTCACTTCCAATGGCAGATCGCTGCCCCGGTTCTCGCCTTGCGATTTCGGGAAAGTTTGAAAATTCAGATGCTCGACTGCGGGAACAGGAAGCTTCGCACCGGGAAATGACTGCAGCCCGAAACCGGGAGCATTAACTGCCTGATCATCCGACAACAGAACCAAAAGTTAATCATAGACGCAAACGCTTAAATAGGAAAAGCCGTCGGACGAAACGATTAATTACTTACTTTGTTAGCTGCATTAAATTGTGCAATCGATTCAGATTCCAGATTCGGCTTAAATGCGAATGACGTCGTGCCGTCGTCAAAAGCGTTCTCCTTACCCTTACTACTATCACCTGCCACCAATGCAGCGCTATGGTTCATTCCGCTAAACGCAAACGAAAACTTCCCCGTCGTCGGCGACGGCTGAACCTGCAGCAGAAAAGGTAATTCAATGTAAAAGTAAAATCCAATTGCTTACAGTCCCCGTAAAAACAGATTTATATTTTCACCAATGAATTATTGACGAAAACCGGGGATTCGAGCAGATTTGTCGGGCTGAGGCCAGGAGGAATCGTCAAGTACGGAGACCGAACATCCGGATTCTTGGAAAGGTCGGCAAGCCTAAAGCTGTCCGTATTCAATCTAGGGGCATTGAATCCGGCCCGCGCAGCGATCCTGTCCATAAGACCCCCAGAGGATCCCATTTTCGGCTCCGATTCGCTCATGACGATACCATGAATTGGACCTTCTTGATCGGCATTCCCGGAAATACCCTTTCCTTTGGTATCCGGGAAACCGGAGCCATCATTTAGACCAGCGTCGGAACCAACCTGCTGCGGGGCAACATCGTCAGCGACGCTCATCATTGAAGAGAAGAAACTTCGCGGGCTCGGGCTCGGCAGCATCCAATCTCCCACAATGGCACCATGTTCGTCAAAACCACCCATACACGATAGCAGATACGATATGATACCGTGTCGACCTACACTTAGTATCGTCTTCTAACAATCGAATAACAAAAGAAGATCGAAGTCTAGCTCCAATTCGATGCGAAATCCTGAAAATTAATCAAACCCATTTTATTACAGCAACTAACAAGATTTCTTACACGCCAACAACCAAATAGATAAGGGAATCGAAACACAGCAATGGCAGACAGTTACATTTCTTAGAATCACAATCAACGAAGATGAACAAAACTAACAGCATAAGAACATGAAGATCGTTCACATAAACATCAATACAAAATTCAGGATTCAATCAGACAATTCGTGTAAAAATTACATGATTTTTTCAGAAATTGAATCATTATCCAGTTAAATGGAAGTGATCGAATTACTCAAACGCCACAAACAATCAAAGATCTACAAAATCAAGAATCAACACAGTAAAGGAAGTGAAGAACCCTAAAAAGGCGAAAAAAAAGGAAAATTAAACCCCAACTTTTTCGTACCAAAAGAGAAGTTGCGAAACCAAAAATCGAAACAATAATGGCTGAGACAGCGAGTGCGTCAATTGCTCGTCCAAGGAAGAACGAATTTGGGGAAATCGAGCACGAAAACAGGAAGAATCATTAGGAAATGAAGATGAACTAAATTAACTGTACAGTAATAATATTAACAGCTATTAACAACACGGAAAGACTTTGGGAGTACCTGACGAAAGAAAAAATGCAAAATCCCCAATTTTCAAAACCCTAGTCGAATTATTCTTGGGCAGAAATTGAAACTGTGATTCTCGACTATACGAAGAACGTGAAATTGAAGAAACGAGGGGTGATTTTGCTCCTCTTTCACACAAAAAAGGGACCAAAACAGAAGCACACACTGGGGTTTCTTTCCCGATTCCCTACCGATTTCTACCTTTTGTCTGCCTGTCTGTCTCTGTGTGAGAGAGAACGACTCTCTCTCTGCCCGCTCTCTCTCACTCCTCGAAAATGGTTCAACAGTTGGCGAGAAACGCAATTGCGGATGAGATTTGAACAAAAAGGAGTAAAAATATAAATTAGGGAATAAATTTGGGGTTTGTTTGTGGGTTATGGATTTTTGTTGGACCTTTTTGGTAAGATAATGTTTAGTCTGAATTTTGGCAACCTTGTCGATTTATCATCATCACCGACTAATTAATTAATTGTTGTTATTATTATTATTATTATCATTATTATTATTATTGTATATGGTTAAATAATTGCTATTTATTAATAATACTTGTCATTAATTTAAATTTTCAAATTTTAAAATTTTCTTTACAAAAGAACAGCGTGTGTTAATTTAATTTTCTTTTCCTGTTTTGTCGTTTTTATTTCTCTTTTCTAAATGTGTTTGTTAGATGGATTTTGATTTTAAATTTAAGTTTTAAATTAAAATGAAAATTTAATATTCACTGTCCGGAATAAATGATTAAATACTAAAATTTAAGTAAATTGTTATTAGTAAATATTTATATATATCAAATTTATTATAATAAAAAATCAATACTTCTTTGAATAAAATAGACGAAAAAGTATTATTTTAAAATTTAATTATATTTCTAATGAAAATATTTATAGAATATATTATATTATTTTGTCTCAACTCAATTTATTTTATTAATTACTTTTGTTTGTTATTAAAAAATATTCATATTTAATTATTATGAAAATAATCATATTTAAATACAAAAGTATTCTTAATAATTATAAAAAATATTTATTTTTGTTATACTTTAAATGCAAAAAAAAATATATCAAAATTATCTTACATATTTTTATTAATTTTTGGATTTTGAAGTAGATTAAAAAATAATACTTCTTTCGTCCGGCTATGGTATCCACTTTATTATAGACACTAAAATTTATAAGACATATAATTAGTAAATGATTAATAATGTATTAGTCAATATGATTTTTATATAATAAAAATTATTATATATTAATATTAAAATAACTGATTAATTTAATTAAAATTTTAAAAATTATAAATTAAAAAATTCAAAGTGAGATTAAAATTTATAATTTTTCTTCAAAAAAGTAAATGCCAAAATAAGTAGACATATGGAAATGGAAAGGTAAACACGAGATGAAGTGAGTAGTGTTTTGTAGGTTAATAGAAACGTGTATGAAGTTCTAATATTTTTGTTATTTGATTTTATATATAAAGTAATTAATATATATATGTAACTATATTTTTGTAACTCAAGTAAAAATTATTGATATTTTGGTATTAATTACTTTTACTAAAATATAAAATAAATATTTTTGAATTAAATAGACAAAAATTGTAAAAAATGATACTTTGAATTAGAAACGACAAATATTGTTTAATAAATATTTTGGTTTGATCATCTAATATTTCTTTTAACATTATTTCTTATAAATACATAGATATATTACCATAATATATAATATTATTATTTATATTATTGATATAATTTTTTATATTTATAAATTATATATTAATAAATTATGTATATTCGTTATTTTTACACCCTGTGGACAATTATCTTTAGTTCTATCACAACCTACGGCTGTCTGGCTGTTGATTTATTATCGTACATTAATGCCGAATTTACACTAATATAGTGTTGTTGAATTTCATTTCACCGCTGAATTAGAAATGAATTATCAATTTATTTATGAGTTGACTGTCCAATTAAAAAATGCCACGTGGATTCAAAAAGCAAAACATAATTAATAAAAGGATAAATTATTTGCGCATCTGCAAACACTTATTTACATTGATAATTCAATCATAATTATCATTTTCGCTATATTTTTCTAATCTATTTTTCATTTGGGATCCCCAAAATAATAATAATAATAATAAACATAATATTTTATATAAAAGTCAAAATAATCATTATAAAAAATTAAAATACTAATTATAAAAAAAAGTAAAAAATCAAAATATTTATTATTAAAAAAATTAATTATTCAAACTAAAATAACATATTTTATATTTTGACACAATTTTATCATATTTAAAAAAAAATTTAATCCAAAAACACCAAGTGAACATAACCTTTATTTTGAAAATAATTATTTTTATTCTGTAAAAATTATGTCTGTATTTCTTTATCAGCTAAATTTACACATATTATATTTACTAGTAGAATATTTTATTCAATAACAATTTTATTATTAATGTTCTAGTCAATAATACTTCACATGTCCGTAGAGTTATACAGTATTAATGGTCACCAAAACTAAAGAATAACGATAATTTAATATTAAAATAATATAAAAATATTATAGAAAAATTAGTAAATAATTAATAAAAAGATATGTAGAATAAATAAAAATAATAATAACAAATTGAGTATTATTTGTTAAATAAGAATAATAAAATTATGAATAAATAATATTTATTTACTATAAATTAATTGTATATAAATTTAAGGAACAATAAAATATTATTATATATCCCACATAATTTTTCATTTTTAAAAAAATATAATTATATATTTTAATTATATTTAAAATTTTCTGTAATTATTTTTATCATATAATAATTATTTTTATTTGTTTGTTTGGGGGTTTGGATTTTGAGTTGGATTTAAATAGTAAAAATTTTGAATTTGAATAGTTGTATGATGGGATATAAATAGGTGTTGAGTGATGTTTGAATGTAAAATTTATTTTTAGTATAATATAAAAAATAAAAAATAGGTGTTTAATTTGATATTTTTGGGAAAAAAAATTAGATGAATAGTGTAAATCCAAACAAACTCACCCTAATATAATTTTTAATTACTTACTAATTTTAATTTACCTTATATTTCCATATCTACATCAACTTGGACAATTTATCCGATATGGAGAAAGTAATATTCCCTCCGTCCCGGTGCAAGGTTGTCATTTACTTTTTGCAAGTAGATTTTTAAATATTCGTATTATAATGGGTTGCCGTGAAAAAAACAAAAATACCCCTATTAGTATTGTGTAATATAAAAGTAATGACATTTGTGTAATACAGTGTAAGTTTGAAGGATATTTATTATGTTAGGTAGGTAGTACAATTACTAAATTAGGAAATGGTAAACTTGTTTTTGAACGGACGAAAATGACAATCTTTCAATGAAACGGAGGGAGTATTACAACTTTAATGAATTAAAAATAATATTAATTTTACTATTAATTTTTATTTTTCCCACTATTTTTTTTATCATTAAATGATAATTTCTAAAATATTTTTACTATACTTTTTTATATAAACATTTATTTTATTACTATTATGATATCGTTATTTTTAATGCTTACATAATTCGTATAATTGGAGATAAACAATAAAAAAGGAGCTTTCACGTGTTCATCATACATGGCATGAGGTTGGAGCACGTGTCCCATCGACATTTGAATGCGATTTTGTACTCCACAATTCGTGCTTTAATTTAAGCTTCTTATAATTATTCTTTTCGACTCAAACTTAGGGTGTGTTTGTTTGGGGGTTTGGATTTTGAGTTGGGATTTGAATAGTAAAAATTTTGAATTTGAATAGTTGTATGATGTGATATAAATAGGATTTGATGTGATGTTTTGAATGTAAAATTGATTTTTAGTATAATATAAAAAATGAAAAATAGGTGTTTGATTTGATATTTTTGGGGGAAAAAAAATTGAATGAATAGTGGAAATCCACCAAAATCCTTCAAACAAACACACCCTTAATATATTTATTTTATTATCTTTATCTATTCAATTTAAAAATATTTATTTTTATTATAGTAACAATCACTTATACATAAATATCAAAATATTTATATTTTTTATAAATATATTATTTTTATATATTTTTTTATAAAAGAAAAAATATTAAAAATATTAAATATTTTTACTAATTAATAAAATATTAGTATTATTTATTAGTCTATTATTCCTTCTACTCCGACTATCACATTCGAATTATTGTAGATATGAAAATTTAAAAAATATATAATTAATAAATAATTTAAAAATATATTAATGACATAAATATCATACATATATATATTTCTTGTGAATCAGCTGGTGATCCGGTCAAATCAGTGCTGACTTGATCGGTCGTCATATGTTATATTGGTGACCCGTATAATTATTCATATTTCAACATATTTATAATACATTATATATTATATTATAGTTTAGCATACGATCTCTTATACACAACATATACTCCCTCCGTCTCATAACAAGGTATCTATTTACCTTTTATGTCATTTTACTTAACATTAAAAATATGTATAATTTTTTATACAAATGTTATTATATTAGTATTATAAGACATTAATAGAAATATTTTTGCAATTTTTTCTTGATTTGTAATATGTTTTGATATAATAATTAATATTCAAAAATCAACGTGCAAAAAGTAAATGAATATTTACTTACGGGAATGAGAAAATATTATATTATGTATAAATATACCTTGGTCGTCTATGACACATGTTGATGGGTCAAATCAACATTATATTGATTTGACCTAATCAACATAGAATATTCGGCCACATATTTTACTATAAAAGAAAAAATAATCATTTTACACGCTTTTATCAAAATTTATGTCGAATCAAATAAATATAATTTTGCATGATGGAAAAAAATATACTCTTTCTATCATATAAAAAGGGTTTCATTATTCATTTTCGTCCATTTCAAAATAAGGGTATCATTTTTTAATTTAATAATTGTACTATCTACCTAACATAATAAATACTCTTCCAACTTATAATAATATTATAAAAATATCACAACTTTTATATTACACAATACTAATAAAATTATTTTCATTTTTTTTACTACAACTCAATATAATATTAATATTAAAAAATTTACGTAAAAAAATAAATATTACTCTTTACCTAGGACGAATAGAGTATTTATATAGAAGACCTGTACAAATTCATTTTTTAAATAAATGGTTTGCATATTTAATATATCTTTCAAATATCTACGCTCCTTCCTTTTGTCTTGATTCAAATGAATATTTTTTAAAATTTTATAATAATTATAAAATAATATTTTA